TTTTTAAGTATCATGATATTAAGATTGAAATATGATGATAACAATGCGTTGATCTTTCAAAAAAACATTAATTTTGGAAGGAAACTAACGTTCTTGTCAATAGGCTTGAATTAAATACTAGTAAAAAATTCAATATGCAATTCTTGATTGTTAACAAGATATAAAGCTAGTGAAATCTCTAACAATTTGACATTTGATTCATAACTAGTGGATATACAAACTGATGTATAATCCAACACATGAAAAAAAACAACCTTCAAAACCATATTGATTGCTGAAATATCATCATTTGTAATTAATTAATACTAGAATATAATATATTTAGCACATAGATAGAGTAAATTTATAAAAAATTATATATAGATGTCACATTAGTAATTTATGTGATTCATAAGAAAAAAGAAAATAAATGAATTAACAAAAACACATCAACAATCCCTCTGCTTATTGAATAAGGATGAAATGTGCTAATTAAAGTCTTAATTGATAACAAAATATCATCAATGCATGTAAAATATGTACTAGTAGTGAAATAACAATTGATTTAAAAAAGTTTTTCATATTATATAACAAAACAAATAATGATTTTATGTAAATTTTATTTTCAAATTTTGTATCTTATCTTTGAAATGAAAATTTTTCTTAATACTTCATGTTCTATAGAGGTTTTTCACCCAGAAAATGTGCATTACAATACAATCTGACCTATAAGTATGATTCAACTTGCATGTGCAATTGTTTTCAATATTTAATGTGATTAGGGATCAAATGCATGTAATTAAAGCTATTGTTCATGCATTCTTGGCATAGCTTATCTAAATAAGATTTAAAATTAACTGTGACAAAAAATGTCAAGAGAAATTAATTTGTAAATTTTTGAAATGGTTATACATATTGAAATGAGTGTCTAAAAATGTAATGCAAGATTTAATGATTTCATAAAAACATTTCATATGGATCATTTCATGATTCATATGTTTATATGAGTGATGAAGAATGATTTTTTTTTATTTCATCATTGTATTTCTTATGTAGATGACATGTTCATTTTTTCTTTCAAATCATTCACATAGAATTGTTAATAGTTGTAATAATCAACTAAATTTTGTACTCAAAATGAGGAAAAATTCAAAAAATATGTTATAGATATAAGTTCATAAAATTTTAAAAAATAAAAATTATTGATTGAAATCTTTCAAGCATATTCAACATGTGTTTGGAAGGTTAAACATGTCAAATTTTAAAGTATTTTGGATTTTTTAGCACATTTTGCACGTTAAATCACAATGTTCAATCATTGTAATAAGAAAAAAATTGCACATTGATTTTCTATAACTAAGTAATGAGTTAAGTCATGTATTTGATATTATACAATAGATATGATATTGTTCTAATAAATATGCATTGAGAAGTTGTGAAATCAATTTTCATGTAACTCTAGAGTCTAAGAAATACGATTTTTTATTTGATGATTTATTGAATCATATCATATACTAGTTATGTTTCATTGATGCTCACTTTGGAAAAAATAAATTTACAACTTGGTATGTGTTTACACATTCCGAGTTGTAAATTTGTTGTTCAACAAATACATCCATAACCAAGTTGTTTACATTTGATGTACTAGTTGAATATCTATTTGGCTAAAGTGTATAGTTTTGTTCTCAACTACCAACTGCAGTTACACCAGAAGAAAAGTTATTTCTTTGAATAAATTAATCATTTAAATTTAGCTGTAACATGAAATTATCAATCTTCATTGTGATAGTTAAATTGCATTTAAACATCATTCATCTTGTAGCAAAATGATGAAAAGCACAGTATAATACATTGACTTCATTCATCATCGTAAGTGCAGTATATGATAAGAAGTAAGACTTTAAATAAACAAATCCGCCTTTGGAAGAAACATCAACGTGAGCAATTGTGGATGAAGCGGAGATCACCTCGCGATAGAAAGCTAAACTAAAAAAGCCAACCTCAATTCGAATTGCAAGTGTAACTCGCCTACATGAATTTAAAATTATGAATTGATTAAAATAATGATTAAAAAATTTATCATATTTTGTGTTACTTTGAAGATTTTGCATGAGGAGCACAAGTAAAACTTACAATCAATTCTATTATTTTGATACATAATTATTTTGTTAGGTTTTGGTCTAAAATTTAATTTTCAATAATTCTACTTAAAAGAATGACTTAAGATAGATTTCTTTTAGAATTTTTGCAAAGAAATTATTTAAATCAAGGAAGTTACGATTTCCACAATCATGAATTAAATAATAGATTATTTGATGGTATTCAAATATAAGTCAAGTTAGCTTACACATTGTTAGTTACAATTTTGACACTTTCTCTATATAAGAGAGTACATAAAAACTTTTGGTGAAAATTTTAGGATTTTTTGTCAGTTATATATGAAGAATTTACGTGAATTTAGACACATATTTTTTGTACATGCTGTGTGTATGTTCAACACTTAGTACAAGTTAGTGTTGCCTCCGTTTTGTCATCCAAAGTGTTAACTCTCATAAATATCAAAACTTGCGTGATACTAATATTGCTTTGATACACAAAATAAGAAAAATGAACTATGAATAATCCAAATTAATAAAATTGACCAAAATATATGTAATTCATTTGAATAATGTCACGCGCACAAAAAAAAAAAAAAATTTATGAAGACACCAATTCGTGTAACACAAACTTGTCTCCATCTTATTACATAACGAAATATCATTAGTCTAATGATTCAATTAACTAGAGTATGTAGATTTTTAATTTATCATAAAAAAAAATCATTGCTAAATAATCAAAATATATATTGGATGTGCAAGTAATACTCATATCTTAGCGTTTTCATAAACCAATATTTATATAACAACATACAAGTGTAAAATTGTATTATATTGTATAGCATTGCAATTTAAATGTAATATTTGAAATAGATTTTTGTAGTACTAATAATATTTTCATATATTTTCTACATAATGATAAAATGCAAGAGATACTAAAATCAATCCAATTGAAGACTTTGCTTTTATAATGTTTAATATTTACAATCATATTAATACATTGTAACTAAGGAATCAAAGTTTTAAATTCAACCATTTCATCATTTGAACTTATTATGCGATAAGTCCACATATGCAAACCTTATAAATGTATTTACACATTTATGCATTAATATAAAATTGTATAGATTTCATAACTTTTATTTCATAAAAAATGGATGAATTTTAAATTTCAATCTTAATTAGATTGTATGAATCCCATATATATGTCACTCCACATCATTGTGATAGATATCAAGGTGTATTGATAGTTCTTAGAAATTAAAACTCTCAATGTCAAAATGGATTAAAACACTATTCATTTGTTACATATGGGTTCAATTTCATACTAATTGATACAAAAATTATATGAATTTTTAATATTTACATTTTAGTTCTTTAGAAACTTCAAATAGATAAATTATATGATTTTTTGGTACACAATACAAATCATAAACAATTCATACGATAAATACACTTGAATCGGCAAACTCTTTATGTACTATTTCGTGATATACAATAAGGTATAGTCAAATCCCCAATATAGTCAAAATTGACAAAATCCATTTTGACCAAAAATGGATTGAGTCACTTTTAGATTGAGTCAAGTGGTATGGTCAAAATTGACTACACATATAAGATGTTACGAACTCATCTAATGATCAACTTTCGAGCTATTTTATCATGGAAACAAACAGCTATTGGCTTTCATGTAGAAATCTGGATGTTATTCAGAACTCGGTTTCTCACACCCAGGCTTGACAAAAAGAACTGGCTTGCGAACTGTTGATGCGAAATTTCAACAATGGACGACATTCTTCTTAAAATAAACTTGTTACATGAAGACGACATCTGACGACTACATTCAACATACATCTTTGGTACAAAGAGAGCTATCTCTTTCTCTCGTGTGTCTTACAAAAAGCTTAAGTTAGAACAACTATTTAAGAATTACAACTTTATAAGAGATGTAAGAGACTCACTCATTACGGTCCATTGGGCAAATCCATCAGTTTCTATACGTCAAGATTAGAATTCTCCGCGCTTTTCATATCTGGTCACTCCTGTATGCTTTCAATCGTCGGAAAACGTATTAAACAGTCTTTCTTGAAAATCCTAACCGAAAGACTTGGTCATACTCTTGACACATTCAGGCGTTTGTTAATCTATATGATTCCTGCTAAACACCCATAGGAAGTATTTGATAAATGGACAACAAACAAATACATGGGTTTGGGAAGAACCCCTGAAGCCTCATAAAGTCCACAACTAAAGGGTGACAACGGCTAACTTCATAGCACAATGATGAAATGTATCTAATATAAGATCAACTGCATACTCCGGGCTCACCCAACAACGAAATGGAATAACCGATACAGTCCGCACTTACAAACTGTTGGGAGTCAATCCCCAAGAGCCTGAAACTTCGGGTCCCTCCCTGAAGTTGACTCCATCACTCCAATCATCCAAGTATTTAAAAAACACAGGCTCCACTAGATAAATTTTCACCTAGTACCACGTGCTATACGCACCATTGTATCATGAATTGTTCGGATCATAACACATCCTGTGAATGTACCATCAAAAGCTCGAGACTTACGATATTCTTTCGTGCGACACAAATGGTTCCACTTACGGACTCCAGTGAACGGAAATGTCCGGATACATCCCGAACATCCCAGCCCTCCCATCGTTAATTCTTTGAATTTCTGGTAGGAGGACAAACATACAACTTGCTGTGGAATCCAGCACCGGACTTCCAGCACGCAAAGCATCGACGATGCCGGAGGACCAAACGCTAGGCTGGTCCGACTAGGTTTTCACAGCTCTCGTGGAAGAACTTGACTGACATACAATCATGAAACCTCAGTGCTTAGGTGACAGAAATAATTTAGTTGATTGACACTACGTGAGAAAGTCGATCCATATTTTCATCCACAACCCACACGTTAGAATAGTGACCATCTTTATAAATACTCGAGAGGTTCCTCAGGAAGACGCCCAGGAAAGTAAACCACATAGTTCACATTTACCGTGCCACTTGGTCTACTTAAACGAGCAATAGGCCTTTTTCCCTCTCCTTCTGATTATCTGCAAGCTTTCATCCCTGCCATTCAATACCGAAGTAGGCATAGAATACATTCGGGGATGGCGCAGAAGCAATAACAGCCCTAGATTTCTCATCTCAGATTTTCTTGTCTGCGCGGTTCTGGATGGCGAGTCAACAAGGTATATCAAAATCAATGATGATAGAAACGACCGATATAAACAGGTTGACCATAATAGATCATCTACAACCAGATAATGATCACAAAAGACCGGAATGGTCGCTTCAAATTGCCCACTTCCTCACGGTCCAGGGAAGTGCAAAAGATGAAAGGCCGCAAGCAAAGCTTAAAACACTACATCTTATATTACATCATAGAATATGACCACTGCTTCACTGCCTTCACAAGAAAAATTAAACTCCGAGGATGAAAATGGCCACGGCTCCTTCCTCACGAGGCTAGCTTGTATTGAATTCCGATGCTTCTACGTCTACGTTGCATTCAGCTGGATCCTACAGTTTTTCAACGACCAGCGCTAGCCAAAACATATGGAGTAAGACCACCTGCATATGATAGGCACATGGGTCACGCCATCAAGAACAGATCCCCACCCCCTCCCAGACACTGCCAGCGGACAAGAGATGCTCTCTATGTTTCATCGTCGCCGCACTTTTAACATTTGGTAATAAGCACCCTGGAGCATTAGAAAAAACTCCTGTTCATAGCGATCGACTTGGAAACAATACCAGCACAAGGAAAGTCCGACGTCCTGACGATGAATGTACCGTACGCCTTTCAACTAAGTTTGTTTGTCTCTGGTGAGAACTAGAGACACCCACAGACACAATAAAAACGAATATTCAATTTTAAATGGATGCCCTCCCTACAAACTTGTTTGACACAATCAAACCTCCTGGCCCCTCAAAGGTCTGACAGATTCTGAGATCCATCAAGGGCTCATGAAATACCCAACTAAGATACCCAGAATACCCACAATGAAGACAAACAAAAAGGAAAAGCCCTGTGATTGTTGCCCCTTAACAGCTTGAGATGAGCCTTTCCCAGCATTTCTCTTGTCCATGACCGCTACCATATTCGTCTGCGATCAATTCAGTATACAGTCTAGTCAGAACGGACCAGGACGTTCAGAGACGACGGAAATGACGAAAAGACCTCAGCAAACCACCTCCCAGACTTGCACAATTCTAATATCAACGATGATTTGTCAAGCTTAAACTTCAAATCCGATATGACCCTTAGGTCAATGAGACTTGGCGTCCACGGCGAGGGTAGGAACTCCCGAAGGTACGGTGGTAGATGTCTCTAGCGAAAAACAGCATGCATGAGCTGCGCCACAGTTCCGCACATAAAAACTCGAGGTAAAAGCGTACCAGTTCTTGCTGCAGTCGCTGGCTCAACTCCAGAGCTGAATTACGCTCTAATGTCAGAGTACTCAAGGACGCCCTTAACTGCAATTTCAGAGCAGAAATTAGAATATACAGTTACGGCAGGCTCTGATTTGAGAGTTCTTAGTGTGTTTCAGATATCTACGGACCCTACGACAAAATGAAAAAGTGGGGGCAGTAAGAATGACGAGCTAGGATCTAAAAAATCCAAAATTCTCCCGAGTAAAAAATCCACTCAGAAATCCACACCTCAGTAAGCTTTGCCTTCATTTCATTGACGTCCTTTGAGTTCTGCAACACACAAGGGACTATAAGAAAAAAGCTGAAAACTGTGCAAACTAATACTTGATTCGAAACTAAGTGTTTGTGAAAAAACTAAATGTAGCAAGTTAAAAAACAAAAATACAGTAACACGAGGTACAGGCAACTGAAAGCCTGGCAGCTTTCTTTATTACAACTGGTACTAAACTTCTACAAGCATTAATTTGGGAAGTTTTGAATTCACTTCCAGTTTGAATCAATCCCTTGACTCTGTAAGCAGTCAAAGTGAGGCGGATGATCTGGATTACCTATGTTCAATTTTGACGCAACTTGCTAAATATGCAATGTTGCTGCGTAACCTACACATTCAGTTTGTGAACCTGGAACGACTAATTCCTTCGCTTGCATGACTCCTTACACAGTCAATTCGCACAATCGTAGAATATAATTATCTACAACACTATTCTAAATGATGCGAAACCTTGCTACACAATTTTACCCTGCTACGCAATCTATTCAGAGAATTTTGCAGAAAGTTAGTCGCCGCTTTCTTGATTTTACGCCCTGTCAGTAAAATAAAACAAATCATCCTCAGCGTCTAGTAGCCCCCCAACTTTGGAGGGTAACTAAATTCGAACTTCACCACACGAGCATAAATACCCCCAAGAGTAAAGGAATATTAGTGCATCAGTGAGACAGTTAAGAAAAAAAACGGCTCACACACATTACAACAGCTAACCTGTATGATAATATTTTGGGGTAATTTGTATCCCCAAGCCGAGTGAGCTTATGCACCAATTAATAGGGGGACAGAATCGTGACGGGGATAGTATTGTTGATGTAATCAAGAGTAGTCTTAGTACTGCTAAGATCACGAAGAGTGAGCACAGATCAACTGAAAAATAAATCGAACCTCACACGACATCTACTTACCGCATCATGAGACAAGAAGTGTCGATCTCCATTGTCCGAAATAGAAATGGCCTTCGGTGATAACCCTTCCTCTGCTGACTCAGCAACAGGTGAAGGGGGTTGAGGTGGTGCGACATACAGAACTCTTAACTTAGCTTCATGAATTTCCTTCCCAGATTCCTTACTGAACTGTAAAATCACGACACACAACACAATATGAAGATAGTTAAAAAAAATAGTTAACTCAAGTCAAGTACATTATTCCGCCCTACTTTAAGATCATGAGGATCAGGTTGGGTTGAAAACATACCAGCTCCTGCGAGACATCTTTAGCCGACGTTCCAACTGGAGCACAGACGCTCTGAACTAAGAATTTATCCTTACATTGCATGTCAGGGGGTGCTTCCCGCTGCGCCTGCATCGTAACTGCACAAATGCCGATCGCATCAAATCAGATTCTTCAATGCAACTTTTTCTACCTCAATTAATGAGAAGCTTATAGCACCTCTTAGAACAACTCAACGAACCCAGCTTTCCTCGATAAATTACCTGTGACATCGGAGCTGCTCTGAGGCAGCACTAGTCCAGTGTTTGGACGAACACAATATTTCTTCGGAGAAGTAGTTTTTACCTGCACGTACATATACCGCTCATTACAAGGCACCGTAATCGCATCGGTGTGCCCACCGAAGCGGCTCATCATTCAAGTAATTGACTCGCTTCATCCCAAAACAAGGAGAATCATGTATGTAAACCTGGCGTAGCCTGAGAAGCTATCGAGAAGTCAAAGACAAGATCGAGAGTATATTTACCTTAAAGGCAACAAAGTTGTCCGTTGCATTCACAAGACGCAAAGAACATGATATTTGCTTCTTCAGCTCAACTGCACCACCGACACAAAGAATTACGTTAATTGCGGCTTCTGCAGATCCACTTGAAACAATTGCCAGCTGACGTAGAGAGGAAGGCCACTGCGTCTAGCCGTGTTTATTGAGCACGAGCAGCCAAGCAAGATTGATTTCCTAGATCTGCCAAACTTTATGAAAGGCAAATCCAAGATGATCGTCCCGCAATGATATCAAAGCCAGACAGTGACACTCCACAACCGACGTAATCTTCCCACAGGCTCATCCGGACATTCTGAACGTGAAGATCTACAAACGCGCACATATCCCAGACACAACGCTCTTGGGATTGATCACCTGTGACCTAAGTGTGATGAAAGAAATCTTAGTTCCGGGATATAGGGAGCGTTCATTGGGAAATTGCAGGCAAGACTGTCTAAAGGTTCCCATAACTCTCCGACGGCCATCTGTGTGGTAATGGTGTTTAGATTGTCGATATGTGCTGACTCTCTTCAGGATCGAACATGACCAAACACATTCCTTCTGTCAGGTAAAGCGGGTGTGAAAGTTGCTGTTCAGCACTGGACAGGAGAAACGGAGATGAAGTGTGGAGCCAAGGCTCTTCATTCTAAACTGATTCGCAGACAGTCCCTGTAATGGAGATTAGAGACGCTGCTCCTGATTGCCTCCAGTAAGCTGGCACCTTTGAAAGTGCACCCTGATGGATATACAGGCTCGGCAAGGAGCTCACTACTCGTTGGCCGAATCGGCACAACTTACAGCTTCATCCACAGCTTTGATCGATCTGCTCAAGTCGCAAGAAATGTGATTTGAAAGTGCATCGAAGTTGACTGGAGATAGTCGCAAGAAGAATCCAGTAAAAGTAGAAGGCAGGCTTGTATGCAAAGCTGCGAGCGACGTTCCCTTTCAACTCATCCACGTCAATCCTTGACGCGTTCTCGGAAGGCACGGAGAGAAGCACGACAGACTGTTCTGTAAAGCTTGATAAGAGCTGCGGAAGCTCTTCTCGACCATTCCTTCTCAAGAGAATTTACGACATGATCATACTTGGATAGAATGGCACCAAGACACTAGACGAGCGCGAAAGCAAGACGACGGCACATGATGAGACCAATCGAATGACTGGAGAGTGGTATGTAGCGTACATGGAAACTTGAGTTCGCCGGGCTGGATACTCAGGAGTTCGCGTTCACCGGGCATGGCTGCGATCGTTGGAGGTTACTGAAGCAGTCTTATCCCTGAATATCCTCCTAAACAAGACCCCCGGCCCTTCTACTTCCTGGAAACCGATCGAGGAAATTTCTGATCCGCTGCCGAAAGAAAGAGGGAGAAACTAGGCAGGCGGTGAGCTTGATTCGAGTTATCGATACTCTTAGAGCCCTTTTTCATACAACATTGAAAGCAAGAGTCGCATGCGAGCCTTCCGCACGCAACCACAATCTAACCGACGCTTCACTCCCTGGACGCCTAATCAAGCCTTCTACTCAGATCCTCTGCAGCTCCCAACCACACGCGCTCCAGCTGGTCGGATCCCAAGGTAGACTTAGTCCGTCGCCCCGTGCCTTCACACACGGGACTGCTCCGCGTCTCCCCGACCGGAGAAAAACACCACCTAACCCTCACACACTACACAACACAACAAGTGCCCGCACACAAACAAATCCCTCCTCCTCCTCTCGCTCTCTCTTCAACTCCCTCGAAACCCTCGTCAACTCCCTCCCTCCCTCCCTCCCTCTCTCTCGCTCTCTCGCTCTCTTTCTCTCTCTCTCTCTCTCGTCTCCTCTCTCGGCTCGGCTCGATCGTCCGCTCCCCCTCCGCTTGTCGTCCGCCCGCGCGCGGCAACCAAGCAGCAGTGGCAGCTACCAGCACAACAACTGCTATCGATCAATAAAAGCAAAGCCTCCTCAAGCCTGCACAGCACACCACCAGCCCGCCCGCCCGCCCGCCCGCCTGTCTGCCTGCCCTCCCCTCCAACGCCCGCCCGCGCCCGACGATGGATGCAGTGAGCAGAGTAGAGGCGGTGTGGTAGTAAGTAGTAGTAGTAGTAGCAGTAGTGAGCACTATGAACTCCTCTAGAGGAGACCGCTGCGGCGAGCTTGCAGAATAATGGCCGAATGTTCTGGAAAGTAGCTCCTCTCTCCCTTTCCCTCCCTCTCTCTCTCCCTCTCGCTCCCTCTGACTCACTCACGAGCGTTCACTTCCTCCGTCCGTCTTTCGTCGTATCTCTCTCTCTCTCTCTGTCTCTCTCGCTCTAGCTCTTGCTCTTGCTCGCTGGCCTGGCTCCGCGTCCTGCGCCTCTCGGCTGCTGCTGCTGCTGCTGAGTCTTGTTCGTCTTCTTCTATCTGAGAGCCCCGATCGAGGCCGATTGCGTGCGCCGCGCGATTCGGTCGAGCTTTTGAGGGCTTTAGGAGAAGCTGCGAAACAACGACGACGACGACGACGACAATGAAAGCGGGGGAGGCCGACAGAGCAGAGACCCACTCACAGCGCAGCACAGACAGACCTCTCTCGCCAACAATAGCCCGCTTCGTCCTTTCTCCTCTCTCTGCCCTCCCTCGTCCTCCCCTCGCCCTCCGCCCGTCACGAGCCAAGATCCCTCCCTCCCCGCTCGGGGCCCCGGCACTAGGTCAGGACGGGTCGTTCCTCGCCTCCTGCTGCCCGGCTGCCCCGCTTTTCCGCTGCCGTCGTCGTCGTCCCCACCGCGCTCCAAGGCGCGCGGATCGAGCGTACTTTGAACCGTCCGGCGCCGTCCGGGCCGTCGTCGTCTCCCGTCCCGCTACCACGTCCGCCCGACGCTTACCGGGTTCACTCGACCGCCACTACCACTGCGCGGTAGAAGCTGAACGGTCTAGATCGGCCCGGCAACGGCTCCTAGCGCGGCCGCCCAGTCGTCGTGGCCATCCGATGATGCGATGATGAGATCATCGATTCGGAGAATCGAGGCCTTCTCCCGCGTCGGATGTTGCATCTGCACGGCTGTGGTGGATCCGGTCAGAGCCCGGCCACCTGTGCGCAGGAGCTCGTTGGCGTTGACGTGGAGTCCCGGCCGGGTGTTAGTGCGAAACTACCAACCAGCTTTCGTCCGGCTTTTCTGCCGGACTACTGGGTCTAACAGCCAGTGCGATAGTTCCGAAATAGTCAGACTCGGAACCACTCCACGCTTCGAGTAAACGCTTATCTGCCCGACTTGCCGAGTTTTACTTCCAGCCGACATGCGCGTTTACCTGAAGTTAATGAAGTTAATGTTTCTGGCTCGTTACTCGCAAGTCTTGCGAAATATAAAGGTCAAATTAACGTGACGAGCTGGTTGATTTAATCCACTTTAATCTGGCACGTGGGACTCTCCTTGACGAAACAGTGATCAATTGAGTTCCTCCTGTTCAGCCGTTTTCACATCTGATTTCTAAGAACTTTTTAACTCCAGCTCCTTGTTCCTTGAATATAGTTGCCTCCGCACTTTCAGATTTAGGCTCTTTTAAAAATCCGATGATTTATACAGGCTTCCCAACTATTCAGCAACTTGTGTTTGGGGGCTTCACATGTGTTCTCTTGAGGCATAGGGCACAAAGACTTTAGATGGCCTGACTAGCTGTACAATCTTTGTGAAGTTATAACCTGCTTTTATAAAGTACACAGGTTTATTTCTCCAGTGATATTCCATTGAATTATTATAAAACTTAGTCGAACTATATTTTCTAATTTGCCAATATTAATTTTCCAATACTCCCATTGCAACGAACTTTTCATGCTTTCCATCCTAGTTTTCAACTTTGAACTATGTTCTAGTGGGAAGAAATATATAAGCATATTATTAAGCTATAGGGTTGTGGTTGGCATATGGTATGATGTACGTGATGGAGTACCTTGCTTCGTCATTTCTGTTTGATGCTATCTCCATAAGTTTCATTGCGTTACTTAACTATGGAGAGATACTATGCATAATAACTTGTGTAATCTAGTCTCGAATTAGCAACAAACTTTTGATAAATCTGATGATGTTGGTATCCAAGATGGAGATTCTTTTGTATCATTTATATATCTCAAGTCTTATACCTCAGCTACTATGTTTAATATTCGAATAGCTGCAGTGTCCATCATCTTTCATGAAGATATAGGTATGTTGTGAGCCATGTATTTTGAAATATTTATATGTTTGATAACTTGATATTTAAAATTCAATTGATTTGTTTAGATCAAGATGTTGTTTTATATAACATGAATGTAATATTTACACTCATATTTTGCTTATTTTGATCAACAATATATCTTTATATTAACATAAAGATAAAAAAATGCTCATGAAGTATAATTTGTTGTTCTAATCGTCTTTTATTGTAATGAGGTGATTTTGAAGATTTGTATGTTCAATTGAAAATTAACAACCATAATACATATATATATTGCTACAACTCATAAAAAACAAAATGTGTTCATATTAAAAATAATATGAACACATTTCTATTGAAAACATGTAAATAAATAACTAATCATGTATGTTAAATCATGTTTGATGTAAGTGATGTTTATGTGTTCTATAAATATGTGATTGATTTGTTGCAACCTTAATATTTTATTCATATTCAAATAATGATTTAAAAAAAATTAATCAGACCTTACATTTTGTTCTTGATATAGCTTTTGTTAGCATCACAAATGCTCAATTGATTTTGTTGGTTTTATTTATCTACGGTTTTCCTTTTTTGATCCAAAGTAATCATCAAAATCTGCGCACCACATCATTTCCATGCATGCTTTAATTTTTTTTAAATAATCAATATCTTGCATAAGTATATACATTTGATATAAGAAAAATTTCATCAGACAATAAAGGATATACAATGTCAACAACCTAGTGAAGAATTCATTGTTATGATAAAGAGTTGGCTTTATTATCATAACAAAATTTGTTGCATTGTGATATTGATATGAAATGATGAGAAATGATCATTTAAAATGTTACTCAAATGCTTTTATTTCTTCAATCTAATGATTGACGAATACTGGTCAATTGATATTTATTTTTGTGCTTACTAGTGTTGTAATATTAAATATTATAATGAATAATTAAAATTAAAATTATAAATCCTAAAATCTTTTATAAAATCAATTTTTAGTTCCAGTTTTTAAAATAAAATAATTCAAAATGTTCAAAATAATCAGTTTTCATTATACTTGAAGCCAATAATTATTTTTTTAAATAAAAAAGTAATCATTAAAAAAAACTATAACTAAGTAATGTTCTATTCAGATTAATCCTCTAAGTATTTTTAAAAAAAGATGATCATGTGATTCTACTATATTTTCATCAAAATGAAGCAAAAATGTAGAGAAGTATTGGGGTTTAGGATAATAATAGAATACACTGATAATGAGATTTTATCATCAATTGAATGGATGAAAATGCATTTAATCAATTTATATACATATTTTATATGTCTATTTTTATAAATGAATTATTTTTACAATTTCATTGATGGTTTAATATGAAATAAATTAGCACATAAAAGTCAAAATATTTATTTCATGTACATTTTTGAAAACAAAACAATTTTTTCTTTCTTATAAAAATATAAAAGATGATATAAAACCGTGGCTGAAAGTTTGTTGTACAAAGTGTGGAAGAATTCGTCTTGTTTCTTCTTCCGACATTTGTTAGTAATATGGCATTGCTTCTTGCAGTAGAAGCATTTCATCTTTTTTCAAAGAAAAGATGGCTTCAATGTAAGCTTTTGTTGTAATGAAGATGAAGAATCAGCTTCATCAGATCTTCTTGACTACATCTTTTGTTTGGAGTGACTCCACTATCTTCTGTTTATGGTGTAGAGCGTTGTCATTCTATTAATCAACTCTTCTTCTTTGAGGTGTGATTCTTCAAGAAGTAGACTTGCTATGACAGATCGTGTAGACAACATCTCGTACATTCGCATTGAGTGCACAAAGGTTTGATATTCTAGAGTAAGACTTTGAAGTATCTAGATATAAGCTTTTCCATCTTAAATGGTCTATACTATAGCAACCGACTGGTCGAGAAAGAGAAGAAATTTTGTGATGTGTTTCGCCACAGACTCGCTTGTCTTAATTATGACAATAATCTAACAGGATGATACAACATGTTGCATTTGACTAATCAAATGCAATAAGTTATTAATTCACATAATGCAACAATATACATTTGTATAATACATTTCTTGTATTAAATTATTTTTTTGGTATAAGTTACTACAAATGACATGCAATAATTTAAATAGTTTATTTATGATAAGAATTGAATTTTTTGAAATAATATTTTTATATTATTTTATATTTCAAATATCCGTACAACTTCAACATGCAAATATAAATTCATAAATGTTCAATATTGTTAAAACTGTATTAATATTTTTATAAAAAATTATTAACTTACAATATAATTTATACATATATTATATTTTAGCTTTTCATATGTTTTCTTATATATTTTTATTGATTCATGTATTAAAATATATAAACAACAATTTCATTTGAAATGTATTTTATAAGATAATATAACTTAAATTGCATTAATTACATATTTTTCCAATTTTGCATGCAATAAAATTTCTACTACAATTATAATCTACTATTAACTATCTACATTTAAAACACATAATTTGTCATTTGTTTTCACAAGGATTATAACTTTAAACTACTTCTTGATTTTAAAAACTATTGCATTTAATTGAACGAGTTGTGAATGTATTTTGTGTGCTTTATGCTTAAGAAGTAATATATATATATATATATATATCTATTGATGTGACTTACAATCCATACATAAATGTTGCATAGACATCATTCAATATGTAACATCAATCATAATTCATTTATATGTATATATAAAATATTATTTTATTTATATTTTAATATATTTGATATTTATTAAAATTTTATTTTGATAAATTTGTTCACATCTCAACTAATGTATCATTCAGGTAATTTTGAAAATGATATTTTTTATTGGATTCATAAATATTTCATTAGCATTTTATTAAATATCATGAGCTATCACTACTTTAAAATTTTTGTGCAAGATTTACATCATTTAATTTAATTTATTTTTCTAATTTTCTTATGAATTTTTTTAAAGAATAAATTTGATATGCAAATAAAACTATTATATGCATATTTATTTACTTAGATGATCTTTTATATAATAAAATGTATACATAAGTTTAAATGTTTATATTTGCGCAGTTGTATTTGTAGATAATCAAAATTTTCATAGTTTTTGTATTTTATTAATGTAATTTAGATAAAAGATTTTCTCCCCTGTTGGAGGAATATTTTAACAGCAACTGGACAAATACCAAAACAAGATCAGTCATTAGTGAGTGATTGCATGGAACGTTCCAAGCATGGGCCCAAGAAGAAAACATCATGTCCAAAACTACTTTGATGAAATGAATGTTTCGGACATGAGACAGTGAAACTCATAGCTCTTTCAGGCGAGGGCGAGAGCTTGAGGGATGCAAGTTGGGCTCAGAAACAAAGGACATGCCAATGCAGGATTCATCTGATTTTTTTAATCTCATATTATAATATTACGATTACTATATTATGAATCATGTCATTTAATAATTCTCTATATGTTTGACGAGCTACTAACTTTTCTTTACAAGCTATTAACTTCTTTTTGAACACAAATTGAAGGGAATAGATCTATCATCGATATGCTAGAAATAGTTTATGATCAAAATGATTATGTTTTAAATAATACATTTTATATTGAACTGATCTTGCTCATCACATTATTATTTTTTATTTAATTTGAATTGATGTATATGATTTGTATATATGTGTACAGAATTTTCGCTTGATTCACATTTTTAAACATAATGAGATTCAACCTAGATAAGTTTTTTTTATTCAGACTTAAGAATTTCTTACATTTTTGACTTGAAGTATCATTTTCCAAGGAAAAAAATGCACTTCAGATGTTTTACTCCTTGTGATTTTCTTTTGAATAAAAATATCATATTGAAGTACGCTTATGCACATGGGTTATATGACATGAGTCTTAATACATTCTTTCATGTTCCGGATAATATTCAAGTAAAATTAGCTAATCAAGAAAAATTGTTTGGTTCATTATCCACGATTTGCATAATTTCAGACAGCATATGGACTCTACTATGGTGTTCTTGCTTGGTTCAGTGTTGGCAAACTGATATTTAAAGTGAAGGTTTTTCTCAGGGGTATGTACTACAACATGTTGGCGACCATGTGCATGCTAGCATATAAATGTTCTCACCCGACTGAATCCAAATGTCAGTCTGTTGCGTGTGCCATTGGAAGACATCTCTGAACTGAATTCTAATAGCAAGAACCTGACTTCAAGATCATGGGGTCGTCCGATCCAGCTCGCTGTTGACCTGGCGCTGTTACTACTCGGACATAAGTGCTTCAAAAAGTGCCCACATTCTACATCTCACGAGTCGAAGAGAAGAAGCAAAGATCATGAAACGTGAACAAACGTTAAACTCGGGTCCACGCCTAAACACTGCACAGACTGCTAACCTTCGAAATAACCCGTGACCATGTGGGTGGTGGTGGTTCTTTGGATCACGAGAATTTGCGTCCCAAAACCTTGAGATCGACCCACAAAGCCCCAAGCTCAAGCTCATGAACCGAGAGGCATAAGTTATGCCACCTACAGTTATGCCGCATTACTATAGGTGTGTATGTATAATTGCGGTGTTATACACGTGGTATTATACCACTGTATTATACAACACATCCAAACCATACCTTGTATAATGAAAAGTCCGTAGTGGAGTCCGCACAAGTGTTGCTGTCTTGCCACAGGTGTACGATTTCAGATTTTTCATAGACTCTACTCGAAATGGGGAAACAAAATATGCTATTTGGAGAAGTTCGAATCTTGATAGCGGATATCAATCTGAACTTGAAGAATACCCGTCCACGATGCTGCTGGTGGTAGCAGCGATGAATTTGATAGCGTTGACATTTCCGAGAGAATTGAAGGCATGAGGAGTATATCTTCGAGGCCGAGTAGATGATAGACGAGGATAACATAAGAGTCTAGAGTATCACATGAGGTGGACCTCTGAGTGTTGTATTATACTACGCAGTCCACGAAGAATTCAATTATACAGACCCATAGGCATTACAATGCGATGAGTGGGAGGGAACCGGTCGGGCAAAAGCAGGAAAAAAACAGAAAAAAGGAAAAGAAGAAGAAAAATGCATTTGTATCCAAGTTGCATGCAGGAGGCTGACTGACAGGAGTCCTGACCGGAGCGGAGCAGGGCTGACCGGACGGTCGAGTCAGCAAGACGATAGGACGAGGAGGAGGGGAAAAGAGTCCTGTGCCGGTCGAACGAGGCCCGGGGCGATCAGACTTCGTACTGCGCGCAGAGCCGAGCCAGTGCACAGCACAGTTCACAGAAAGCGCAAAGAAAGGGGCAGCCAGAGGACGAGGGTGACATTAACGAGCGATGCCAGCAGCGGACAAAAAATCCTCCCTTTGATTATCGCCCAATCGTGCTCATCGACGCCTTCTGCGTCGTGCGCTCTTTTGGGCTCGATCGATCCGGGGCAGCAGCCGAGCTGACAAAGGGAAGGAAGGAAGGAAGGAAGGGAGGGAGGGTTTGGACCTCAGGGGCAAAGAGGACGAGCACGAGGATCCCGCAGAAGGGGAAGGGAAAGGAAGGGACTGGAGTGAGAAGTCCACAGGCGGAGAGATCGAGGTTGGCTGCTGTCTGGCTGCCTCAGTTTGGACTCAGTGCTGGGTGTTGGATTTTGAGTTTTTGACAGATTGGGGTTTGGACAGGATTGGAGATCGGAGAATTAGACGGGAGGGGTTTAGGAAAGGGTCAGGTGGCGGTTTCAGGACGATCTGCTGATACGAGGGGAGGGAGAGTGATGGTGATCGCGGACAGCTTGAAGAGGAGGTGAGAGGAGCAGGAGCAGGAGGACGAGGAGTGGGGAGAAGAGGCGGAGACAGATGTTGTGGATCAGGCAGGGGAGGGGTGGCGGAGTAGAAAGCTTCCGAGCTGTCAGGGAAATGATTTGGGGCAGCTGATGCACCTGCATGTCAGTTGAGTGCCTCGGTCTCCTTTTGTGGATCAGGTCCTAAGGTGAAAATTTTGATGCCAGATCAACTTGAACCCCTGCCGTACCCGGAATTAGAGGTGTGGCGGAGGTGGTAAACTCAGGAAGAAGAGGAGCCCAATTTCAAGGGGAAAGTTGTACTCGACTCGTTAGTTCTCGGGATTTCCTGATTATCTGCGTAGTTTTCTTATCCAGGTGGGCAAATCCGAGACCACGGTGTTTTAGGTCAACCGCTGGCCCAAGGCAAGCCGTGGAATTGAAATGAAAGCCCGGGCCGGTTGGTGATAGTTTACCGACAGTTTGAGCTTTTTGTGACGATCGGTTAGCCACGATGCAGTCCAGCGTGAGGGCAGTAGAAGCCTACAGGCGGAGTCGCTTGATAGATAATGTGACCACCGATGAGGATAAGGTATCTCCCGTTTATCGACTCGAGGAGATCTGCACTTTTTTGCGGAACTCACCTCTGGATATCGTGCGGGAGATGCTTGAATATACTCTTAAGAGACTGGAGCACAAGAGCCCCATTGTGAAGCAAAAGGTAGTAATTTCATCTGAATTTGTCTTTTGGACTCTCTAGAGACCTGCGCAATGCCTATGTAATGTTACATTACACCAACATCCTGCGCAGTCGCATATGCTCATCTGAAGTGTCTGTACCGCCCGTTAGCCGGACGTTGGGCTTTATTCCAGCTCGAGTCAGTGCAAAAACTGATCAGTGAAGAATGCTGTGTTTGTTGTGCAGACATTGAGATTTATCAAGTATGCATCGGGGAAAGCTGGACCGGAATTCAAACGAGAAATGCAGCGCCAAGCTGCGATTGTGCGGCAGCTGTTTCATTACAAAGGTCAGTTGGACGCTTTGAAAGGCGATGCTCTGAATAAAGCTGTACGAGAGACAGCTCACGAAGCTGTCGCTGCGATTTTTGGTCAGGAAGAGAAAACGACAACCATGGAAGATGTAGGAAAGCGCATTCAGGGTTTCGGAAGTACGAATTTCGACATGCCTAGAGAAGAAGAGAAGAAATCTGTTTTAAGTGGCCTCGTCGGGTTTGGAAGCAACTCCATCAGACAAAGTATTGACATGATAAATAACTATAATCATTATTCCGGTTCGAGTTCTGGAAGTGGTAAAAATTTAGGAAGCTACCGTGGGGGTCAAAGTCTTCGGAGATCACTAACGTCCGAGCGCGAGAGGCCATTTGAAAAGGAGGAAATTGCACATTGGGATTCTAGAGATGCTGAAGCTGACGAGAGCAGATCAGGTTCTTCACCGAATAACAACAAATCACACTCGAAATATGGAGGTGGCAGAGGTAGTGACGGAAGAGGAGGACATACATCAGAGGATCGACTGCTCGACAGCTTAACAGCTCCTGGCGGTGTTAGACTGCAGCCTACACGGGAAACACTTCAAACTTTCACAGTCACAGCTCAAAAGCTGGATGCTGCGAATTTGGTTCATTCTATCGAGACTAAATTGAAAGCTCACTCATGGCAGGTAACTTTTAAATTGTGTATAGGAGGTTTGAGAATGAACTGAGTGGTAGACTGTCTCGTTCAGAGGACCGATGAATTCTTGTTAACACGGTGAACTTTTATACGGATCTCTGTCAATATTGATTGCACTATTTGATCTAGTCCATATCTACTCTTGTGTTGCAACACCCATCTCTCGAGAGTCACTTTAAAGAACCCTCCACATGGAGCTATCATTATGTGTGGTTGGTTTTCCGGGTGTATGATCCTTCTTGTTGATTTGTCTTGGTTTTGTAGCTGAGGAGTAAGGACCTTTTGAGCAGTAATTGTGGGTGCTTCTTATGGTTATACCATCAGTATGTGACATGCTTATCAAGAGGTCTTCGTTTCCCAGGTCCGCTTCAAAGCTCTCTGTCTTTTAGAAGCTTCAGTAAGGAGCAGAGAAGATAACAGAGTGCTTGATTCAGTGGTCGCAATGTTTGAGGAGGATGCAAGTGCCATTGTTGATAGTCTACAGTCACCACAGACCTCCTTGAGAGACAAGGCGAAGAAGGTGAGTACGGAATCTTTGTGGTCAATGGTGGAACTTTACTTTTCAGGTGGGATACTGAATTGGTTAGGTTTTCTCTTTATTGAGAAAATTAATCACATGGGATTGAGGAGAGCAGCTTAGGGTTCTGTGAAATCTTGAGGAAGTTATGCCAGTCTAGGGTCGAACGCTAGCAAGCTCTTATTGTGTTCGGCATGATTTCAATTGCAGGTGATGGAGATGCTTGGAGGTGGGCTCAATGATGGGATCACCGAGGACAACACAGAATCAGTCAAGTCACCAGCAATATTGAAGCCACCTCCCGTAAACTACCCAGACTTAATCGACACAACAGATTTTGACTTGCTTGACGATACAGAAAGCGTGCAAAGTACACCGAAATCTCCAAACATGGAGCAACCAGTGAAGAATGTTGCTGCTACCGTTGTCCAGCAGGACCTCTTAGATGGAACTGACTGGATGAATGACCCTCCTGCAAAAGCCTCTGCTAATACATCTGAAGCTGATCCATTTGCTGGCATGTCATTTCACGATTCTGACACTGCAGTTGGGAATGGTGGCGACGGTGATCTTTTCTCAGGCCTCGATGTGGATAGTGGGAATCGAGTTGGAAATGGTGCTGTTGAAGGTTTAGGGATGAATGACAGCACCAGTTTATTTGACGGTCTATCTGTCACCAGTTCCAAAGAGGCTGCAGGTGCGCAAGACGATTTATTCCAGCTCATGGGGAACCTTTCGGTTGGCAATTCAACGAACAATCATGTTAGTGAACAATTGCAAAACTTAACGCCCTCCAATCCTATGCAACAATCTATGCCAAGTGCTATGGGTGGTCCACCGAACTCTTTCCAAACCCCGATGCCAGGCAACATTGGAGTTCCAGGTCAGGTCCAGGTTTTACCTGGTATGCAGCCACATATGATGTTCATGCAGCCTCCCGGCATGGTGCCCATGGGGATGCCTGGACTTTTTCCTCCTAATATGCTTCTACAGCAAGCGTTGGCCTCGGGAAATATGAATTTTGCCTTAGCTGGCGCATTCGGGCAGCAGTTTGCAGGTGGTATCCCTGGAATGCCAATGTTCGCAGGAATTCCTCAAACAAACAACGTCAGTGGCGGAATTCCAAGTCAGAACTACCGCGATGGTTTTGATTTCTCTAGTGATGCAACAGCAAGGTACTCGGTTCCGGAGACGCCAAAAGAAGACACGAAGGCGTTTGATTTCATATCTGTAAGTTACTGCATCTTAAGCTAATTTATTATTGTTCTCATGACATAGGAATGGATTTTTTATCATTTTTATCTCTGCCATATCGAATTAAGGCTAAAAACAGTTCAATATTTGACCCCATCAACGTTAAAGTGGGATATGAGTCAAGAAGTGAATGGAAAAGTAAATGGCTAACTTGGAATCTCGCTTTCCTGTTTGTGATACAGGATCACATGTCTAATGTGTTGGGTCCCAAAAAGAGCAAGTGAACTACTTGGCGGATTCTCCTGTGCTTCGTAGCATGAAGAAAATATCTTCAATGCTGATGGGCTTCAAAGTACCTATTAGTTAGTGAAGACACAAGTCAAGGTTGTTGGAACCTTCTGCTGTTTGTTAGTTGAGACGGACAGCTCCGCGTTGATGTAGATCTGACAACAAGATCCTCTCACGAATTTGTAAAATTAGCAGCAAGTTCAATATTGTTGAGCCATTTGCCATGTAAATCTTTGAACGTGTGATTCTGCGGTTAGAACTAGAGACCCATGATAACGAGAATGTGTCGGGCAGTATTCTTTGCCTTTTTTATTAGTGTACTGAAAGTGTGGCATATAATTGGATCAAACATCCTCATTTCTTTCATTCTATCTCGACACCGTTTACATACCCAAATTGGTTTCTCTCGTACTGGTTTGCAGTTGTGTACTGCTTTGTTTTGTGTGGCATGGACGAACAAGTCCTCGATGCAACTCGGATGTACTTGAGCGTGGTACAAGCTCTTCTTCCACGATGACCTGTTAAAGGACCCCAGGCTGCCCACTGTAGTTCGCTGTACTTCGGACAGGTGTAAGGAGGTGATACAACCAGTTTCGATATAACCCACAGTTCTCGCTCTACTTGCAGTCTACCTAGGAAACCAAGTCTTCATGATCGTCTATGGGGATGTCCGGATCATTAGGGTCTGAGACGTGTCATGACAGCATGTCAACTCTGCATTTATTACCTGACACCGAATTCAGACAAAGGTCCTCTTCAGGACTAAAGGCCTGACCGTCACAGGCCTTGACAGAACTCTCTCGTAGCGAGCATAGCGAGCACGTCAACGGGAGAAAGGACGCAGAGTCACCCGTCACACCTAATTTACTTGGATTGTTGGCCCAGTAAGTTGTGATTTGAGCTCTCCCTTGTATGTCCAATATGGAGACTTCTGGAATTGTGTTCCAAAATCCTTTGGCATACCCTGATGAGGTTCGCCATTCTCAAGAACTCTACAAATCGTAGAGAGCTGAAAAATGAAACAAGCTTGTCGGTTACACCGGACTTCCTCGTTTTGTGGTCTGCAAGGGGAACATTCACAGCTGCCTTACCTACCCTACCGACAACGTGGTGGTCACAGAGACAACAGACCCAGCTGGCTAGATCTGTCATTTACCCAGCTTGAAGGACCGAGGAAGCCTCTGGGAGACTTTTAAAAAGTGGGATCGACTTGTCTTCGGCCAAATCGGTTGGAATTCATGGTCTCCGCACCGCTCCATGCATGTGGGTGCAAGAGTATTGTTTGTTGATTGCCTTTTCTCTGGCATGAAATCGGTGGATCCAAGGGCTAATCCCTTGGAGTAAAGTGTTTCCCACTTTTGACCTGGAGATGACTTTGCTTGCAATTAATTAGAGGAGTGGCTTAGCTCTCCAACCTGTCACTAGGAATGACCATTTATGTAGGAAACGTGGAGGGTTTGGAAACATCATACAAGATATCGCGAAGATGTAGAAGGCCCACGATGAGAAGGCGGCGATCATTCACCATGCAACAGTAATAAGGAGAATGAAGTGTCTCACATCGTCCACACTCACAGCTCGCAGATCCGCTAATACACTTGAGCTGATACTGGCCTCAGATCCTGAAGCTGAAGTAACCTGCCATTGTAGGGTACAATTGGCTGCCTTTAGAGGCTCAGCCTGGCGCATGATACGAACATGGTCCAGCAGATTCGCCCTTCCATTATATTGATATCTGAGCCACGCACACAACTTCCAAGGAAGAGGACAGCCTATTGTCATCATACGGCTGCACATCATTTGTCAGGAGCGGGAAAAGTGACTTCCTGGAAACCGAGTACTGTTGACGCAAATGATGTTACAAAGAACGCGAAAGCACAGGTCGCGTTCAGTTTGCCAGAGTAAAATGTCCATCGAATGTACCTCGGTTTAGATGGAGGTGATCATTCACGTGCATACGGAAAAATGGAACTAAGATGGTGGTCTAGTTATGATTCGAAACCTATCACACTGTGCCTCGCTCGAGACGTGGTCACGACACATCATAAACAGTTCATTGAAGGTGGTAATGCCGCAGGTGTGTTTCTAGGGTTTTATTTCAGATCGAGGAATTTGCGTCTTGAAAGCTGAGGCTGTGCACATAGCCGTCCATTATGATAGTGATAGAGAATCACATCAACAATCTCTGTACCATATGTAGCACGTTGGCCCATCACAACATTCGCCGAAGGTGAAATCAATTGTCAGGAATGTGTTTGAAGCCAAATTAACGATATGGAGGGAGACTTGATGTATCTCTCGAGTGGGGCCTAGCCCACTTTTACCCGTTTGACTTCATGTCAGTACGACTGATGGGACAAGGGACGGGAAGACCCCATCCCTTCTCCCATTTTACTCTGATCCCCGTTCTCTTGAGTACATGCCATCATGCAAGTGGCATGAGGAAAGGATGGGAAGGAACGAGGGAAAATATTCAATGTCGATGGCCGTTACAGAATCACCGGCCAGTCTTCGCAAAGCTTACAGTCCTTCGAGAGAAATTACTCTCGAAGCTCTCGACACGTTTTCGTAACATTCGTCAAGGAGCAACTCTGTCAACAAAGTGCACTCGTGTTTCCAATGTGGCATTCTTGCTATAGAAAACCACTCGACATGCACATCATCAAACTCAACAGATGTTTGCAATATTTCATTAGATATATTCTCCGAATGATTTGCTGCAGAGGGAAAGACTTGTCACGACAATAACTCGGAAAATTCAGGACATTGTAAAAACAGCGAGTCAGAAGGTAGAAAGGGGGGGTGAGAAACAAGCGCGAAGGCATTCCACCAGCAGAAGACCTTCACAGTTCCGTATGAGCAATAGAATATATGGTTTCACCATCTCCAAGCGTCACTGACGCTGCATCGGATGCCTGGAAGAAATTCTGCGACTGCTGCTTTCCTCGGGCCCCTTGTCAACCACTCGGGTCACATAAAGTGGGACGGACCTGCAGTAGGTCCTCGCAGGGACCTCTTGCTCTTCCCGCATGGACCGGCGTACAGCCGACAGACCTCCGCAGCAGCACGCGAGGTCTGTCGGGATTCTCAGCCGTGTGCGTGGTAGGGAGTGTTCGCCGTGGTTGCCTGAGCACATCTCAACTGCGTAAGTTGCGTTACGTCGGGTGAATATGGACCATGTAGTCACGAAGTGGGTACCACGCGTTTTCTACTTATCCACTTTAATTAGGAAGGGAGATGCTTCGAATATGAAGTCCTTTGACATCTCATGGAACACATGTAGTCTGAAAATGGTGCGATTGGATAGAATGAGAGAGACAATCTTTCTCGCTATAATCACCGTGCTTGCAGCCGCTCCTAAATCTAATTACTTCGATGTGCATTACATGCATGGGCTTTTTTTAGATTGCAGAATATCGAAGAAGTGGGGTTTGTGGCATTACAGTCGTTCCACGATGGTAGCATTTGCAAAGCTTAAGCTTTTTATGAAAGCGGTACAGCTCATAAGAATCCTTCGGTGTATACTTGTATTGAGGGTTTTGATATCCTAAATTAATTTTTGGAAGATGTTGAGAGTTTCTGAAAAATTCAACTCATTTTTCAAGTCAAAACATATATCATCATTTTGTAAGAAACATATGACCCATAAGTATACGGTTTAGGGTTTTAGTGATTGATTGAGTTTTTATTTATAACTCTTATTAAAATGAAATCAACTGTTTAGTATACTCATGAAGTGGATTTTTTATCATAGATTTCATTTCAATATTTAAAAGGAATATACTATCATTACTAGTTTATGAAATTTTTACTATTATTTATTCCTTTCACATGAAGACTTATACGAAATTGCAATTTATTATGTAATTACATTTTCAAGTATAGTTGTAATTCCATCATAAACTTTCCTTCATCGGAATATAAAATGAATTGTCTAGTTAAGCTATTAACTATGTCATATGAATAGCTCTTTTCGTTCCTAGCCTTCAATAATCTTTTAAAACTTGGAAAAAAAGTTTTAAAATTAAAATTATCAATCCCAAGTTGGGAATGTAAAGTTGTTGTTTACTGCAGAACCATCCAAGGTTTAGGTTTAAATTATTTATCTCTGTTTGAAGGTAACCTTCTGATGTTGACCTATGATTATATCTATAAAAAGTAAAAAGCAGGACATTCTTACATTTTGGAGAATTGTATCTTGTGTGATATGTATTCATGTTCAACATGACCATAACACTTTCACAAGTATTACAGTTACAGCTAACTACTAACCGTCACATCTACTTCTAATATGTTTCGAGAGAATAAGTTTCAATGCATATGTAAAGTGATAGATACTGATTACTTTGTCAAGTAATCAATATTTATCTTAGTTATTTATCTATTTATCTTATCTATTCGATACTCTACAGGTGAAGCTGGCTAGGTAAGACCATGTGTATGCTTTCGTTTTTCTAGAATTTCAGCTTGACTATTTACATTTGTATCACAATTACATATTTATATGAAGCGATGATTCAACTAACTTTTTGAACAAAAGACTCTCTTCATGTATTAAGAGTCTCAACATTACTCGTGACTGCGTGTCAACGTCCGCAAGAAAAAGGACCTCACTTCTTCCGCAGATTCAACTTTTGGTTTGAATAATTCTGCTTTGTCATCAACGTGCCGCATACGTAGCTTTCCTCCGTTACCACTTCCTCCAAGACGGTCCCTCACTTCTTCATCCGCACTGGACTTCTCAAAGTGAGTGGGTCGAAGAACAAGCTTGAGTTCGTTTTTTCTTTTCTGACCTTCTTCAACCCAAACATAACTCCTTCACATTTTAATTATGTCCTCCAAATACAATCTCAAGCATAGTCACAACTTTGAAGTAAGGATGGCTTTGATAAAACTCCACCTCACATGAGAACCGTCTGGTTTACCTCTTTCACCTCACACATACCACTGATATGATAGCATTCTCCAAAAACTCATCATAATCAGTTTCCCAATACATCAATTTACCTCCCGTGTTACTCCGTATGTACACTTTTCTCCTTCCCGTGGTTCTGTACAGGTTTAGAGTTCAGCTATTTTAACTGCAACCTGTAAACATAGGATCGTTTAAGTATACTTCGAAATCGCAGTGACAAGAAAATGTCTCACGCATCGCTCCAATTTAAAACTTTGTGTAAAAATCAATTACACGTTCTTGTGGCCTCTGTAAACTTCAAACCTCGTACCTTTCCTCAACCCGAGTTGAATGAAATGCATTTCGAGAGACCTGGTGTGAAATTCTCACACAAAGTCTCTCAAAATACACTCCACTTAAGAGGATGAACTCAAGGGAAGAAAACTAACCCTCGCATAGCGATTTCCCCCCATACTGAATAATCACTTTGTGTTCTGCAAAATGCAAATTATCTCCGAAAATCACCATCCCGTATTCCAACAGTCTTCACTCCCTAACATTCCACGCAATATCTCGACGTCCAGGTTACTTACCTTCTTACCAAGTCATTCCATCTGTACATAGGCAAAAAAGTCACTCACCGGACACCATGATGAGAGCTACCTTCGACATCAAATTCGAGACAAGAAATGAGATGAAGAGACCAATAAGATTTCCAGTGCTAAAACCTACCTGAGGAGCAACGAGTGGTCACAGCGCAACTCATTACTCTCCTTAACCTGCTGCTGTATTAGTATAAGGACGCATGTCCTGGTTTATTACAGTGGTAAAAACACGAAACCTCTGAAGATCTACGAGACTACTCAAGTCAGTCCCTCGAGTGGGGCTTGAAAGAATGCTATTCTGCTAGGTTGAATAAGTATACAAAGAGGAAAGCTTCCCCTACCGGATGTGATAACCATACCTCCTCGGATGCCTACCACTCTTTCTCAACTTCTTACTGCTCTTCGCGCAGTGCTGGTGTTGTCGAACACACGTGGAGAATTGTGATTTTATATGGGTGATATCGAGTAAGTTTCTCCTTTTAGCTCGGGTGGAGAAGTAAGACAATTTTCTTGTCACCGACATCATTTGCGACCTAAGCCTTCCCAGGCTAACAAGATTGATCAAAATAGGTGATAACCATAGGACTTGACATCTCCTAATCCGGACCCACGGTCGCCTCTCGCCGTCTCCTCTTCTTGCTCGGCTTTGTGCCTTGGTTTCCAACAGAGTGAGAAGCAAGACGTGGTAAAGGCACGCGAGAAGCTCCCAGTTGTCCAAACGAAATGGGGCCGATGCAGTAAGGCAGGGTGGGGACTCCGACGGCAGGGAGTCTGGAAAACAAAACACCGAAACATGTTAAAATCAAAAAAACCTTTTCTTCACACACGACCGCTAATGTGCTTCACACTGACTGGGAAGGCCAAAATGTAGGGCCCCGACCATTATTTTTAGGTAGCCCGCACTATCTTAAGTAATTAATACATTCTCATTCAGTAAAATTTACACTGGGTTGAGTCTATGCTGGAAACATACTTATTGGACTGAGAACTGTGGACAAGTGTGGGGAGCGTATGATATATTCACTAGATTGACCTTAGTATTCACACGGCTACTCCAACTGTACACACTGATTAGGATGTAAATCATAACAGTTTGACCCAATCTATTGATGACCCAAATAGTCTTGACAAATGCGATACATACGGTTCAAAGAGAAGTGTTGGTATATTGTGAAACATATACTATATAGTCGCACAGAGCAAATATGATACTCAACAGAGGAGATTCTTCGTTCAGTGTAAACTAGTCATAATTTTCACGATTTTGATGGTGAGGGTGTACGCATAATCCTAATCTTCTGTGAATGATTGGGCCTAAGCACACTACAAGTTGAGCAGTGACATGCATTTAGCTGGACCTTCTCGACAACCATGATCAAGGTAAGCATGTCAGTGAACTTACCACTTGGTAGCGCTGCAGGCTCCACCACGCCAGACTTGGATCCATTCAAGTTTGAGCATTTAATCTTGTTAAGCTCTTCTTTCAATAAGATATTTTCCTGAGAAGTGAAGGCGACCGTTTGCTGAAGAATTGAGCAATGGCTTTCCAACATCCGGTACCTCATTTCCAACTCCTTTACATACGATTTCTTTCTCAATCGTGATTGCGTAGCTGACTCTCGATTTCTCATGAGTCTGAACATTCAAACCAACTTATTAGAAACCCAAACTAAGATCATATTGACATTACAATTAACATTACAATGATGCAGTACATTCTACTTTGGTGCAGCATGTGGAAATGTCTCGGAGAGTGTCATCAGTCTTGCACCCTTCGGTCGAAAATAAGTCATACAAACACCAGAAACTAGACTTCCGATCGATTGAATGATTAACTCAAAATACATACACGCTTGCGTGCGGTACAAAAAAGTCTCGAAAAGGCCACAAACCTTATTCTTTTCTTCGTGTCTTCGTCCACAGTGCCCGTAACATCCTCCCCACTTGCTGTCGCATCTCCAGACTGAGTTGGACAGTTATTGCAGCTTCTGCCTTGCACTTGCTCGTCAGAACTGGTACAGCCCGACTCGGGGCTAAGCGACTTCAGCTCTAGAAAGCTGTCACAATGCAGATTGCTATTTGAGCGGCCAAGATCCAGAGCCCCTTGATTCAGTTCCGAGTGGCTTGTTCCTTCGGAACTGTTGGAACAGTACGGTCTGGTCTCGACTTGAGAGGTCGCAACTAGGTTACTTCCCAATTCGGCCCCGCTACAAGATACAGGACTCGAAACTCCCAAACGCCCATCGTCGACAAGAAACTCATCACTAGCGATGATTTGTGTCGCCTCCAGGCTCTCACAGCCGCCGGACTCTGGACAAATCTCAGATCTGTCCTTGATCTCCCAACCATTTGCCTCGTCAAAAGAGAAAAATCCAGGCGAAGGAGGCAGAAGAGACTGCGAGAAATCCCATGGCTCAGAATCGAAAGGCTCCTCGGAATCCACGAACAACTCCAAGACGTCCTCGAGACTCAAATCCAATTCTCGACAAGGAAGCTCGTTTGTCACCTCCATCGACGGGGAAGAAGAAACAACCCCTTTCTCGAACACAGCATAGAAGACGGTAACTTTGATCACGGAAGCTTTCCTCCGAGCGCAGATTAAAGCAGACGCTTCGGACGAACGAACAATCGCCACGCCACCACGCGCCACAGACGCAAACGCTGCTTTCACCGCCAGCAAACACACGAAACCGATCTGCTGGAATGTGCAGCCCCCACTGCCCGACTTCTTCTCTTCCACTCCTACAAGCGGTACGATCGCCCCTGCCTTCGGGCGAAAGTTTCCTCGTTCTTCCCATTGGGTAAACTTTGCCCTGTGACATGGCAAGCCTGTGATGAGTCGACACGTGGAGGCCCTTGGAAATTGGTTCTTTATTCCGGTCGACGGGGCCTTTGACGTGTACGACTAAATGCCAGAAGACCAAGGGAAGGGCAGAGGGACCAAGACTGACATGGACCTGCATTGCAGTCAGATGAGAACAAATTTTGAGATGTTAGTAATCAATTCCGTTCGTACTGAAAAGCAGTCAATGGACTGTTTTAAATGTGATCCTTTGTGTCGGATAAGAAAAATTTGGAGATGTTAAAATCAATGCTGTTATATATATGATCCTTTGTGCCGGAGATGGATATTTCTGAAAAGCACTCAAAAACGTAAACAATCGTCTTGAGATTATCATTGAGCAATGTTGAATTATTTAATAAAGATGTAACCATATCTACCATGTTAACTTTTTTGTATCTCATAATATAAACATCTTTGAGTTCAAAATCTTGGAGTTTAGGGTTAGAATGATTGAAGTCGGTCGCACTCCACTCTATCTCCACTTTTTGATTATAACACTGTTGTAGAATTGGTATGAGGAGTATATTGGCCAGATAATAAAAAACATCATGAGTAAAAATGTTATCAAATTTGATAAAGATATACATATTTAGTTAGATGTGCATATGGAGAGCAAACACATCTGTTTAGACTTGACAGTGACGTTATATATTACTCAAAGTCTGAGGCTTACAAAGCTTTACATAGCGTTCACGTTGAAAACGTGAAGTTCTACATTGACTTTCAAATTAGAATCTCAAGAATGAATAAATCGAAGTATGTCTAAATAATATAATTTCCCACTATATAAATTTTGACTACTATAGTGGAAAGAAAATACTGAATCTTCTAGCTTATTTGATTCATAAACTGCTTTTAGCTCCAATTTGATCGATCTTTAATGTTATGTTGTTGAATATAATGAACTAGATATGTTTTTATTGATACATAATAATGACTCACACTGGATTATGAGATGAAGCTTTGAAGTATTTTTGGTAAATTTATATATGAGGTAGTTTTATTTTTTTATTAAATATCACCAACCATCATTTTAAAAATAATTTGAAAAAATAAGATTAATATGAAAGAAAAAACATGTACTTAGAGAGTTATGCTTTATCTTTAGAACAAATTTAAATTTAAATTTTTAAATTTTATATCATTTGAAAGATATGGCATAAATATTTCACGGAAAGAAATTTATTTAAAATATTTATATATATGTTTATTATATAATTAAAAAATGTGATTAAATTTATATGATTATCTTTAGATAATGTTGTCGCGTTTTTTGAATAAATGAAAAAAATACATGCAAAAAATTATATATATAAATATATCTGATATCAATAAAAATAAATGATATATATGTTTTGTATACACTAAAATATCTTCAAAGTGATTGGAGAAGAAAAAAAAGACTAGAGTGTGTAAAAAATTTAGTTGTTATTAGTTGCAGATTTGATATAATAACATGACCCAAAAAAATATGTATACATATAAAATATATATAAAAAAAAATTTAACATATCAGTTGAAATCTGTTATTTCAATGAAGTAAGATCATATTCAAATATCGATTTATATGAATTAATAAAAAAATAATGATAAAATATAAATTTATTGATTTTAAACTTTACAGCAATGATAACATCATATAATCAAAGCACAATATGAATTTGATTTTACTGTTAGTTATACTTAAGGGTGCAATAATTTCCCCAACGTTTTAAACTATGTTTGATAATTCATACTTGTAATACTTTCTTACTTACTTGTGATAACTTTATGTTTTGGATATTAATTTGAAATAATTAATGAAATAATGGCGAATGAAACATATGGAAAAATGTTCTAAATATTCGTTTCTAGGTAAATATGCCATTTACTATCTTTCAAACTTGAATTTTATCAAAAAGTTGATTTTTTCAAAATTATTACAATTCATTATTTAAGTTAAACAGATGATTTTTGAAATTAGAAAAATAAATTTAGTCCTTTAAATTTTAATTAATTAGATTTTGCATGCATGTATCTGATTTAATGAAGTGATTAATTCAAAATTAAAATTTCACATATTGGTTTTTGAATTATTTGGATGAATTTATATTTTATTTTTTTAGTATTTCCGTATCTCATTGTAATTCCTAGAGGATTGGAAAGAGATGATAATATTGTCAACTTTTTTCAAGAATTTTTTTTGAAAAATATACATTTATTTAATTTAAATACTGTTATTTGAATGTGTATATGAATCAGAATTGGAAAATAGTAATTATTTTTTATGAATAATAATATACCTTTTATTAAGAAAATCTGCTTCATTACTAGTGCAACAGTTACAAAATTGCGTAACAGCTATAGTTATGGAGATGGCGGTTATGAGGACTTTTGTCAAATTTTTAATCTTTATAATATGGAAAAAGTAAAACATTGACACACAATTTTTATGAGTATTTTTTTTTTTTCAAATATAAATTAGATAAGCATAACATCGAATGAATTCAGGGAATTTAAATTATCATATCAAGCAAATATATTTGTCAATAACGTTAACAGTTCATTTCATATTAACATATAATAACGTGTGAGATATTGCCACAATCGTTCAACAGTACTTTATTATTTTCCTTCATAATTAGAATTTAGAACCATGATACTGTACTTGATTTCTCACAATATGTGGTGTTCCTCCTGAGTTCTTTGAAACCTTTTTTACCTATTTCATGCTATCCACGTTTTACTCTTTGTGTGTTTTTCTGATCTAGAAATCCATATGTATGTATATATAATCGATTGAAAGAGAATATGCAACAGTACGGTGAGTGAACAAGATCCTTTCATGACTTTGAAGAAAGCATCTCTATTCCCTTTTTGTACTTCCTTTTCCTCCTATATTGACTTATGAGTACATTTTAGATTTCATGCCGTAAGGAAACCGGAAAAATCTATGAATTATTATGAAATCCAAGGAAAGCATCCAAACTTTGAAACGTACTTGTGAAATCCAATGCATCCACATGATATTTATCGAGTATGGAGCAAGTGTTTTGCCCGTGATTTCTGAAGTTCTGTTGCTATGGAGCACGGAGTAACTGGAGATACACTTTCCACGTTGAAAGAATAATCGTTCAGAGCTATCTCACGTGCACCACCGAAGGAAATGTATCCAGGAAGAAAAGCTGAGCCGGCAGTATTACGAATTAACATGTGTATGTTTTTCAACATGGCATACATGCAGTGTACATACATATGCAGTGGTACCATGAAAGGCATATCCAGATGTGTTTAGATTAGGAAAACTGTGATTATGAGGACGAGATTAGTTACATGCACTCACAGCAGCTAAAGTAGGAGTCCGCTGCGTTAGTGACCACGTCTCCATTAGTACGTGGATTAGCTCCCAAACGAGAAGATTAGGGTGATGAACCTGGATTATGTAGACTGTGACTGGCTCCGGAAAAGTCGAACTCCAGATCTCCTATCCATCTGTAGCGTGTCCTTCGCTTTCTCGCAACGAAGCTCCGGGCATGTTGGATTAACACAGGAATTCGTCAGAGCATGGCGGTTACGGTTATCGTGTTTTGTCAGTGCCTTCAACTTGACCAGTTGTCCGCTTCTTGAAAAGCTTTTCTTTCTCCTTATGTTGGATGCCTCGTTCTCCACACGTCTCGTAGTCTAAAAGAAGCAGATCGATTCGGGAAATGACCTCAATTTTCCCGATTATCCAGATTTTTTTCCCCGCAGATTTAAGTGAATCAAAACGAATTATTAGTGTAATTATGTGTGATTCCTCCACCCACCGATGAATTCTCCAATGTTCTCTCTTTGGTCAAAGGACAGAAGTGACGTGTTGCAGAGTTATAAGTTGGAAAGTTGCTAGTATATCTTGAGGTGCTGGAGTTTAGTATGAATCCGTGTAGTGAAGGCAGCTGGCTGAATGGGATTTTGTCATGTTGATGGCTTGATTTGGATTCGAAACCACGAGAGACATTTTACTAAGGTGATTCATCTACATATACTTCAAGGGCATACTAATCAGAAAAAGCTTGTATAGCGATATCCAACGAGAACGCTTTGGATTAAACGAGAATAATAGGGCCAAACTGAGAAAGAGAAAAATATTGAACTTTGTGCTTTGTTGATAAGATTTTGTTGCCACCAGATGAAATATGGCCGTGACAATGGAAGGTTTTCTGACTCAGCATGTATTGGACGTAGGTCTCTTTATACTGGATTTGGCTCATTTGAAGGAGAAATAAACAGACCGAAATTCGAGGAATATTGCAAAAAGGAATGGTCATTTATTAACTTTCTTTACCCAATTGACCTTCACGCTAATTTGCTTCAATCAAATTGAACAACTGAGAATCTTGCCTTTTCCTGGACTAAAGGTTCTTTTCGAGGGCATGCAACCTGGAGTAAGAATCTTGAACCTGCAGTAACCAAGCATCTAACACATTCAAACTGTTGATAGGATAAGTGCAGATCAAGCCTACGTGCTATGTCTATAAGGAGAAAAAATCTTCAACGATACACCTTCATGACATCATAAATAGTCATGATCGATGGTTGTGGTATGATGATGTGGATAGCGTAGGTCAGAAGTGTATACCTCTTATATCGAGATCGGTGCTGCATTTAGATGGACTTTGTTGTTTCTGGGTTATTTGGGATGAATTGACAGGGAATGGGAATATTGGAAAAGTAACATGCGTTTACAAGACCCGGAAATATCTCTCAAACATTTGAACTTCTCACTTCTTTCATGTCACCTGGTATTAAAAAAAAGCCAGAGATATGTCATATCATTCTCACCAGTCGCCATTTGTGACTCTGTTTTGAAATAATTCAGAGTTACGGACATGGACTTTTGACATCTGCAGAAAGTAATCGCGAGGGAGGTTATCATAAAAGACTCTATGACTAAATGTGTAGACTTGTATAAGAATGTATTACAAGTCTACCCAATTGTCATAAGAAAAAAATAGCGGGTGAATTCCATGAGAGTGCAATTTTGCTAAGTGATATTTCTGAAGCTCAAATAGTGTGTAAAAAGTTTCACTTATATATATGAGATGTATTAGTTGTGCTAAGAAAAAATTCATCAAATGCCATTGGCGTCAAGCATCATAACTCCTTAAGGTTTCATCCATGAATGACTTGATTGGTTCTTCCCATCCTCATATCGGTTAGTTCTTATACATGAGCTTAGAATCACTCACATCAGGTTAGAAACACATAATTCCATTCATTTCCTCTCAAGGATTCCCTTATCTCGCTCATACGAAAGTTTTCACATACATAAATGATTAGTTTGGCATGTTGAAGAGTTAGACTAGTGCATACTCAACCATAATACAGTACAACTATGTTAATTACGGTGTTAAAACAAAAATAAATAATTTGAGGATGAATCTGGTTATTCTAGAGAACTACCAGAAACATTTCGTACGCTTTTTGCATAATGATTTTCCATATCATCACCGCTTTATAAATTTTTCGGGTGTTCATTCGGGTGGATTGCGTTGGTTTGAATACAACAAAAATTCATGCAGATATCGAAGTATATTCACCGATTGTGGTTGGGCCCAACTACAATCGGTGATGGGTTTTGTTCCAATCAATATAATACCAATTTCCACCACACGATCTCATAAAAAAACAAGGCATATACAAGGTATAAAAACAGTCGTCACTGCCAGCTTTTTCAATGTATGACTCGACGGGAGACAACACAAAAAGAAACTCATAGTTTAGGAATTTGTTTCCAGCAAGAAAAGTGGAGAGAAAATGGTAAGATAAAAGGGTAATTATTATCGCGACCGTGTAGCAAGAGGCGTCCTTGGAACTTGGAACATCGCCGGAGGTGAAGCGGATCGGGATAGCATGACATGGCATGGCATGGTCGCCGGCGGGAGGCAGCCGGAGGAAAGACGACGACGGGAGGGCGGGAGGGAGGGAGGGAGGGAGGAGTGTTGTTCGAGATAGTCGGTTGGTTGCGAGGTGAGAAAAAGAAAGCTCGCAGTCGAGGGAGGGCGCAGGGAAGGTATGCGCGCGGATGAGTGAGTCGCCTCGGAGAGAGAGAGAGAGAGCTTCACGAAAGCGAGAGAGAGAGAGAGAGAGAGAGAGAGGAAGAATCCGTGAGAGCGGAGCGCAATCAATCAATTAGTCAATCCCCGCGTCGTCTGTCTGTCGAAGCATCCCTCGAGGAGGTCGTTTCCTGTGATTGTGGCAGTAATTCTCATCTACAGGCTTCTCTCGCGCTTGGCTCGCCGGCTAGCTCATCATCTTCGGGTTCATCTGTCGACGGAACGTACGTCTTGCTTGCTTGTGTTGGCGTGGCTTGGTGGATGGGGAATTGAGATTGTTGGTGCTTGTTGTCAATTGTGCATAGGTCTGGCGTGTTCGTGGGTCGTTCGAGGGAGGGAGGGAGGGAGGGAGCACGGGGGGAGAGAGAGAGCGAGAGGTTGTGCGGTGTGTGAGCGGGCGGTGTTGATCTCTCTGGCTTCCTCTCTCCCTGCCCCTCTCTCGTAGGTTTGCTCTTTCTCTTGGTCTCGGTAAGGGTCAATCGGGGACGAGGGTTTTTGAAGCTGGGGCTCGTCGGGCGGGGAAATCTCTGAGAATTGCGATTTAGACCGGGAGGAGGCCTGGGTCGGGGAAGGGTTATAGATCTGCTTCTTGGAAGGCGAAGGCCGGAGGGGCAGGCAGATAGAGGCAAGATGACGGATGCGAGCAGCGACAGCGACGAGAGCGCCGGAAGAGCGCAAGAATGGGAAGTGGTGTCCATGTCGACTCTCTCCATGTCAGGATCGGCGAGCAATTGTGCCTGCGAGTCCTGCACTTCGGCCATGCCGGATGGGGGCAGTGGATCGACTGTAGTCAACGGGCCGAATGCCACAACTCTGCTTTCCAATCACTTTGGATCGGCGCGAAGCATTCCCATGCTGGATGAATTTCTGGGCAGTGAACTTGAGAGTAGAACCGGTGTCGAAGAAGACCGAAACGATGTTCATGCAGAATTAGAGGGTGATAGTGGAAAGAGACCTGTAGGCCTGGAGACGGAGATACAGATGGGAATAGAGACGGAGGAGGAGCCCCAGAAAGACGTGGAAGAAAAGCAGGACGAGGTTCCCGGTTCTGAGAATTTCAACTTGCCAGAAATGGATTGGATTGAGCCCTTGCCTCCGAAGAATCATAACTTGCTCCGGGACGAAGGCGATGCAACTAGCAGCACTTACAACGACATGTACGATATCGCATGTGAGAAGAAGTCGGAATTGGGATGCAGGGAGGCTGCCGGCCCGCTGTTTGGATCCTGCATGTCTGCACCGTCTGCTGCTGCAATCGTGAGCTCTGTCGCAGCATTCCGTGCGGGCTTGGGCGAGGACCTAATGCAGAGTCCAATTGAGGGAGACGAAAGCGTGATGTCCGCCAATTGTGTGGTCGAAGAAGAATTAGCTGGGTTGGAGAGAGAAGTTCTTGGCTCTGATTCAGGGTTCAGTAGCTTTCACGAGTCCCCGGTCGTGGCCAAGAAATTGGAACTGGATGATAGACAGGGCTCGCAGGAACGATTGTTGGGAGAAGGTGCCGAGGACCACGCCTGTGAGGCCTGGTGGAAGCGCAGTGCCGCCCTATGGTGTGTACAGACACGGCAGGCGAATACCTTGTGGTCCCTTGCGCTGGCCGCGGCCGTGATGGGCCTGGTGATTCTGGGCCAGCGATGGCAGCACGAACGATGCGAGAATAACCATCTGCGATTGCAGCTCTGCTCGAAAGATGAGGTACGCCTTAATTGTTTTGTTGCGATTGTTTTATGAATCTGCTCACTCTCAGAAGGAACCTGAATATCTTGATCGTATATTCTTAGTGCATGTTCGGTAGCTCCCTACTGAACATGCACTGGTTAGGCTTTATGTGTCGGATCTTAAATTATTCTGTATCGAGGGCGTAGATTGTCTCTTGACTTGAAATTTTGGGCGGCGTGCATCAGTGCTTGCTTTTTACTTTTTGTTGATTCCAAAATCCGCTTGAGATATGTAGTTGTGCAAATACAGATTTTGTTTGGCCTGAGTTTGAGCTGGTAAATTTTACGTGGATCTGATTTTTCATCCACGACGGATCCTTTACTGGGCTCACCGAGCTGCGTGACTTTAAATGGCTCTTTTTTGTTTGACCGCAGAAAATAAGCCAACTCATATTTCAAGTTGCTCGTCTTAAGGATGCGTTGTCAGGACGTCGACGGGTGCCTGTTCTGCGCACTAGCTCCTCCTACAGCGGTTTCCGCGAGCGGTTTTGAAAACTTTTCTGCTAATGTCAAAGTTTGAGGCTCATCTGTGATCGTATCTATCTCAAGTGTATGTCCATAGAGTACCTGCAGCGTAGTGTATATGAACGATTGTATCTAGCTCGCTGGTTGGTACGTGTGTAAATCCATGACAAAGTTGCAGAGAGTAGTGTACTACATACACCGGATTTAGCAGCAGATGGGTAAGGAGATAATGATCGAGAAAGTAGCTGCTCTAGTTGTTTCCAAGGTCGTCTTGTGGAGTATTGTCACGTGTTGGATTTGCGAGAACAAAGGTAGACAAGTGTACTATGTAGTGTAGTATAAGCACCAACACAATTGCTTGTTCTAGGGGAAAGTATCGTCTCGGGTGGTTACTTATGATGCCCAAAAGACGTGTTAATCAGCAGAAAATAAACTACTGTGCCCTGCTTCTGAGATGTCACCCCTACTAAATGATTGTATATCTGAACGTCTGCAGACGTTAATAGCATTTTGTACACTTGTTCGTTTCCCCTTTAGCTAGACATTAGACAGACAGATGGTTTCTTCTGTCGAACCTGTTCGATTTTCTTGTGTATTGCATTGAGGTACTGATGCCACTACGGTTCTCAGCAACTGCAAAGAAATATAATCTTTTCTGTACTTTTTCCTTACTCGTATGTGGCATTTTTTATATTTCTAGCTTAATGTACTCCATTGAAGCAAGTAATTGTGCCTAACGTATTTCTTGTAGCTTTGGAAAGCTTGGATTAGGATTTATCAATTGCCAATTGTCGTTTTAGTTTGCTCGTGTACCTTTGGTAGGGCTAGTGACCAGTTTCGAAGCTTGATAATTGTCGCTTGGCGTAGATCATTTGACTATGGTGAAATTAGAGTCCTTCGCTCAACTTGGATGGATAGGTCTTTTGAAGTTTGAATAGTCCAGACTGTTTATGGATGAGTGCAGTTATTGTGACCAAATCAAGAATTGGTGCCATAAGTTTATAGCATAGAAACTCGAGAACAGGTTTATACGGTACCACTGAATTGTAGGCGTATAAAAGATATAAACTAGTGATAGAAACCATTCTCGACAGGTAGTCATCTTTATAGCAATTGCGTCGTGGGGACTCTCATGGTTGGATGTGTAAACATGCGTTTACCAGAGGTTTTTGATGAAGTGGACATAGTCGACATTTTACCTTGCCAGATGATTGCCGGGCAAAGGATGCAAAATTGCTTGAAGCGATTCACGACCTTGTACCTGCCCAGTAAATAGCAGAAGAAATACTTTTATTTGGTCTAAAAAGAAAGCCAAATTGTTAAACACAAAATAATAATAATATATTGAAAATGATAGGACAACCTAAAGTTATAATGGTGATAGGTTCCTCCAGCATCAGAAAGGGAAATATGTAACACTGGAGCCCAGAGAATCAATCAACACGGTCAATATGCAAAAATCTCAAGCGTTTTATGTATTAATTATTCTCTTGTAGATTGCTTTTACAAATAGGCTTATTGCAGTAGAGTGAAGTAGATATAAAAGTATGATAGAATAAAGGATACAATTTTATGTTTGTATGTCTAAATTAGTTTACAAAATATTGAATACAAAAGCATAACAATGTTCTGTGCTAAAATATGCCTGCTGTCACGCCGTATTGGAAGTTATCATCCAAAACTCTGCTTGATTGTGTTCTAGATGAAGTAAACACATCTCATCGTAATATACCTTCAACTTAAAAACCTAGATGATTATTACCGCAGTCTTAACTGATATCTGAGATTAGTTCAGACTGCAGTAATATTCATGTCACTTCTAGGACATATGACTTTAATATTAAAACCTTATTACTTTTAGTAGTTTTGGTTTTAAGCAAACATAAACATATCGTCGGCAAGAGTAAGATGTTCCCCGAATCAAAGATATGTATACAATGATCCAAGTTTATCGCAATAAAAACAAACACGATTTTGCTATCCGTTAATAAAGTATCCATCTTTTCATATGTCTCTTCACTCTTATTGTTTTATATTTAAAAAGATCCTTGTTGGTATGACATTATTTGAATGATGAAGATGTACGGAGGTTTATTGAGTTCATTGTGGAAAAGATAGTTGTTGAGAGTTGGGAAAAAATTATATTCGGACCAAGCCTTTCGACTGACCAATTTGTAGAAAAAAATTATCTCTATCCATCAGGAGAAACTAAATTATGCTGTAATTGTTCATATATCAAGGTAAATGGTAGAAGTCTAGTACAATGGGATTACAAAGAGTAAATTCTTGTCATACCACACAACGTGAAGAGGGAAAAAGAGCTGCGAATTGGGCACACTGAAGCAAAGTTCAAATGAATTGCATGGTTTATATTGGTTGAAAAGTATAAATCGGTTGAAATATATTGAGGGAAGCACATACAGTCTAGAGCATGGTTGCACGTTATTAGACCTCTGCTTCCGAGCGTGCTCAATACAAGGCAATGAATCTCTATCTTAGAACTGTCGTCTGTGCACCTGATCTTCGTCAGCACGATTGTACAGTTGGTATGGGGGGTATGTCAGCGTGTTAGATTTTTGTTTCAGATGGAGCTGGATATACTACTGTCCGAGCTGTTCTTCAGACGGGCGAACCTGTAGTTTGATGTCAATGGCAGATAAGATCGACCGACCCAAGTTACTGAATTTTGACTACACCCCTGTACGCTGACTGGGTATGGCGAGGCTGAGTGGGATGGGAGGCTGCATTGTGAGACAGCGCACCAAGAACCATAATACTCCCAGGATATCACACATGTCACATGTGTGATATCCTCTGCGGCATCTGCCGCTTTACTTTTGTCACAAGGTGATGATTACCGCAGCGTTGTGGCATCCAGTGGCCTTGTACACCTTCGGGACCTCGTCTATGGGGTCAAACCTGGTGGGGCTGTCATTTCCCACCACCTAAGCAGCATCGTAAATTTATCTCGATGGCACATTCTCCCTCCTCAGACACACGAAAGTGTGCCGAGCGAATAATTTATCAGCGACATTTTCTCAATGACGACATCATCGGCCCCCTGATTAATACACATCTCTTTGTCAAAACGATGGAAATCCCGAGACAATGGGGAAAAAAATCTCAAGGATCAAGATAAAACCTCCTAATCCCATGATTTCCGACGCAAAACTGTGTTTTTGTGTTCACCGAAAGTCGGAGTTCCCTGTCCTGGCTATGAAGGGGAAGGAAACCGTGTAATTTGATTTCCCGATTGAAATCGCTCGATTCTGAGATCCCCACGGACCTTGATAAAGAATTCTCAATAATCGAATAAAGGGCGAGATCAGCACAGGGGGCGTGGGTGTGCTCTGACCGTAGTTGGTGAACGGGTTGGCACCACGTTCACCAACTACCATGGTACGTTTCGCCTGCCTACACCACGTACCATGGTCGTTGTGAAGGCTGGGTCGCGATGACGTGGCCTTTGGAAAGCTTCGGAAGGCTTCCGGGCCCAAAAGCAGCAAAATCAAGCAGCGCACGACAGAGGAGATGAGCAGGCCCTCGAGTCAAAATCTCAGTGAGTGCGGGTTGACTCGGAAAATCATGCGATCGAGCCCGTGGAGCAGACCTGCTCGAGTACGATAGACCCAAGTCGAGATTTTCAGAACACGACATGAGGGCAGAAAAAATTATTTGACTCGTATTTCGTCTCGTCCCGTGGTCTTCTTCTGGCGAGAAGTTTTGGTTTGACTAAATAGCTTTTTCTTCGTCGGTACAAATATCTGCGGGCGGATTTCTGCAGTCCTTCTCTGCATTGCGACTTTTGTTTTGTTTTCTTGGTTTCTCATCGACGAGCCCGTCCAGCTCATCGAGTTCTTGTGTTCTCGGCTCATCGTCGAGTTTCTGAAAGTTTGGCAGCAGTATAGGGAAGTGTTTGTTTGCTTTGTGTGTGTTTGTGTGTAGGAGCTTTTGCTCAATTCGATTGCGACCTGCTCTTGCGCAATTTTCTTTGGTGCAGAACATCGTGGAGGAGATCAGCTTGAGAACTGTATCTGGAAGATATGACGCAAGCGGGAGGCCCTGCGAATTCAGGGCCTCTGGTGAGATTGGCCCAACCCTCCAGCACAGAGCCGAGCAGAAGAGTGAGGATTAATGTCGGAGGTCGGGTCTTCGAGACCTTGCTCGGAACAATCAATGCTGCGGGAAAGACTTCCCATATTGTGAAAACTGTCACTTCGAGTCCGGTCTCCTCGGAGGTGTTTGTTGACAGAGATCCCGACCTGTTTGCCGTGCTGTTGAATGTCCTCCGCTATGGGGAGATCGATCACATGATCGAGCGTTCCACGATGGAGAAGCTGATCAAGGAAGCAGCTTTTTATGGAATGCTTGATAATCTGAAGGCAGCCCTGTATCCCCAGGCGCTCGATGGGATTGACGTAGAGAAAATTAGTCCTATAATCCCTAACGGGATGGATTATCCATCCGCTCTTGCTGCTGCAAGCGACGGCTCTCTCTGGGTAGGCCATGGCAGCAAAATTACCGTGTACGATTGGGCTCACCGCAAGGGCAAAACCACCGTCACAGAGCTCAGCACAATAAAGACGCTTCACAGAATCTCGGACTCTCACGCGGCCATAGGGGCGGACGACTTTCCTGGATTGCATATCTACGATGCTGCCAAAGGGATCCACACCAAGAGTTTGACCTGGGTGGATAACGATGATCCTCGGGTCTACAATCCGGGAGTGCGAGCAATCACATCGAATGACACGCAGATGTTCGCCAGCTTCGAAAGTGGCCAGAAGCTGGATAATACCATTCTGATCGTGGACAGGGAAAAGTATGACGTACAGCGCGAATTGGGCAGGCAGAATGGAGGCACCGGACACTCCAAGGCTGCTACGAGCCTCCAATGGCTCACGGAGAAGAACTTGCTTCTCGTTGGAGCTTCGCACGGCGGTGCGTTTGGATACAGTGGGTACATCAGGCTGTGGGATATACGGACTGACAAGCAAGTGTGGGACTGGGAAGAGCCTCACTACAAGAACCCGCGCATCGAGCAGCGCGACGTCTTTGCAGACATAGTCGCGAATGAAGAGCTCTCCGGCCTCTTCAAAGTGAGCATCAATTCCGGTGCTATAGCCATGGCCGATTTACGCCACCTCGATGCCACGGACCCCTGGCTCACTCTCACCGAGACGAATCCCGAACTCGAGGAAACCGCAGGCGGAGTAGACAACAAGCTGATGACCTACAACAAGCAGCTGTATGTGAGTCGGGGAGGAAGTCTGGAAGTGTGGTCGGAGGTGCCTTTGGCCGACAGCTTCAAGGATCTGAAAGAAAAGGAGTATTGGGAAACTTCATTCCGAAGGAATTTCGTCGATCACAGGCGCCATGTGACGGATCCAATCACCCAGCTTGCGGTCGGGGGCGACCGGCTCTTCGTGGCCAGAAAAGAGCACCAAGCTGTAGAAGTTTGGGAAACGAGACGTGTGTGTTGAATCCAAGGATGTCTTCCGTTCTTCAATTTTGCATCTTGCGGAAATTTCAGTTTGTGATTCATTCCTCAAAGATGCTGGCCCGAATCATTGCCAGTTCTGGGCCTTTACTGAACGAACTCGAACCACAGGCTCCCGATTGGGCCCAGATCTACATACAATGCAGGATGGCGGACTGTGCCTCGCGCGTCTAGCGGTCGAGAGACACATGTACAGGTTCAGATCTTGGCCTGGATCTCATCACTCGTTGAGTATGCATGCTGGGAACAAGTTGAGTTGCACGGCAATAGCCAAGAGATGATAGTATTTCAATACTGAATCTGGTCCTCCTCGGATATCGTCAAGCTGAGTACGAGCTCCCTTCCAGTAGTAGTTTACAAGAGCCGGATTCCTCCTACCATCAAAAGGCAGAGATCTCCTCGTTACGGTAGCAAGAGAAATGCCTGCAGAATTGTACAGCTTAGTCCTAACTAGAGATTAGTCATTATGTCCAGCAAGACACCAGAATGGTAAGTGTAACGTGTTTCCCAGTTGTCATCCCAATTTGCCATGGCTAAATGAAGTGGCGAGATTTGTTCATTGATAAGTATAAATGCCTCTACCGTGTCCTCTGCAGGTCATGTCTAATTTCGTAGAATCTCAGTCAGCGGCCCGAGCTTTATCAAATGGGGTGATTAGTCTCCTGTTCTGAAATTTGGAGCGAGAAAAAACCTCGAGATTATATGTTGCTGGAACATTCATTACCTTCTGTGAGCCGGATACAGTCTTTAGTGGCCGAGGCCTGCCATGTTCGTGGATTAGAGGTGCCGGTACGTTGTTGACACTACCGCTTCACTCAGTTACTTGTGCAGTTTCCAAGTCGGACTCAATCGAAGTCAGAGTTTCATTCGATGTCGCTTTTGCGTTGCCGGGCGCGTGATGGGCCTTTCAATAATTTAGTGTTCACCAACCACACCCGCAGATGCCGGAGCTCATGTGGCTGGACATGTAAACCAAGAGAATTCACCTTTGACTTCACTCGCAAGCGGCCAATTCAGCAAAACATGGACATGGTGTGGGTCGTCAGTCAGCGTAGGAGAAGAAAGAGCGTGCCTTCCATTCCATTCCGTTCCTTTTCTTACCGGTGCTGGTTCCTCTCAACGCTGTGGAAGGTGCAATCGTAGCATGAATTGTTCTCGTGGCGTGGAGCCGGAGTGTAAGACGTGAGCCTCCAGATGGTGTCCGATATGTCCGAGCACTTCGAGTTGCCGATGAGGGTGATCCGAGCTCTGGCCCAGAGCCTGACTCTTCTGGTTTGAGTCCTGTGCAAAATACTGCAGAAGCTCAGACGCTTGTTCCAGTTGGAGTCTTTGAGCTTTTTTTCCTTTGAACTTGATTGGACGATGGGACGGACCTTCTTGCCGTTCCATCCTGATTACTGTACCCTGCTTCCTCCAGTTTTTCCTGGGCCTTATTGGAACTACTCATTAGTACACAACTCTCGGAGGAGTTGAAAAGGACCCAGTTCATCTATCGATTTGTATCTATGCTAGTGAACTAGCGAATGGCAAATCTTGTACCACGTATTTCTGACACACTGGTCATGAAGGTGATTACTTCAATGATTAGTTAGTCCACCAGTTGTCTGCTTGTAAAATAAATGTCTTGGTTAATGAATTTTTCTGTTAGTAATTCAATAAATCTTCGAGATATTACAAATATGTATATAAATTCACATTATACCTATGAAACATACGGAATAATATAGTTGTAGTTCGTTGATGGCTAGGAAAATATGGTTCTAAGATTTCGATGGATTGACAAGAAACAGAAAAATAAAATGCAACATAAGTACCAACTGTAAGAGATTTTACAATGCAAGGTTTAAAACTTTACATGAATACTTTTTGTCCCTGAACATCAAGGTTAGAAGGTAATGAGTATTACTAACATTGTATCCTATAATGTAGTACGCTATTATCCATGGTATGGATAAAAATTTATTTAGTAAAAATGTTGGACACTTTATAAAGCATACGATTCACGGTTTCATGGAGTTCAAACTCGGTGGTATTCAAGCACTCAAAACATGTATTGGTAAGTTTGAATCAAAAGATTGGGTTACCGCTGTTTGGATGGATCGACTCTCAAAGACAAGTTTGTGGTCAAAGGCTGAGAAGCAGTTCAACTTCGAGTCCCATGATAATATTTCCATACTTCTTGTGGTCCATTGTGGTTACGAATAGGTGACATAAACAGGTGGCCAATGTATCAGACAAGCAATCAACGAGTAATATACAAAAGAGTAACTATTAATGTTGATGATTTTTGAAAACATCCGAGATATTTTTTTCCGAGTGGATGAAGAAATATATGTTTTGAATATCGTCTGGAAATGGTTACTCAAAGCTTAAATGGGCGATTGGATACACAAGCCCCTTGATTAGCTGGAATATAATGTTATTAAATGATAAATATATATTTTTAACTTTTTGTATATAAGTATCATCCCTAGATCTGAAAAAATTCAGTCTAATTACATACAATCTTAAAAAAAAATTTGATTCAAGTTTGTATGATATAATTTTTGATACAAATGATTGATATTTTTATTTATTAAATTTCCTTCATGTTAAAATTATATATGTATCATATTGTGTGTGTGTGTGTGTATATATATATATATACACACACTATTTAAACTATCAAATCAAAAATAAATCAAGATACATCTTGGTAACATTTTTAACACCCTAAATCCTAAAACCAACAATTATATATTTCAAAGATTAATTTATAATTAATTCAGCTTTATTATATTTATATGCAAGGAGTAGATTCAATATATGTGTTCAACAGAATAAATTTTATTATGAAGATGATTAAAGCATAATAAATTTGATTGGTAATGATCTCATTGAAATGTTGGAAATGTAAGTTTTTAATTCTAAATTTTGAATTTCAAAATTTCAGATATTGGGTTAAATATACATGTTTGAAAATTGAAACATGTCAATCATATTAGAATAACCTCATTCTTAATAACGCAACTTCAACCTAGAAGTAATGTGCGTATTTGACCGGTAGTTGCATACTTTAGAAGAATGAACCCAACAATCATAAAGAATCCGCATTGTAAAAAATATAATAGGTGATACTTCAAGTAGTCCAAGCAATCATTGTTGAAGAAAACTTGCGCTGTCGAAGACAAATGTTGAAGCGACATTATCAAACAACTTGCACTGTTGAAAATATAGAACAGAAAACGCCTCAAGGAGTTGTAGCAATCATACTAAAACTGCAATGTTAAAAAGATTGAACAAAAAATGCCTCAATGAGTTTCAGATGTAATATAATCAAGAAGCTGAGCAAGATTGATGCTCATAGTAAAATTTCTCTAGCACACACGTAGTACGATGTAAGTGAAGAAGCTATCGGACAGGTGTACAAGTAGAAGTAATTTCTAGAGTGATCTGACTTTATGTGTGATAATTCTAAAGATAAGATTATTAGATACTCAATTGGTCTTTTAACCAAATTTGAAGACATGCGTTATATGTTATATGTGGATTCACAGCATGTGTTGTGTCAATCTATTGCCAAAGAAAAAAGAAATGCATCAAATTTATCCATTCTAGCTAGTGATTTTAATATATCTTGGCAGTGGTTAAGTAGATTCACATCGCTAAAGATGCTTCTTCATCGAAAAGGGTGAAAAGTCAACAAATTTGATCCTGGATTGCTAATCGTTTGAGATAAACTTTACGCAATTACAATTCTATAAGATCCTTGAAAGTCTACAATATGGACAAGATCGGCTTGTTTTTGACCTTCTAATGAAATTACAATTTTAATTGAAGGATGAGTAAATTGACAACTAGAGAAAAAGAAATCCAAATATTGAATTTTCTTGTTGTGTGTGCCAACATTGGGTAAATCCACAAAATATCTTGCATATTGATGGTTAAATCAAAAGCACTAATATGTATCAAAGATCATCAATGTCTTGTTTCATATCTTAGTCAAGTGAAAAGTGCTAGAAGTGGTTAAACAAAATGTTTTTTCAAGAGATGAAAAATGTAATCAATGCTGATGGAGATTGCACTTCAACATTTGGGGCTTTTGAACACAAAAATGTTAGCATCATCTTTTGTAATCTAAATTAAAAATGTTAAAAAAAACCTTATGATATGAACATAATCATAGAAGAAATTCGGATATCTCTATCTCTAGGATGTTCTTGATTTCTATGAACTAAACAAGAAGACAAAACTTCAGGTAAAGAGATTGCAAGAAGTTGCAGCTTGAATTGCATACAAAAATCCAATTCACTTGTTTGATGTTGCAAATTATATCAAAGAAGTTTGAAAATCCGTGTCAATAAACTCTTTAGAAATGCATTTGTGAAGTGAAAAATAATGACATTAGAATTTGATTTAAAAAAAACTGAAGAAAATGGAAGATTTGCACACGTTATTGCAATTTTAATTCTTTCTGTTGAACAAGAAAAGCATGAATAATCTGTTATGTCCACGATGAAAACAGTGAAATATTCACAATTGAAATTTTGAAAGACATTGAAGAATCTTTGGAGACTAATGATGATTGTTGGAATTTTTTTCATGATGACATTCTTATTACTCCATGTTAGGATTTAGAAAACATTGTTGTAATTGAATTATTCAAGTTATTTTATAAATAAGTTTTTGATATAAAGCATAAGTTGCTCTACACAGAGGTTCGAGATGAGACAAAGGTAAAATGTACGATCATGGATACTTGTTTGAATAGTTTGATAGTAAGTTACATATAACTTTAACTAATTTTAACTTTAACTATAACTTTAAAATCCAAACACAATAAACTTCAAAATTGTGTCAAATGATAACTCATGACATGTTGAACTAAATATACTTGATCCTTGAGTTTTTGGACAAAATTTTGAGTCTCTAAACGGATGCATACTTAAGCCGGAGATTATTACACATCTAAAAAATACATCATTTATAGAATCCAATTTTCAATATATTATATTTTTATATATTTTTTACTAATAAGTGGCTATCTTCTTATGACTAGCACCTTACTCAGGTACTTTGACTAGGGTTGACTATCTATCCCCACCACATCATTAACAACTCATTGTAACAATCATATCCATATCCAATTTCTCTCATTTACAAAGATACAACGAAATGTTTCCCGCGATACAAGAAGTCATACTTACACCTGGATGTCAAAATGGATATTAGTAAACAATATCTCTAGTTCTCAAAATATCAACAAAGACTTAACAATCAGGATCATCTTATGAAACAGAAATCATTCAACTCAAACCCAGATTTACACTTTTCAAAGAATGTATGTCGATGCTTTATACAATCTTAGCCACAATTTTCACGAGTCAGTAATAAATATCGATCCTCCGACAGTTTTCAAGTTACGAAATACAAATCTCGTCGCGTTCCCATAGATTCCATTGTTGAGAAGTATTTTTGGACCCGAAGCAGAAGCACAGAACGAAGGAATGTGCCGAGGTTCGATCCGACGACGATCCGGCGGAGTGCGAGGTGGCGGTGGCAGCTGCGGCCAAGGTCTGCATTTCGTCGAAGAAAAGGAGCGGAAGAAGGAGGAGGAAACGAAGAAGAGCGAGAGGGAGAGGGAGGCTGATGGCAAGAGCGATGGTAAGCGCAGTCAGGGTCCCGGACGACATGGAGTGGGCTCGGCCCCGTGCCTGGGAACGCGAAATAAGTCGGTCGTCGCAGCGTCCGAGCCTCGGAATGGCGTGTGGGAAGTAGAGGATTCTGATGGGGCCATTTTGTGTGGATGCGGTCCCGATTCTGTTTCTCGGACTACTGTTGTAGTTCTTTGCTGCCCTCTTTCAGCTCTTTCAGCTCGCGTCTCTGATTGCGCCTCTCCGCTTCTGGTGTGGGGTGTGCAGCGGGACTAGAGCAAATTGCGGCGAATTTCGTCGCCCTCATGTAAGCTTCGACTCGTGCCTTCAAGTTGATACTTGTGTAAGGTCTCTGGTCGGTGCTGTTTTTTCCCGGATTGGTGACGAATTTTGCTTTCGGACTCGAATCGTTACGTGCTTGTGTAGAATTGAATTTCTAAATTGCTGAATTGCCGCCACTGTCGACATCACGAATTGTGTCACCTGGTTGATGATCTTCTGTGCGGTCAATCATGATCCGAACTCGTTGTCGGAGCCAGGAGGAGCCAGTCGGTTGTGATATGGAGGGATTGCTTCTTTTCGTGCTACTGCCATTTTAGATTCTAGCTGCTTCAATCCCGTCTTGTAGTAGTCAGTCAGGCGCAGACAGGTAGTGCTGTTCTTGTGCGATGCAGATTGCTCTGTGCTCACTCTAACTTCTTTCCTCCTTGTCAAAATCAGGCCAATGTTGTTGGCAGAGGATTTCAGAGGAATTAAGATTGATGGGCTTCAGCTGATTGCGTAACAGACGTGGACCATGTCTCAGTTTCCTGGTTTTGCGCCTCTTGGCAACAATAGTGACGTCGGAATGTCCGATGCTGACGACGACTCATCATCTTCTGTTTCACGAACTGCCGATCACTTTGGATCCTCTCTGAGAATTTCACCGCCTCCACTTTCGATACCAAACCCTATAGCTAATTATTTTGCTGTCACAGCAGCTTATTTTCCTTCGAGTTCAATGGAAGACACAACGATGGGCTTAGGGAACACTTCGACGATTTCAGCCACGTCTCTGCCTCTGACTCCCGCTGTTCGTCCTCCTCCCGCTGACGCGAACCCTGCACCAGCGAAAGATGTCTTCGCTGCTCCACCCCCACCAGCTTCAACAGCTGCACAAGTTGAAGTACAGAAAGCGAAACCACAAGCGAGAAACAAAGTTCCTCTTGAAAAGGGCTATAGTCAAATGGTTTGGCTGAGGCTCATGCAGACTGAACCTGATCTTGCTGGTAGGCTCTTCAGCCAGTTTAGTATATGTGTTCACTGTTCAATCCATATCCGTCGCATGCTTCAGTTTTTTGGCACACAGGATTGTCATTTCAGTTCTCTCATCGTTTTGTTTCTTTTTTTCAGGACTCAAGGGACAGTCAAGGAGGAGGTTGATCAGTATGGATGAAATTAAAAAACATAAAAGTCCTGAAGAAGCATGGACAGTTTTGCGGGGCCGTGTGTACAACATATCTCCATATCTCAAGTTTCATCCTGGAGGTAAGGGTCTCGAGGTCTATCGATTGGTTTCTAAAGCCTTCCAACTGAATGAAATTCTAAGAATTTGTAATGTTCCGTATCTAGTCAACGTGTCGTGTTGGATGTTCTACTAAATGACTTATGTTCATCATTTCAGGCGAGGATATGCTCATGAAAGCTGCTGGGAAGGATAGTACTGCCCTCTTCAGTATCCTCTACCACATCATGGATATGATGCTGAAAAATATTTCTGTCTGTTGAAAGGTATCAATGTCGGGTTCTCTTCCCTAGTTTCAAAAAAAGTTTGGTTTGAAACTGCATTCCAGCTTACTTACTACACCAATGCTTACACATAACACTATCGTGATGCATCTGATGATTCTGGACAAGCCAGTGCGAATCATCACCTAGTTTACTTGAGAATGGTTTCCATTGGTCATTCAAAGTCAGAAGAAGTAGGCTTGGTAGCTCGAGCACTTTTATCAATGTAAGCACTTCACGAATCATGGTTATAGCTGTAGCTTTACATTTCAAGCGGAGGATCTACTTGAAATCCGGATATAACATCCTCACGTGAGAAGTTAGAATAAGAGAGAGATTTCTCCCCTCAATCCAACAAGCATGCAACTAATTCTTTTCCAGATCTGGGAAGCGTTCTACATGGTTCTAACTTACCCGAATGAGTCAATAGGTTACGGTTTTCCGAGAGAAGTAGCTGAGTCACTTTCGTCCAAATGCCTGCTCCAAGGTCTAAATTCGTGGTCATATGCATGTTTGCTTCCTCCAATAGGTAAGCGTCCTATCAAAACCACCTTTCGATCCGATGCATTCTTTACTGCGCTCGGCATTTATTCCATTTGTCCAAAACAAACTACTGTTATATCAACTGAACCTCAGCAGCAGCTTCCCACCTGAAACCTTCTAGATCGTCCCTTTTTGGCTTACTTTAAAGAAGTACTTTTTTTCACTCAAGCTGTATCCTGCGTTATTGTCAATATGTTGTATCTACGTATAATTCCCTTCAGCAAAGCTTTCGCTTGACATAGGTGAGTGGTAATTAAGCAAACGTGCTGCATAAGCACTTCCAGGTAAGTAATAAGTACTCGTCCACTCTTTGAGTTGTACTCTATATGGAAGGATATATTTTGCGAGTTGACTTGGTGTCTGTGAAGCTTGTGCTGCCTTAATTACCCACTGCAGATAAGTATCACGCCTGGGTTAATGCAGAGTTCCTAATGGAAAAATGTATGGTAGGCCTGCTGGACGTCCAACCACAATGACTGGTGACATGGCGCGTAAATCACAGAATTTATGGCTGTTTGAGATATCTCGGTTTTTTGAACGATTCTCAACTCATCCCATGCCGGCTGAGTCATCCTTAGTCTTCATGTAGAAGTTCTCTGTTCACTGATTTGTCTTCTTACGGAAACTGTAACTAGCAACGTCACTCTTCCAATATGGTCTGAATACGTTGGAGTCTATCCATCCCAGAGATTCGCATCAGGAGAGCTGACTAGCGAAGGAAATTCTTGCTGTATAGGTGTTATGAACTCGGCTTTAAGTAATTGGGCTATTCCTATTATATTTATTTCTCCCTGTTGGAGATCTGTCATCGAGAACTTGTCGGTTGTGACCTCGGATTCACATCTTCTGTACTTTTAATATTTAAGCGATTTTTTGAAGAAAGTGCGGTTACTATTGTCATTCCTGGTTATCTATCTACCTTACCTCTATCAGAGTTTTTCGGCTTAATCCAATTGCTTTTGTTCATCGCCACAAACGGAGAACGGTGGTAGAATTCCAACAACCGTTTGCTAATCTCTCGATCGTTTGCTAGCATCTTGTTCCAGTCTTTGTGTGGAACGGTGAAAATGGGTCGTTTTCTGGTGGCCGAATTGCTCTGGACGAACTCTCCTACGGAAGTGCTCGTTGCGATCGACCTTAGGATACGGGAAACAGTGTTGGCCTTTGACTTTCCGGCGGAGAGACCTGTTTTTTTTCAGTTTGACTTTGTCACAACATTTCATTGTGACGACGATGGAAGTTCCATGATTTATTAGTTCGACTGAAAGTATTGCCAACGAAGAAATCTACAAAAAATAACGCAGAAAAAAATGTAATGTCTTTGCCTCTTTCTTTCGGACTTTCAAGAGAATCCAGAGAGCACAGATTTCAGCTTCTCAACGCAGTCATTTATCACCATCACAATGCAGTAACGATTCCAATCATCTGGTTGGCGATATTCAATTCACGCTTTGAGCTGGGCCATCCTCAATTTAGAGAAAACGAATTTCCTCTCTTTGGACATAAGAGTTATCTTGTTATCTTAGATCTAAGACCGTATGGATGGGACAGAATGTGTGTATGGGTGTCGTCCGTTGCCTGAAACCGAAGCCCTGTATTCTCGACATCTATTGTCTTGCTAAGTCAAGCAAAAGGAAAGTAGTCTCAACTGACGATTGTTGAGTTTCCAATTTTGGACCTAATTTTGTAGGCGTGGGTGTTCATGCTAGGTTGCGTTAGTCAACAGTTTCCATTCGAGGCATCATCTTGTGTTCTAACAGCACGTGTGGTATCTTTTTGGATCCGGCAATAATTGTTTTGAAGTGATGATCTGATGTACTCAGTAGGAGACTTTCGAATAGATGATAAGCCAGTAGGTTGTTGGATTTCGTTCTAAATTTTACTCTTGAGGATGAGATGTAGCGTTTTGCCGAAACAAGTACACCTATATGACCAAATGTGTATCAGAAAGCTCAGTTGATAATGATGTACTCTCTTGAATTACGCTTTTATTAATAATGGTGTTGCATCCATCCAACAGGAATAAAACCTGTGCTTTCATCAAGATAAAAATTATTTATTTTACAATGAACACCAGTAATGTAAATCTAGAATCATGCTAGTGTCGATATTATCGAGGGCTGGCCTGTAGCCTCGACGGTTCCATCCTTTTTCTATCCAATTGACCCCCTGGACTATACCTAGGATAAGTCATATCTTTTCATCACGCTGAAGCAAAGTTTGATGTTAAGATACTGTATAGTCTATTGCACGGTAGGATTTGTTTCCGGAATCATACAAGAGCGTAGACCAGAAGCTTGATAAATAATCGTTATTTGCATCTCTCTACAAATTAGGTCTTCAACTGTAAATCATCATGAAGGATTGACATGTGTGTCGGTTGCATTCAAGATTTTAGCCTAGATCCTATCCTAAATTCGCACATTATTTCTTGGAAAGCTTTCAAACTTCGTTTGTGTTCTTGTCAGTCAAAACTTCACAGCAAATGAAAACCAAATCTTCCTCAAATGGTTCGAAAACTACAAATCTGTTTGTGGCCATTATTTCCCATCTTTACTCAAATGTTTTAAGTACCTTCTTCTACTCCAAACACGTTGTACTTTCTTCCATTCACGTCTCCGTGACTAGAAAAAAAACGCAAAGGAAAGAATGTCACGTCCTGAAGGTGTTCACCTCGTAGGGTCGGATTCAGCACCGTTATTAATCACCCAAATTCTAATGGCTAAGATCGGTTCTTACCTCGAACTGGTTCTTTGGCATTGGCTCTGCTGAGAGTAAAAAATATAAAATTATAAACTTATGTAATAAGTAACTGCGTATCATCATAGTGTTTCAAAAAACCTTATTGCAATATTATGTAATAAAATATTTTCAAAATATCAATAATATTTTATATTTTTTTAAAAGAAACATAAAACTTGATGTAATTGAAAATAATGTATAAATTAAAAAAAAAGAAATTTAAATATTTATTGAGTTTTATATATATAATTTATATCAACTTGAGTATAAATCATAACGTTTCATGATATTATTAAATTATAATCAATAAAAAAAATAAAACACATTAAATATTTTTCTAAAATAAAATTTATGAAAAAATATATTATGGTTTGATTTTTTTATTAAAATCAACATGAAGCGTTAACATTCATCTCTATATATATAATCTAATAATTTTTTAGAGTAAAATAAAATAATATTTCAGCTTGGAAAATTGTTCCTACTTTGATTTCTTCACCTCAACTAGTGTCCACCAAAGAAAAGTTAAACTTAGAAAAAAAATTGAGTAAAATTTTATTTATTTAACGTTCTTATAATGTATTGCAAATAATATAATTACAATGAAAACGTTTTTTTGAAACTATAAAATTGACTATTGTCATGAATTAATTTTAAATTTAATTCCAATTTTATTAGTTTGATGTAATGTAAAAGCTAAGATAAAATAATATTAAAGAGTTTCAAATCAACAAACTTGTGTTGGTGATAACCTATTAAATCTGATATATAAATATTATGAACCTAATAAAGCTGACATAGTTGATTTATATCAATTGTAAATTTTTTTTATTATTTCATGAAAAATTCATATTACCGTTAAATACAGATTATTTTCAAATTCAAAAAAAGTTCAAATTTTTTTTACATGGAGATCATTTGTTGTTTAATTTATTTCATTTCATAGTGAAAATTATATAAAAAATTATTTATTTCTCATGTAAAAAATGTGATTAAAAAATAAGAAGAAATTATTTATTTTATTTAGTTCAGAAAATGTTCACATAAAAATTTAAAAATTTATAATCAATTGATTATAATTTGAGATACATACAATGCTTATATTTCATGAAATTGAATTATCATAATTCATAATATATATTTTGAATGAAAAAAAAATTGAATTTGAAAAAAAATTGGAAGTTTGGATGTTTTTTTTAAGTTAATTTTTATTTTAAATTAGTTGGATGTAAATCTATTTAAAACAAGCAAAAATTAAATTAGAATATGTACGTATTAAAATTTTATTTTATCTTAAAAAATTATTTTACAATTAGATTTTTTTTCAATTAGTATATACACTATAATACTATATTATATTTTTTATTTACTATGATTTTGCAACAAATGGCTATTTTGATTCCTTGTTTGCACGAAAGAGGGCGATGAGAGTAGGGCATAAATTAGTCCGTCTTCTATAGAAGTTGGCCTTTCACCAACCTCTCACTCCGTGCCATTGTGGTTGTTGACGTTGCACCTAATCATCGCGGCTCGATGTTGCCTTCGCTCTTTGCGACTCCACGTCAACCAACTCCATACTTCATGTCAGACGTTGTTTGCAAGAATCACCACCATTGATGTTTCAAGTTTCATGTACTGTCCAAGTTACTTAGATAATTATGGTATATACGAATATTGTATTATCACATGAAAATAAATAAATAAAGAGAGTTTTGTATTAAACCGTTGAAGATGAAATCAACATCATTTTCACTATAATACAAAGAAAGCTTTCTATGTTTAAGGACAGGAAAAAATGATCAAAATTAACAACAAACACCGTGTACATAAATCAACTACACTGATACATGTAATACTTTCAAAATTGAGAAATGCCACAAGTAATGCTATGTGAGACCGAGAATTTAGTGGGATGCTTTCCATGTTTTCATCAATAAATCACCAATATACTTAATCTAAACGCAGAAAACGAAGGCCCAACTTTAATGCCAGGTGACTTATAGAAATCTCAAGAGCCATTGAAGACAACGTTGAAACCAAGTGCATTGAAGGTTCCGGTAACTTTGTAACTTTGTTGCTCCTTTGATTTAAGCGGAGTAGAGTGCATGACAGTCATCAAATATGATTGCATTATTAATATCATGACATATAGATGCATCAGATACTATTAAACACGAGTTGGTAATCTTTGTCTGTGCAATTGGACTAGATCGAGTTGAAATTAAAAATGATTTTTTTTATTGTGTTTAATTCTTTTGGATTTGAAAATCCAAACAACTGAGAGACTTTTAGAAATTTGTTATGCGTACGATATCAAACACGAGTTTATAATCTTTGTTTGTCTACTTGGAGCATATCAAGTGAGTTGAGATAAAAAATGTGTTTTTTGGATGAATCATGTGTGATTGTTTAGATTATAAATCATCTTGCAAGCTTGTAATGCTAGAGTATCAATTGAGTAAAGCGATTTGGAGAATCCAGAAGCTGCATCACAAAACACTTGAACACTTGATACGTCTGACAAAAAATTCAATGAAATAGAACGTGGCAGAGCAGCTAGTGAAATTTTTATAAAAAATAGATCTCAATATTATTAGACGTGGTGAAATCTATTGTGAAGAATGTTATTTGGATGGAGAATATGGAGATCTTTAAACTATATTTTGAAAAGTAGAGTTTAAAATATATAAAAAAAATATAGGTAGAAACTATATTTTGAAAATATGATTGAAAATTAATTTTTTTAAAACATAAAAATCATAGATTTTTAATCATTTTTAGTTTTTTAAAAAAATCTTTTGAAAATTTCAAATATAAATATACATCAATACTTGTGTTCAATTTTTATTAATAAAATTATTTATACTGTATTTTTTATTTTAAATTAATTAAAAAAATGTTGACTTTTAAAATTATTTTGTTAAATGAAATCAATGAAAGTATTTCTTAAGAGTTGTTAAGCAAACATAATTATAAAAAATTAATATAAACATTAAATATCATACTAGAATCTAATAATATTAAAAAAATACATTTTATAATTAAGAATGTAATTATTATTATTTTGAAGAAATTATTTTAATAATTAATTTTTTATTATTAATAATTAATTATTCTTAAAAAATCAGATTCACTCTTTTCATAACTTGAATAAACATACATACATACAGAATAACATTCAATTTATTTCCTAAAAAGAAAGATGCACATATCATGTTTAGTTTTTTAATATAAAAAATAAAACATATCAGATTATTTCAAAATTATAAAGTTTAATCTTTTCAATGATATTAATAATTTAATTTATACTAAAAATGATATGTGCAAAGATATCAAAATTTTTTTGATCTTTAATCTTTGGCAATTTGCAATTTTGAAGTTCTAGAAAATATTTATGAAACATGAAGCAATAAAAAACATCTTCATATGTTTGTATTAAAAAAAATTATCTTTTATTTTGAAAGTGTACAAATCATAAGATGTCTTTTTTATAATTATAAATATGAAAAAACATGATAGTAATTTTTAATCTTCATAATAATGATGATAATCATAATTCATGATATATATCTAAAAAAATGTAAAAGAATAGAATTTTGAGAAAAATCTAAATCATGGATATTTTTTCATTGTAATATTTTAAAAATAGAATATTTTTAAAATGCAAAAAAACCATATGATATTATGAGTAATAAGTTTCAAGGAATTTTAAGGAGTTTTGAGTTCATTGGATGTAAATTTATTCATAATAAACAAAATGTAATTAAGATATATATGTAGATATTTTAAATTTTTATTTAATCTTTAAGAATCTTTTACAATTTTATTTTTTTTAAATATATAATTCGTGATATTTATATTGATTATATTTTATGATATAAATTTTGAATTCATTAAAATTTTCAAAATACGAATACACAATAATAATTTTTTATCTTCATAATAATGATGTTAATCATAATTCATGATATAAATCTAAAAGAATGTAAAAGAGTGTAAGAGAATAGAATTTTGAGAAAAATCTAAATCATGGATGTTTTTACATTGTAATATTTTATAGATAGAATATTTTAAATATGAAAAAAAATCATATGATATTTTGAGTAATAATTTTTCAAGGAATTATAAGGAGTTTAAAGTTAATTGAATGTAAATTTATTCAGAACAGACAAAATGTAACTAAGATATATATTCAGATATTTTAAAATTTTATTTAATCTTTAAGAATTCTTTTACAATTTTTTTCTTCTAAAAGATATAATTCATGATATTTATATTGATTATATTTTATAAAATAAATTTTGAATTCATTGAAATTTTCAAATTTCTACCTTTTCAACTTGATCAAGTCTCCACTTTTAATCACAAAGAAAAAAATTGTATTAACAATGATTTTGCAACAAACAACTCCTTTGATAATTACGATACATACAAATATTAAATTATCAGATGAAAATAAATAAATAAAGAGAGTTTTTTATTAAACATTTGAAGATAAAATCAGCATCACTATAACACAAAGAAAGCTTTCAAGCTCTAATGACGGGAAAAATATTAACAAAAAAACATCGTGAACACAAATCAACTACACTCATGCATGTATTGATGTTGGCACAATGGTTACACGATGTTTGGAAAGCAGAAATGTTTAATCTAGAGCAATCAAATCAACGTCTCAAGTTCTCGTCCAAAGAATAGATTAGATTAGGGTGTACCTTGGACAACAATTCTTTTACTCACAGGTTATTGTACCAGTGAAACGCAGTTGTCAATGGACACGATAACTTCTAGGAAATCGCAAATTTTTTTGTATTATCTGCTCATGTGTGATGATCCGAGCGCAAGCAAGGAACTTCGGCAAACATTTTGGAACAATGTGCACAATTTATGATGTAAAGCTTCTTGCGTATGAGTCCAGTCTCAACTTTACTGATTGGGAAAAGATTGTGACAACACTTTGAAGTACAACAAAATACATCAGGTTCAAGCTCAGCGTTGATCAGATCTATGTTCACCAGGTGTGAGATGATCGAGGAAACAATGACTGAATCACAATTGATCCGAGTTCATCTCTTTGCCAACTCTTATCATCAACTACAGAAAGTATCGAGAAAAGCTGGATAAAGGAGCGATGCTCAAGGCATCTGTGCAGAATTTGAAGAAACAACAGATCCTCCTGCTTGACTAAGTGAAGAAGTGAAAACAAACGAAAGTCTCACCAACAACAGAGGTTGCTAGCAAAGCCCTGATGCATATTAGGACAACCCTGTTCTGAAAGCCGAGCAAGATGCGCAGGTTGGACAAGGTAGCTGAGGAGATGTAACAATTTTGCCAACTCTTATCATCACAACATACAGTATCGAGGAAAGCTGGATAAAGGAGCAATGCTTAAGGCATATGTGCAGATTTTAAAGAAACAAAAGATCCTCCTACTATGACACTCAGAAAATTTTAGCAAGGAGTAAAAATTTGATTGTGCATCGACACAATACACCGCGTAGATGGAGACCAAGCTTTGCAAATTGAAGATATTTCACGAGAGACTGAAAACACAATGGTATTTCAAAGTTACTGAAGGAAACATGGAAATGAAGTGTCAAGACTTCTGCGCTTCATACTTGCTCACAAGAAGTCAATGAAATAGAATTTGACAGAACACCGAATGAAATTTCCAAAAAACTAGAGATCAATATTATTAGACGTGGTGAAATCAGCGGTGAGAGAGTAACTCGGATGGGGAATCAATATATCTTTGGACTATATTTATAAAAAAAAATAGATTCATTTTTTTATTCAAAAATATGATTGAAAATAATTTTCTTACAAATAAAAAAACGATAACAAAACAAGAAATGTTGATCATTTTAAATTCATGTTTGAAAAACAATTGAAAATTTCAAATATAAATATTTATCAACAATTATGTTCACTTTACATTGAATGAAAATGTTTCATACTGAACATTGTGTGTCTTTTTAAAAAAAAATTTGAAAAAAATTAATAATATAATTTTAACTTTGAAAGCTTTTTTTTACTTTTTAAAGCTTTTTATATATAGATTAAAAATTTGTTAAATATATATACATATAATTTCTTATTTTGATCAAATTTGATGAAAGAAATTCAATGTAATCAAATTTAATATCATTTTAATTAAAAATAAATAAATTTCCGTTTGTTTATCAATTTAGTAAAGTTGAACAAGATAACAAAGGTATTGAGTTCAATAAAATTCAAATACACATTCATTGAATTATAAATAAATTAACTGACATTTAATGAATCATATTTTCTAGTTAATTTTGAAGCATATTTAAGATTTTATCATATTTTGCATATTTTAAAATTTTAATTATCACTATTCATTTATAATATAAAAATACATGAAAATAAAAAAAAATCACAAATATAAACACAATGACATAAAAATTCATAAGTAAAAAATACAAAATATAAATCAAGATATATATTTATATCATGGCCTACAGATAAAAATATCATATTATATCAAAGATGATTAATATTTGTAGTTGAAAGATATATATATATATATATATATTGAAACCAGTTTTTCAATTTATGAGAAATTTGGGAAAAAATTCCTTATAAAAAATTTTGTCAAAAAACATGTGAAAAATCACCTTGAACTCCAATGCTTTCGATCACCATGCCCTTCTAATGCCCTTCTAAGTCACCAAAGACTGATAAGAAACATTGGGTAGAGAGTGTGAATTCTGACCTACATTCAAAGCATAACTCCGGTAGACAATTTTGTTCATGAAGGACAATTACTGTTTCCAAGTATACTCTCCCTTACGAAAGGGAAGCCCTAGCACGTGAAAAGACTACCCGAATCTGTTCACGACAGGGGATGCCCCGAGGTGGATCCGAAGAGATGGACCAAGACCTGACCTAAGTGCAGCTGAACAACCATTGGTAGTGCCGAAAATAAGTCTATTAAGCAGAGTGTCAGTCACAGCTAAACGCTCTTGATCCAGTAGGAGCTTTACAAATGAATAGCTCGGTGGGCACATAAGCGTATCACTTGGAGTGATTTTGCGCGCCGCTTATTCTCTTCGGCTCTGTATTCGTGTGGTTTTTTATTGAACGCGCATGAATAATATTCAGGTCAGGTTCCTCCTGGCACTACGAATCTATTGACGAGATCAATAGGGAACAACTTCCACTACTGCGGGGGCACTCCATTCAAAGGAACGATCGCGGTTATTACTGTCATGTCCAGGCGAAGCAGTGGACATGCGCTGTAGTAATGAGCGTGCTTCAGAAATGAGAATAAAAGTAACGGTAAACATCGACTCAGCCTTCCAATATAAACTTCCGTCTACCGATCGTACGTACAGGTTCCACTATTTCCACCGGCAACAAAGACCGTGAGATAAGACTGAACCACATCTCATCAATCATTCAACATTCAGTGTAAAGCACCTTTTCAGTGGCAGCACCAACAGTTGGCCTATACATGATACATTCTCTTTACATGCTTAGCTGCCCTCTACCAAATCACATCTATCAAATGGGCATATAATTTCCTGCCAAAAATTGATGATCTAAGAATACAAGGTTACAAAACAGCCATCATGTGCTTTTGTGCACCTTGATGAACTACGTATACCCACTAAGAGAGCTAAGCATCGCCGAATGGGTCCTATATTTCTACATGTATCATACAGCTGTCACTATGTTACAAGAATAATTACTTACTACTACTCAATGACGCCTACTAACTCTTACTGGTTCTCGTGTAATGTACAAACTCCATCCCCTGCACTTGCAAACGCACAACGTTTAGGATCTGGTCAAAAGTCCAGTTTAAGCTTCTCGCATGCACAACTCTGAAACCAGCGGTGATGAAAAAGCAGACCTATGAGAAGAATGTTGAACTTAATGTTGAACCTAAGAGACGAATCTCAATTTGTCAAATTCACATTAACTCTTTCAAATGTTGCAAAGTGACACGACTATGGTAAGTTAAAAGTCTGCAGAGGTATAAGGAACGAGTGGCCGCTTTCTCCTCACCTGTTGTAAAGCTGAAGACTCATTCTCACGGCCTATTCGAGCTTGATATTGTCACAGAGATGTCCAAGCTCTGGACGACCCTGCATCCATGTAGCAAATGCAACACTTCCTCCAGAACTGCTCCCTTGCCCAACCACCTTATGATGTAGATAAGACCTGAAAGCAATCAGATAAAAGTATCTCCTGCACGTTGGCCACATCCACTCCAATTATGATCAAAAAACAAGAGACAGCAACCAAATCTTCAAGTTGATTAAAGAAGTATGAAGCCTTCATGAGAAGAGGGGTCAACACTCAGCTACTTGTTGTACCTGAGAGCTTTTATGCCCATATCCTGCAAAAACAACTTTCGCTCTTCGTCACCAGCATCACACTCTTCCAGCTGCTTTTTATAGTAATATATGTCCTCGCGCAGATTTCCGGCACCTTCACACCTGCACATATTCATATCATGTAGTCAGATGACCCCTTCGTTCATGGGAAACATACATCAAATGTCTGTGGAGACTGCCGGATGAAAGATACCTGGTTGTACCTATGTCTATATGCAAATAATCTTGAGTTTGAGAAAATAACTATAAGAAAATAATAAGTAAACCCACTAAAACTTGATGAGCAATCTAAATATAATAAATTAAGTGTCCTTTAAAAATTCCCACACTCCACAACTTGGTGATCGGTGACAAAAAATGATGATGCTTAGTTAGAAATGCAATACTGACGAGAATACAATAGATTAAGAGCACACAGTAGTGTGCAAATATATGACTTTTGTGGTATAGCCTCATGAATGAACATTGTCAATAGAGAGATCCTCAAGAACGGATCCAGGAAATCTTACCAGCACAGAACTTCATATATGCACTGGTTTCTCTAACTTCTACATCAGATGAATCAATAAGAACAGTATACCTTTGGATAACGGCATCAACCTCGTTCTTGCTTGCGGGTCCACTAGCCAGGACGCGTGTAAGACTAAGAATATCTCGATAGTCGCCGAGTCTGAAAGCCTCCTCATCATCCATGGGCCTGGTGATGGCTTGCTCTTCTGCAGGAAGAAATGAACTAGCCGAGCCTGTAACTGTGGATGAAGAAGCTGCAAGACTCATCAACTGAATACGAGTCTCCAATCTCAGACAGGTGATGGCCATGGCATACGCAACTCCCCCAAATCCTGTATGTGAAATGTAGCAGTATTCCACATCCTCATCACCAGCCCTGTTTGTGATCCCGTAAACCGTACAAACCCAATTAGCCACGGAGTCACAATCCCAAATAAGGTCATCTTTGAGGGGTAATAAAGCGCAATAGACTTGACAGATGTTACACAATCAACAACAACGTACATGTCCAGACGACACTGGATAGCATCCACGTCGGTAGCCAAAGCAGCTCTCTCCCTTGTCAGCGGTATTCTCTTGTAGTCAATGTTAAAACCATCTGCCTTGAGAGATTCATAAACCTCGTACGAGGTCTTCACATCGTCCGGCGTGACAGTTTCCCAATATCCAACGACATCTGACTGGTTCGTATCTGCACTAAACTCTTCCCGATGCAGCAGCATTCGACCCCCGGATCGAGCAGCCTCAGCTAGTATATCTTCCTTCAATCTACACTCCATTTGCTCCACCTGTAAATATATGGTCACATTAAGCTCTGCCTGTTTGAAGTGACGCTGTCCTGACATACTGGTTGATTCAAGAAGATAATCAAAAAAAAAAAACTTGACACTTAAACCTGGTCTGACAGAGCAAACAGGCAGAATCACCAACCAGGGCTAATTTTCGTGTTCTCTCTCCATTTAAACAGATTCGACCACATAGCCACGAACCACAAAGCCTATGATCTTTCAGCCCCTTCAACGCTCTCGCTCACTATGTTAGACCAAGAAAATCCTGACTTCACAACCGTCATACATTACTAGGAGCAAGCCACTTACTGCTGGCCCTGTGATTCCGACGTGTTTCAGGGTGCTGACTGGCTGGTCGAGCTCCCGTAAAACAAAAGGATTGCCATGGATATACACTACAACCTCCTCCCGCAAATCTGTAACAATAGCTTTCCGAACTGAGGAAGCAGCACTTGAGTGTGCATTGAGATGCGTGAGTAACTCTTTGGCTCCATCAACAGATGGCGTCGCTATGCTGTGTACATGTACACCATCCACCTGTTTGAACAATCAATTAGAAACAGGAAGAGCGCCTATACAGGATGCAAAGGCCGTGTGTCCAATCTTCATGTCAAGATTAGACTTAAGATGATACTTCCGAGAAAAAGATTCCACGTGTCTGTCCCTGATCAGAATTAGCGAAGCAACTATGTTCGATTTGACGAACTTGGAGATCCATAACATACAGTACGGATCTCCAAGTCCTCGATACATGTGAAAGAAAACTAAAGATGTGCCGTTCAATCGAAGCTCACCTAGGCAGTTGAAAAAGTGGCAAGCAACTAATAAATTTCTACTCAACGGAAAGCTTGGTGTGAGTACTACATATATATACACACACACTTTGGCCTTTAAAAGACAAAAGACGTGTACCTTGAAAACGTGTGGTGCACCAGGTATCTGCACGTGATCTGAAGTTGTCTTTTGGCCCGGAAAAAAGTACATTTTAAGAATGGCACGTTTACCTAGTACAGACCCAATACGTGCCTTCACTATGGCCTCCATCACGGCATTGCCTTCGCTGGCTTCACTTGTTTTGTAATCCTCCTGAAAAATTTCTCATAAAGCAACCAGCGCAAATTTATTTAGCTTAGAAATCTTCCAAGTTTTCCAGAAGCAAGGACAGAGCCAATCCGACTTCGCTACGTTGACAGTAAAGTGAGAAATGGAACTGTTTCAAAGAAGCTTACAGTTATGGTGAACACTCGTGCTGGCCTCAAACGCATACTCCATTTCATTTGTCTAACTTCGGGGCGTTGACGCAACCACTGCTTGAAAGATGTTCCTGATGACCCAGACTGGCAGTAGCCATCAAAGGCAGGACTCCCAAGATAAGCAGAGAAGGCTATCAACATAAAATAACGTTCTAAGTATTCCACCCCACGGTTTAGCGCTGCTCGTCTAACGTGTGGCTCTAAATTTTGCTGATTGAAGGCCCTTCTGTATTGGAGGACAGCTTGACGAAGATTTTGCATAGCTGCACAGAGATCAATAACAGCATCCAGCGCCTCACGACACTCCACTCCATTCTCTAGGAGGCGAGTTATCTTCCGAACAATAGGGATATCATCGAGAACAAAACCGCCCACTGTCCTTTGTCGGTCCACCTTGGGTACTCTGATGACAGTAGGACTTCCTACTGGCGAGTCGTTTCCAGTTTCATCGCCACTACTTGATCCGCCATCTCCGGCAGAACTTTCGCGAATGGATTTCACCATCCTCAGGGGCCTTCCAAATTGACAACGAAGCTGAACGAGGCAAGCAATAACTGTTCCTGTAGTAGTTCGCCCTCGTCCCATCTGTCCAATTGAGAATATTTCGTGAGATAGGCAGCAAAGAGTGGTCTTGAAGACAACGACAAACATAGGTGTTGAAGGTAAATCTATGTTTACCACAATGAATTCCTAGTGCATCTCACCTTACGTTGACAAGTGGAGAAAGAGGTACCTGGCAATTGAAGACAAAAGCAGTATTCTTCGCAGCAGAGGCAACCCTTTCTGAAAGCGTATCAAAATCGGAACTTTTCGGGGCCTTTCCATCAGTAATCGGCACCCTTGCATACTCAACGGGGAATCCCTCCGCCTCTAAGCACTTATATACTTCTAGAGGAGTCATCACGGCATCCGGATTCACAGGTTCCCAGGCATCAAAAATTTGTCCATCATCTGTCTCATGATTAACCATGATTGCACCATTGTACCGCTCAGCCTCTCTCAGAATATCTTCTTTCAGTCGCGCCTCCATTTGTTCAACTCTTTTCCTGTTAATACCCTACAACCATGTAGAGCGAGTCCAAATGAATTTTTATGCATGATGGAATTAAAGACTAAACAACTCTGAGTCGATTCGGAAAGTAATTAATAACGAGAATTTAAAGAAGTTGTACCGAGTATTCGAGCATATTCTTGTAGGGCCGTTCAACCTCTCTCAAAACAAAAGGTTTTCCATTTATGTATACGACAGGTTCTTCCCTCATGTTCTGCCATAATACAGGACGGCCGCCAACTCCACTCCCAACTCTGTGAAGAACTGCGCGAATTCCATCTATCGTTGGATTCGCCACTCCATAAACTGGAACCCCTGCCACTTCTCTGAAATTCGGAGCTCCTTCAACTCTTTCAGGCAGATAATTATTTTGACAGCCAGGACAGTGATCACTCTTCAAAACAGTTTGTCTTCCCAACACTTGACCATTTCTGGACGCCACAACAGTTTCCATATTCTTCGGCCGACCACTGCTACTTGATGATCCCTTCTTCACAATCCCAGGGGGATTGTTTACATACCCTAAGGCACCCATGGGATCTCGTCTTAAAAGCCTGAAAGTTTCACAAGTCAGGAGTGAGAAAAAAATGGCTCCATGAGAAAGAATGTCCAGTTAAACTGACGGAAGAGCTGAATAGAAGAGATAATGTACCCAACAGATAAACTCAAACCTCATGTTTTCATCAGTGAGTTGAACTTGAAGCCGCCATAAAAAAGGCCACAAGCAGTGAACTTTTACCTCCGAAGGATACTATAAAGCTCGGGGCGAGCTCGCATCCACTGCTGAAAAGTGGGAACACGATCTGGTAACAAGGCACTTTGATCTGTATGGATGTAGACAGCAAAGCAGATAAGGAAGTAATACCGCTCCAGATATTCCACGAAGTAAGACAGAGCTGCTTCTCGTTTCTTCTCGTCTGCTTGTCTCTGAATGCTATTACGGTAGCCAACTATAGCCTCCCTCAGATTCTGATATCAAGAAAAATATATTAGTCCAAAATTAAATCTCAAGCACCTCTGACATGAGCAGAACGAACTAGATTTTCACAATGAAAGAGTGCTCATCACCGTAACTACAGACGAAATAACTCTGATGACAACATCTCTGCATGAAAGAAACAGAATAGATTTTCTATTTTCGCCAGGAGTTTCACTATAGATTCATCGAAATAGCAAATATTTAAATGAAAATCACTGACCTGCATAGCTGAACATTTATCTATGACCTTATCAACTTCTCGTTTGCTTTCAGCGCCACCCTGCAGTGCAATAAGTTGCAAGGCAATTCAACACAAAGTAAGAACGCTTTAATGCGGAAGACTCGAACAATTAAAAAATCTACACATCACAATATTTAATACACAATGCTTTCTGTACTGCGTCGTCAAACAGACTTGCTTCGTTCTATTCATCAAACACGGATTCCGGAATATATATATGCAGTGATCGTGCAGAGTCATGGCGAAGTAATGTACATGCCAGGTGGCAAAGCACAGTGCAACTGATTAACTAGAAGACATATCAAAAGAGACATTTGTCATATCCAAAACCCTTTTAATAATATTAACTATCACAATATGAACACTCACCTCTAGAACACGGATGAGACTGCGTATTACTGTATACTCTCCTCTTCGTAATGCTTCCTCAGTGTCGGGAACTTCATACATGGTTTCCTCCGCGAGTTCATGTACAAGCCCGGTAGAGCTTGTTCGAGGTATACCTACGGTGAACATTAAAGGTCAAAACAAGTTATTTGCCGCATAATCGAAGTTCTTTGTTGGAAAATTTTCCTTCCAAGATGTTGTAAGCAAGAGCTAGTTGAGTTGAGCAAAACCAATAACATTTATAAAGATATTTGGCCACTGAAAATCTGGTTACCAGATGATCCCATTTTGCGCAAATGAACGAGAGTGGCAATGACCATGCCCGTCGTAGTCCGACCCCTCCCCATCTGGCAATTGAATATAAGTGCTGTCCCTTTTTCTGCTTGTGAAACGCGTTGAACCTTCACACGACATTGTTCATGTTAGCTTCACTTCTTACAAATCTTTCAAGAATTCCAATTTTAGAAGCAAGAGAAGCTGAGAGATGCTACCAGAAGGTCAAAATCGCGTTCTTTTGGAGACTTCTCATCGGTGATGGGAACCCGTTCGTAGTCTAAGAGGTAGCCTTCGGCTTGAAGCATGTCATACACCTGCAAGCAAAAGGGACATCATACATGCCGATCACCAATCAATACAATACTCAAAGCAAAGTCTGGTTGACGAGCATGCCAGCAACTGTCTAAAACGTTGGTGCATATCAAGGCCTCCATCGAATGTTCGGCATACCTCCAAAGGAGTTTGAACAGAGTCTTGACCAATTGGCTCCCACTGATCTATCATTTGACCATCAGGTAGTTCATCACTAACCATCACCTTGCTTTGATATCTGCACATCTCGCAGTGGTTGTCAAATCGTCATAACCAGTAAAAAATTAAAATGTTTGTTAGCAAGACTACGAAGAAAAGATGAATCAAAGATAGCAAGTATAGTCCATACCGCGAGGATTCACGTAGGACATCCTCTTTCAGACGAGCTTCCATTTGTTCTACCCTTGCTCTATTAATGCCCTACAAAACAAAGGGAGATGTAAGATACTTTCAACACAATACAAGCTTTAAAGTCGAAGTACTCAGCACAACTTCCTCAGATAAACCCCAGTATAGTACAATTAGGACTTTTGATAACACTAAGTATGAATTCCCCTTCATAACTCCATAGGCTCTTTAAGTCTTGGACTAAAAAGGGCCTGGTCAGATTCACTTGAATGGTACTTTAGCATTGTTTCCAAACAACATTCTAAATAAATTTGAGTCTCCAATAAAGCAATATTTGCCTCAAGATGATCTGACAAAATTCTCCACATATTCTCTCAAAACACAGCCCAAATTTTTTGTGTGCTTGCATAAACCAATCAGAGGCATATTTTACCCACACAGACCTCAGTTGTACCTTGCGACTACTCCCAGGACTACATGGTTATTTGAGATGGAAAGCCCATTGTATCCGATCTTCTCGAAATTTGTCCCAGTGTACGAATGATTTTTTAGACAGAAACAAAACAAAACACATATGGGTAGGTATATTTGGCCTGGATTGATCAATTCCACGATGAAGTTGTTACACATGTCCTGAGTGCATTATTTTTTAACCATTCGGAAGGGCCGTCAAAGAAATAACGATTGGATTGATACAGCCGTACCGTACTAAGTCCTATGAAAGAACCTCTTCTAGCATTTTACTTCTTGCCACACCTCATAGAACCACCAGCTGTGAAATCAGAAACTCGAAGATAGTGTATTCACAATAAAGCTTGTTAGCTGCTTTGCTCATCCAGATATACAGCGATTTGGATTTGAGCACCTGCCCTGCACAAGCAACCCAAATGCACAATGTGCCCAGGACAACCGCCAACGAATTTTCTTGTCTACAGCAAGCAATTACTAAACTACCTTGGTTGACCAAGATGTGAGTTGTCGATAAGGCAATAGTCGATACATCTGTGAGATTCATGCCAATGCATCTTACGGCACGTTGTCATTGCCAACCTCCCATAACAACACTCTTTTGCTTCGAACGCTAGGATCCTAACATTATTTTACTCTTGCTGACAGCAAAAAAGATGACTTCAGGAAGGTGTTCAAACTGAAAATGCCCGATAATCAGACATGTCTGCAAATCCAAATCTATCATCCAAAAATGGGTACGGAGTGTGTGACCAAGTAGTTCACTCTTCCAAGAATTCACATCAGTTCTAGTTAGAGAATTGAAAAACCCTTGACCAGGCAACAGCAGTATCAAACATTTTTCTCCTTGTCAACCAGTACCAGTAAGCAGTGCTGCCTCATCTTGTGAGAGTAAGTCAAAGATCTATAAAAAATCGTAAGGTTTTCTTTCGAAGTGACAACTGCACTTAGAATGCGTAGAATCTTTTGTGCAACCATCAAACGTACGGTGGCACATAACTTCTTCACACATCTAATAAGGTGCACATAGGAATGGCTTGCAGTCCTAACGGGTGATCTTTTTCAGCCAGGATTGAAGAAGTCCAGAATAAAAATGATGAAATATTGGGAAAGGTTTGGTAAGAAAAATTCTGCAAGAAATTCAATTTTCTCACAAAACTTAACATGACCTTGAAGTAGGTGCATACATAAGCATGTACATATACATGACATGTCAAATACAATTTGGCTTGTGGTAAGTCACACCGAGCACCTCTAGCTGACCACAAAAGGATACACTAATCTGTCGGAGCAGTGTGAATTAGAATAGCATGTCAAGAATTAGCTGGATTCGAGAAGACCAGGATAGAAGATGCGGGTAAGGCATCAGTGAGTTCGTTCACAACCCTCCAAAAACTAACCAGCTAGATCTAGAATGTAGAAAAAGGGGAAAACAGAATTGCCAATTCATGGTTTGAGACGGCCTACCGTATATTCCAGATTTGTAAATGGATGCTCAATTTCTCGCAGAACAAATGGTCGTCCATTTATGTAAAGTACCTGACAAAAAAACGTCTCACATGAGCGCAGGTGTATCTTATATGCCGGCACATTCCTACTCATCTTCAAAAGCTATAAAATTTTAACAGAAAGGCGTCATCAAGAACAGGAAACAGAGGGACATGAACTGTTCCACAAACTTATGAATAAGTCCACATCTGACATACACTAGGAGATAAAAGAGAAAAACAGTCACATTTGCCGTAAGCATTGATGTTTATAGAAAATACTGACAGGCTCTTCTCGTAGATTATGCCAGAGAACTCGTTGTCCAGCATTCTTGGAGGCCCCAACAAGCTCAAGCACTCTGCGAATTCCGTCCACAGTAGGTATGGCTACACCAAATACAGGAAGTGCTCCAACCTGTGAAAGAAATCAAAATTCCAACCAAACCTAAAATCAACCAAGATGTTGAAAAAACCTGCAATCCAAATAGACTTCATACTCAAATTCGGAAGCAACGACAGACGTATGAGACGGTCATCAAAAGATTCTAGCTACGCGCAATTCTATCATATTCCTGACAGATCTTTAGCCCACTATTTCTTTCAGAACCCAGTGCAAGCACTGAACTTGTGGTGAAAAGATTTTAGAGACGTCGATAAGGTGATACATGCACTTAACGATGGGAACATGCAAAATGAAATTTAAACGGTCTGAAGTGAATGACTTTACAGTCTCGGAGGAGGCAATAACGCCGAAAACGACATTCAATATGTGAAGAAACCGAACTGCGGAAGTTGTAGGCAAATTTGTGTTTCAATTCGCAATTTTTCAGCTTATGCCTATGAAACAACGAATACAGCTGTGTTGCAAATGATCAGAGGACTGAGAGAGACGGGTTTTAGTTTATGTCTACAACTATTCCTGAACTCTCGAGGATTCAGCTTAAACCACAATCACACATAGTCCTTCTAAAACATTACGTAGATGATATCATCACCATTCTCGGGTTTACAAAAAATTCAAGACGTTGCGATGAGGATCACAAAAAGTGGACGCTTTGTTACGACCTGGAATGACTGACGCTTTGTAACGACCTGGAATGATTGACGTGTGCAGAAGTTGAGAGGTAATCGCTTCACGGTCTCTACTACAAATCCTACAAGTGAGATTTATTATGGTGCTCAACAGTAAAAGCTGAGTAATAATGAGAAATGAACGTTAATTGAAGAGGAAAAGAGGAAGACGTGCCATGACTAACTCCTCGACCTTCCGATACAGAAACTACCGCGATTGAAAGTTGATGTCATAGAAAGCGGAAAATTCAGTTCAAATTACTGGAAAAGTAGCTGACGAAGAACCTGTAATTTAGACCCCACACTATGTAGAATCGAAGCTGAACCATAATTATTGAACATCCTCACTGAACGGTTTCTTAATGCAAAGTTGCATTTTATCACACATTGAAATTCCATCAATCAGACTTTAGGTACCTGGCGGTAATTCGGTGCTCCCTCCACATGTGGGAGGAGACGCTTGTTCTGGCAACCTGGGAAATGATCACTTTTGAGAATCGTTTTCTTCCCGAGTACAGAACCCCCGCGCGAAATAATAACATGTTCCGGCTCCCTCGACCCTGCCATCTTGCATTTATCTTCCGTTTCGAGAGTCAATGTCACACCAGCGGCTGATCGATGAACCGTGTAAGAACGCCGAGACGAAATAGAAATCCGACTGACAAGAGGACTACAATATAGTCGAAGAGGCAAGTATGACTTGTGCAAAGAGTTCCGGATCCAAGTTCAATCAGAGGAGCACGAAAATCCTGGGGTCGCGATCTTCGATGGAAAGACTAGAAGCTTGAAGCTACTCCGATGGGTGCAAAATGTAAATCTCTTTCATAAGCCGAGACAGACGGGAGAGCAGGTGAGCACAAGAATAATTCTAGCCTTCAGAGATTGAGTGAGGATAAAGTAAACAATTGTATTCGAAAGTTCCAAGATAGCAAATTTAGAATGCGGTCAGAATAGTAATAGAGGTATGAGGCAAAGGTCTCAGCAACAAGAGTAGTGCTGTTCGGTAATGGGGAGGGATGGCCAATTACAACATGAGGGGAGGAAGGGTGGGATAAAGGAGAGAATCGAACAGAGGACGTACAGGGCGAGTGTGGTGGGTTCTAATTAACGAAAACTGTCGCTGCTGGTGGAAGAAACGTGCAGCAGCAGACAGCTTACAGATTGGGGAAGGCGGAGTGGGAGAGGGAAGCGCTGGAGTCGCTAGTCGGTGGAGAAAGAAATGGTGGTGGATAGAAAGTACTGAATCTGACCTCTGTGATGAGAAGAGGCAAGCAGATGCAGAACGGAAGCGCCTGCCCTACAGAACTCTTAAACTGAAATCTCTAGCTCAGCACTGTCCAAAGGCAGGGAGATAATGAAACGCAAATGGCGCGAGTCTTTTCACATCGTGGTGGGCCCGTCTGCTCTCTCTCTCTCTCTCTCTCTCCACTTTTCTGCTGCAGATTATTTTGTCTTCGCTAAGAGGTTTTCCCACAAGGAAGGTGCTCCTGATTCCTCGCCACGCATGATTCAAAGCAGCGTATCGCTTCCCCTGCTACTGTAATGAGTATCCACCTCCATGTTCCATACTCCCCGCCAAACGAGTAGATCAGCCGCACTTCACAAGCAAAATCCCCATCAATGCTTGCTTCCACCCTCCCAGTCCAACTGCGAATACGGAAGACATTAATTTAGAACTCCTTCCATTCGTGCGGACTTCCAACAACCCCGACGCATAAAAGAATATCTCCGTACCCTCCGTTGCTGAAGGAAGAAAAGATTACAAAACACCATCAGAGTCAGAGATAGAACCCAGGACCTGATGATACCCAGTTAGCAGAAGTCAAGCACCCAGCGTCACAGACAGACAGCAGACAAATCACGGGTCAGATGATGGAGAGAGAGACAGACAGAGAGATAGGGAGAGGGTTTTTAGAAAGTGACTGCCATGGATGGCTTCGGGCAAGGCGCGGTAGGGCACAGCTCTGACAATGCAGCGTTATCTGTTGCTATGTGCGGGGCCAATGTGCTCCCGGCGAGAATGCACACGAATCAGGTGGGGAGGGAGAGGGTGGGGAAGTCCGGAGGCTGCTGCTGCTGCTGCTCCTTCTTCTTCTTCTTCGTCTGTCAACTTTCCGCCCGTCGGGTCCCGAAAACTAGCCGCGGCGCAGCATCCACCATCCATGCATTGGCCCGCATCAGGATGATCCATGCACACTCGCCCGACGTCATCATTGCCCGATTTGAGGTCCTCGGATTCTAGAATTTCCGCACTCAGCCGTCCAATATTATATCCGAGGGCGTACAGTCTCCGCAAAGATTGCGCCTCTCTGTAGGCCGATAGGTCTATTTGTGAGGAGCTGATTCCGAGACATTTTGGACTGTGCGTTCTAACGGCCTACGCTGTCGAGTCGGCTTTCTCGGTCACCAGCCCTTCCTCCATACGCGACATCCAGCGATTGTGCGTCGTAGCTCGGACCGACCACCTTCCGATTCACAGGATATTGTAGGGAACATGGACCATTCAATCACCACGCGGAGAGGAGTAAAATCACCCCAATTTTCAGCAGGCCCATCGAACAAAGGCTCGTATATTGTACAGCTCGCTTACCATGTTATCCTTGTGGCTTCATCCTCGTACGACATGACGGATTTTCTTTCCTTTTTGCTATTTTACCTTTTACTCCACAGCGGTATGTCCTCCAAGGAATCATTTGAACCCTCGCTTCAGTGCAGCTTCCGTGGTTGTTAGGCATCGATTTCTTCACTCCGTACTCGTTTGCACATTCGTCCCTTTTTTCCCTTTTTCCTAAATTCATGTTGGTGATGGTGACGGCAACTACTACACACATCGAATAATATTGGTACCTCGAAAAAGAACAACTATCATCGGGATCAAGTTCCTATCATTTTCCCATCGATAGATACCATCCGTGGGTGGTATCACTTCTACGTTCTGGAAAAGAAACTGACAAAAGAAAGACAGATGCTGTGAAGTTTCTGGCTTTACGTTTTACGAACAGACAAGTAAAATCTTACACGCAAAGTACTTCATATAAGGTTTGTTTTTTAACAATCCAATTTTGCGTGTGTTAAAGCAGAAGCCCTGACCTTGGATTCTCAAAAGATTTAATATCGATGCATATTGTGGCAGTCATTCCACGTGGTGACCGGAGGTTTGATGCCAGCTTTGATCGCGCAAGGAGAAGCAGAAGTGCGCTCGTAAGTAATCAGGTAGAGATTCCCAATCGTTTCTCCTCGTGTTCTCTCTCACTTCCATTCACCAGTTTGTGCCATTTTGGTGGCCCCCTGCCTGATTCACCAGCTCGTCGTCTATACTGTCTCGAAGCCAGTGGAAACATCTTGTATGAACTTCAGATCACGGCATCTGTCCCAAGAATATCGATAACTCGAATGATCTTCGCATTGCGGAGATGCATGAATGACTCCATGCAGCCAACACTAAGAATAGAATTAATTCCATCAGGTACGGAGAACGCCAAATTGGGTACAGTACTTCACTCGCGCTCAGAGGAGCTCATGTTTCCGCAACAACTTGGATATCGTATTGATTCTCCACTTTGCAACTCTCATTATCACTAATAATGTTTTCGCGTGATTTTCAGCTCATGGAGCATCGAAGGTTTTTCATTTCAAAGAGTTCCATTCATTTTTAAATAAGATTATTACATGAATTATTGCGTTTACCTCGAGAATAAGTAGAATCGATGAACCAAAAAAATAAAGCTTTATCTAAAAAAATTTTGAAGGGTGAAATAATAAGTGTATGTTATACATACATAGAACTGAACAATAAGAACACATACACCTTTTTTAACATATGTAGTTAAAATTCTTTAGAGATTCCAAGTAATATACCTGCCAACCTAATTGACGAAATTATGTTATAATTTTTTAGAAAAAATTGAAGTTTTTTCTAATATAAATGATAAATAATAATAAAATTTCTATTTTTAAAAAAGTAACATGATTCATAAAGTTTGGTTTGGTTTCTTGAAGCAATAAAAATTGTGTATGTTATATTCTAGATATTTCAATTGATTGCATTCAAATGTATACAAATAATTGGTTCCAATTATCTAAGCCTTTAGATGTACTAAATCATTATTTTAAATTTATTATTTTTGAAATATTTGAAAAAATGGAAAAAAAACTGAAATGTATAATGTGTATAATTTTCATTCAAATATAGATGTATTATTTTTATTAGAGTCTAAAATAATATTATCATTATGATTGACGATCGATGATCTTTTCAAAAAATCTTTTATTAAATCATATTGTAAGCTTTTGGGGTATCCGCTAGTATTCAGATTTCCTTTTGCAGTGAACTGATGCAAATCTTTCCCGCATATTTTTACTATATATTTTATAAATCAATTTTATTTATAATGGACGCTATTTCTGGAGGTTTATGTTATCAGAAAAAATGTATAACTGGAGTTTGAAATAACGGAAATTGTTCGCAGAGGATGATCATTTTTTTGTGATGATTTTTCTCCTTAAATGTAAAAATCTCACTTCCGAACGTATATATTATGATCTGTACTATTTCCACGTAAAATTGGTCCATATACTGATAATATTTTGAGCTGTGATGGTGAAGTGTTCTAACTAGGATAAAATGTATAGATCTTGTAATCTAAAATTGATGAATCTCATAAATATCCAAAACGAAACTTAAATAAGAAGACTTAATTATTCACACATTAACAAAGTTAAGTAGCGTTAAGAAATAAATATGTTTAACATATTAAAGTACAATTAGGATATTTTCTAACCAAATTTAAAAGTTAAAATTTTGTTCATAAATACCTATAGTGAAATAAATTTATTACTATAATAAAATTTGAAAAGCATAATATCAAATATGGATATTCAGAATTTCAATCAAGTTGGATCAATTTAATAAAATCTATGAAATGTGATCAAATGTAATGCGAAATCAGTATCTATGAACTTTGATATGAATAAATAAAACACATCTTCAAGCTATAATAAAATAAGGAACTTTTAAATATGAATGTAAACGATATTTCCAATTTTACTGCTAATTATATATTTGTTTTCTTTAAAATATTTAAATTCAAGAAATATAAATTTAACATGGAAAATAAAAAACAAAATTCACAAAATTTCTAATATCATTATCGCATGATCATGCGTATCAATTCTATGTTAACAGATATTTGGACGAATTAATTGTTATATTGTATTTTATATTTGATGATTTTATTATTATACAGGTAAAAAATCTTTTTAAAAGTCATCACTTCTTGATGAAACTTTAGAGTTCCTTGACCAACACGTCTTGTCTATACCATAATTTTTTTGGATTAAAATTTAATCAAGATCCAATATTTTTCAAAATGTTCATAAACTCATTTATTTCTGTGTAACTATTTTCTGTTAAAAAATCTACGTTTTCTTAAAAAAAAAAAGTAATAAGTACAAGTGCTATATGAAGTTTGGGAATGAAACTTTATATACAAAGTAAAATTCGAAATAGTAAGTTTCAGGAATTCGAGTACAACATTAGTTACATTAGTTATTAGTTACAACATGTTATTCTATATGTATACAGTAAATGCGAGGTTATCATGGTTTCAAATAATTGTCTTATAGTTGCTGTGTTGAAGAGAAATTTATTCCTTCGGTTTTTCTATTCCTGAATGGGACAATTTCCTAGTATACTGTATATATATATATATATATATATATATGAAATTCATAATCAGGTAGATGGAACTCATACATGTGGAACGAAGCTTGAAAATCATTTTAAGTGTTTGATATTCAAAGGTGAATATGTCTCACCATTTTATACATTAGCTAACCAAAACATCTTTACATGAAACAAATCACAACCTATAATAGACTTACGAGCTTGGACAATATATTCGAAGGTATAAGTGGGCAGGCCTTCGACCTCCTAACCACATATTTGCGAAGAAGCGCTATGCTACTGAGATGAAGTCAACTACTCAGTAGGTGGGACTCAATGTCAGTCAAAACTGATTAAGCTGCTGCGTAAGCCATTTCACGGAGAGCTCTGCATTTGAAACTCTCTGGATATTCAAACTTTTTTTTACTCGAGCTCGTGAATGGGAATGGTTCACATCGATGGTTCGAGAATCAGGTACGAGACCTTTGCGACGCCCGACGAAATACTTTCATGGGAGTGACGACAAAGCATTGCCAACTCGTCTCCATATCAAGTATGACCGTGAGATATGCAAAGGCATATTGAATAATAAACGCATCGAAATACCCTCTATGTTTTAGAAAACATAGTCACGGGGTAAATTCAGAGACAAAAAATATAGCGCAAGGACTACATTGACGTGCACAAAAGAAAAAACAAAACTAGAAGTCAGTACGGTGAGGAATAGAAACGCATAGCAATTATGCCTCCAGATCAAGATGCTCTTTAGAACATATTCACGGGGTAAATTAAGAGACCAAAAAATATAACACACGGACCACGTGACGTTCACAAAAATTTTTAAAAACTAGAAGTAATCACGGTGAGAAATGGTAACGCATATTAATCATGCCTCCTGATTATTATGCTATCGAAAACAAAGTCAATGGGAAGAAACACCGAATCTACACTGACGTTCACATCGATAATTAAAAAAAAATGAAGGCAGCAAGGTTTTATATGTTAATACAAATCAACAATGCCTCCTGATTAAAAAACTCTCCAAAACATAGTCACTGGGATGATATAGTTAACAAAAGTATAGCACACGGAATCCACATTGACGTCCACAAAAGAGTTCAACAATGGAAATCAGCACGGTGAGAAATGGAAACGCATAGCAATAATGCATTTGAATTAAAATGCTCTCGAAAACATAGTTCCGAGGAAAATACGGATAACAAAAATACAGCACACGTCATCTACATTGACGTCCACAAAAAAATTTTAAAATAGAAATCAGCACGGTGAGAATCGGGAAAGTAGAGCGATTTTGCCTCCTCATTAAAATGCTCTCCAGAACGTAGTTCCGAGGAAACGACGGATAACAAAAATACTGCACACTTAATCTACATTGACGTCCACAAAAGAATTTTAAAATAGAAATCAGCACGGTGAGAAACGGGAACATATAGCGATAATGCCTCCTAATTAAAATGCTCTCGAGAACATAGTTCCGAGGAAAATACTGATGACAAAAATGTAGCACACGTAATCTACGTTGGCGTATCAGAAATTTATAACGAATATAGAAGCGAGCACACCGCGACCCCAAGTTGAAGCAAACAGGATATCGCCATAATCTCGTGGGGGGCTTTTCCTCGAGGCCCCAGGAGCGTGACACGTCGGAAATTCCGGATTGGACAGTTACGAGAGCGAGAGCCCATCACACATCAGTTCTCTCCCTCGCAGCCGGTCCGATCGGCGGCACACGACCGGACCAGCGGGTGAACCGCGGGGCAGCGGGAGGGAATCTTCAGAATGGGCGGACAAGGGATCCGGTAACGGCGTGGGCGAGGAAGGCAGAGGGGCCCGCGGTCGCGCGGTCGGATTCGAAGGCTCGCGGGGCCTCGCACGGGGCCCCGGCCCGGGCGCGAGATGGCGGGCCGGTGCGGCGGAGGCCGGGTGGGCCGCGGTCCCTTCGCGTATGACGGGATAGGGCAAAAAGGGTTGTGGACGAGGCGACACATGTTCGATAAAGCGCCCAAGAGCGCAGCGGATTTTCTCCGAGAGAGCGCCTGAAGGTGCGCTTTCAAGGATGAGAAATGTTCTGCTAGTTTAGCTGTTCGTCGACGCTGCGCGATCATTCGGACATTAGAGTTCGTAGGGTTGTTCGGGAATTCTCGCAGTTTGCTCGGTGAGTGAAATAAGGCTCGTGCCGCGAATCTGCGGTCGGAAGCTTTAATTCGCCGAGACCTCGAGAAATTCTGTCGGGGAGGGTCCGTTTTTTTGTGTCGATTGTTGGTGTTTGTGTGATTTGTCTGGTGGTTTGTGGGCGTGCATTCTGAGCAGGATTTCGAGGAGTTGCGGTTGTTGAAATTTGGTGGAGGCTGGGGAGTTCTTTCCGTCTGTAGGATGCGGCTCGAGTGTTCGTTGTGGGCTGAATCTGGTGGTGGAATTTGATGGTTATGGTGGTGGGTGTAAATGTTTCAGTACAGGAGCAACTGGAAGGATGGCTCGGAGGCGCGCGAATTTGCGAATTTGAGGAGTTAGATTTGGGGTTAGTGGCTGAAGATATGAGCAAAATTGGTGCAGGAAGGGTGTTCGAGTTTGTCGTAGGAAGCCTAGTTTCTGTATGAAGCACAGAGGACGCGAGTTAACTGTCCGGGTTTGTTTCGATCACCGGTTGCTCAAATCAAACTCCTGCTGTCAGTGAGCAGTGGACATAGGAATCACGAAGCTGCAAGCTGGAAATTTCTTTCGGGATTTGAGGGTGACCAAGTTAACCGGAGTGGGAAGTGTGGAAAACCTGCGAAATGGCAACATCAGTGGTTCCGGGGTTGGTTTCACTGAATCTTCCCACACTTGTCACATCCCGAAGTAGTAAGGGGAGAGGACCAGTCAATTCTGTTTCGTTGCCCGCCACAACCTTGGTCTGCCCTGGTTGTCATACTCCTCAAGTATCAGACAGATTAAGGGCGAAGCGACGCGTTTGCACAATTTCTTCTTCGCGCCTCAGGTTTGAAATTGCCATGAAAATTCTCCGTTGCGGCACTGACGTGTGTTGATGCATGAAGGCATTTGCAATAATAAACACGAGATTGAAGATTGTATTGCCACGTGTTCGTCGGTTCGTGTGAATTGGATTGAATGATTGAACAGTAACAAATACAAGAGTGGAAAATGCTCTGTTTTCCACTCTTGTATTTGGCAATCAAATATGCGTGCTAGAGGTTTAGCTTTCGCGACCGGTTCTTAGTTAATGTAGGGGTTTGTATAGTAGAGGTTGTAAGAACTGAATACTCCATTGACGCTCAGTTGTTTCTGACTTGCTACCTACAAGTTGGACTTTCCCCTTGGACTTCCGTTCGTCTTTGTGAACATAATTCAGTTTGGGAGCAACAAATGAAGGTACCACGTACAGGGAAATATTGACTTTCGTTTTCTGCAGGTGGTTCCAAGGTGAAAGTTCTAGAGATATCTCAGCTTCGAGAGGTCGGTCTGCAAGCAGCTTGAATAGTACACATGTTATATCTAGAGATGGTTCTGCCTCAGCGTCCGTCTCGAATCGGACCTCAAGAAATTTTGCTCGAAGATCCTCACTAAGCTGTAGATTTGGGGCACTGGTGTCTCGCGGAGCACTTCCGAACAATGTATTGAAGCCAGGAGTGGCCCAACAAAGAAGAAGTAGCTCCTCAGACGAAAGCCTGCGATGTCCAGGCGATTGTATTGCACCTCGATTGGTACGTGCTGCATTTGTGGATCGTATGCATTTCAGCAGTCTTTCTTGAACGTTTTGCTTGCTGCTTGTGAGTCCAGCCAGAGTAGTTGATGACCCTACCTAGAGTGAATCTCTGCTGAAACGTTGAGGAAAATAACGAGGGCTTCCTGTCGCAGATACGGTCTTCACGAGGCTTAGTCGCACGTGCATCAGCCGGTCACAATGAGCCCCATGCCGTTACGTGGATGCCAGAGGAAGGTATTCGGGAGAAAGACGAGAAGGATTTTTTGAATGGGTCCGAGGCAGAAACTGCAGATGTCGAAGAGTTTCTGCAATCAAAGCTCCCATCTCATCCGAAACTACATCGTGGGGAACTGAAAAATGGTCTTCGTTATGTCATTCTTCCCAATAAGGTACCTCCAAACAGGTGAGAAAGGCTTTCAGGTCTATACAGGAGCTGGTCAAAATGTTGAGAACTTAACATGCCTGGTCCTGGTATGTTAATTTTTACGATCAAAGATTGAAGTCTTTCTTAACTGTTTTCAACTTTGCCAGGTTCGAAGCCCACATGGAGATGCACGTGGGATCCGTCGATGAGATGGAGAACGAACAAGGTATAGCACATATGATAGAGCATGTGGCTTTCCTGGGGAGTAAGAAGCGAGAAAAGCTATTGGGAACTGGAGCTCGGTCAAACGCTTACACAGACTTCCACCACACAGTTTTCCATGTGCATTCACCAATTACAGCCCAGGTTAGTTTACGTTACCACCAGTTCCTCTTTTTCATGCAATCCATGTTTTAAGAGTCCTATTGACCTTCAAGTGACATCTTTACGGAGATTTAGGTTCCCTGGCACCGGCTGACAGGGAGTACAATATCCAACATGGGGTTTTTGAATCACACCGTGCTGATTGGGATGTACAGGGCTCGAATGAACCACTGCTTCCTCTTGTTCTCGAAGCTCTTCACGAGGTTTGTAACTATTTCGTTTCCAGATTTTTCATCTTCGTTGCAATCAATCAGCAAACCCCAGTGTTTCCGGCACAACCTTATGTACAGTAGTCTTACGGAGGGCTTTGAAACAGATTGCGTTCAAACCAAAGTTTCTTTCTTCGCGTGTCGAGAAGGAGCGGAGGGCTGTATTATCGGAATTACAGATGATGAATACCATCGAATATAGAGTTGATTGCCAGGTAAAGTTCTGATCTGGCTGTGGAGCTTAAAGTTATGTTGGAAAATTTTGCTGTAGAGGACGTGAAATTGCGTCCTTTTGCTTATTAACGTCTTGAATATGGTAAGCACATACATATATGAAAACCTGCTGATGTCCTGTTTGTACTTCGTTCTGGGAGACGTCGATGGGATGGTAAGTTGTAAGTAGTTACTGCACGCTACAACAGACCTCTAGTAGTCAGTAACGCTTCTGGTTTGTTGTAAATTTCAAGTGGAACGTTATATTCTACGGTAAAACTCTATGCTTTTGTTATTGAGGTAAAGCGATTTATTAATAAGTGTTCCCTCTACAAATGCCAGCTCCTACAGCAATTGCACTCGGAAAATATGTTAGGCTACAGGTTTCCAATCGGACTTGAAGAACAGATTCAAAAGTGGGATCCTGAGACCATCAAAGCATTCCATGAACGCTGGTATTTTCCAGCAAATGCCACGCTCTTCATCGTCGGAGACATTGGGAGCGTTAGTCGAACTCTTCAGATGATTGAGGTTAGTTAACTTTGGACTTAGCAGCTTCATTGACACTACTGATCTTCGGATTTGTAGAGATTCAGTTGTCACACACTTCATCTGCTTCAGTTACACTGATTTTATCATATACTTCAGCCGGGTTTGAGCAAGGTTTTGAATCAAGAAACATTCTGGATCTTTTTAAGAGTGTTGTGCGCTGTGAAATGAGAACGTTTTTTTTGTTTGCAGGCACAATTTGGATCAACCCCGTCAGCGGTGGTACCTAGCACTAACCCAACAGATACGTCGCCTCCAAAATACAAAGAAAGGCACCCCATAAGACCACCGGTGGTTCATAACTTTTCCGTACCAGGAGGTCCTGGACTTCTCAAACGGCCATTTGTTTTTCAACATGAACTCCTGCAAAACTTCTCCATTAGTTTGTTTTGCAAGGTAAACCCGTCCTTCGCATTCTCCTCAAAACATTATCGATCACTTATTATAACTGCTCTTGAGTTTCGCCACAAAAGATACAAACATTAGCGTGCCCTGGAGCTATGTTTGCGAACTAGAATATAAATGAGCTAGACTTGGAACGAGAAACGAGAGACTAGGGAGGGACACGTAATGAATGTATATACCTATCCATTTTTATCAACGCTGAGAACTTCTGCTTTGAGCCCTAGATCTGTATTAAGGTAATATTTGATCGCAATGTGATCTGTAGGCAACAGAGGAGAGGGACGTTTTGAACGCACCTCAAGTTTAGGGTAGAAACGAGAGTTTCTGAGTTGCTCAAGGAATCTCTGTGTGAAGACGCTGACTACCTTGCTAATATATTGCAGACTCCAGTCCAAAAGGTCCAGGTTTATTCGGACCTGCGTGATGTACTGATGCGGCGAATCGTTCTTTCTACTCTGCAGTTTCGAATCAACACTAGATACAAGGTGGGACAATTCAGCAATTTTAATATGTGAACTCGCAAACATATTTGTTGTTAAATTAGACTATCGTCGGAATTTTTATCTGATTTGAAATCTTTAAAAAACTGAGTACTTTGGTGGAGGGTTGTGTTGTCTACATTATACTTCATCTGTCTTCGACATTGTGCTCATAATAGCTAGACTATAGTCGTGGACGCTTCGAATCATGTCTAGTCGCTAGTTGGATTAGATTTGAGGATCCGCTGGTTTGCGTGATCTCCTCAAGGTTTATCTGCGCGTTCCTCCTGATGGGTTTCTTCATCTGCATTTGTTCAGAGTGCCAATCCACCGTTTAATGCTATCGAACTCGACCACAGCGATTCAGGAAGAGAAGGTTGTGCCGTTAGTACCCTCACAGTAACAGCAGAGCCAAGACATTGGGAAGGTGCAATCAAAGTTGGTGTCCAAGAGGTTAGTGATATTCCATTTGCTTGAATGTTGAATATTTTTATTTGTGTTGTATAGTGGTAACTAACTTAGTTGTCCATGTTGACAGGTGAGGAGGCTGAAGGAGTTTGGAGTGACTAGGGGAGAGCTTGCTAGGTATCTGAATGCGCTCCTCAAGGATAGCGAACATTTGGCTGCGATGATCGACAACGTACCGTCCGTTGACAACCTTGACTTTATTATGGAGAGTGATGCCCTCGGGCATACTGTTATGGACCAGCAGCAAGGTCATGAAAGCCTTATGGCTGTGGCGGAAACCGTGACTCTCGAAGATGTAAGGATCAGTAATTGCACCTTAGCAGTCCTGTTCATAGTTTTAATCAATCTGTGACTTAATCTCTTTGGTTCTGTTTGTTGGAAATAAACAGGTGAATGCAGCTGCGGCAGCAATGCTTGACTACATCGCTGATTTTGGAAGACCAACCTCTCCGTTGCCTGCTGCTATAGTTGCCTGTGTTCCTAAGACCTTGCACGTTGAGAATGAAGGTGATAAGCCCTTCGAGATCACGTCAGATGCCATTCTCGACGCAATACTGGCAGGACTGAATGGTGCCCTATCTCCAGAACCAGAGGTTTGTTTTCTTTGTATCAGCTCTACTGCCCCAGTTTTTTTGCACCAATCACCATTGATTCAGAATCTATAGTGGATGATGGCAGTCTATAGTGGCAGTATCGTTTGTGGTGAACATCGTATTCTGTCAACTTTTAGACTCAGTGAATGATAGTTGACGATTACTGGTAACTGTCAGATGAGATAAGTACTCGAAGTTTCACGAGATGCCCTGTAGTCGTTCGCATTTTTCTTAACTCTCTCAATATATATGGGACGAGGTTTGTGGTCAAGGATCTGTACTTTATCTACTTTCAATTCTTTGATACTAGATTACCAGTTTATAGCTGTGGCAAAGGTCATGATCCCAGATCCATACTCCTTATATTGTTTCTCAATCCGACCTCATTATTCCAGAGGCCATTCATCTAACTTTCCCAGGAAGTGCAGTCTTCTTTTCTGAGATTTGTTGACGTCCTTGCTTGGCACACGCAGCTAGAGGTTCCAAAGGAACTAGTTTCCCCTTTCCAGTTGGCGGCTCTGCGAATGATGCGACAACCATCTTTTGTCACTGTTGCTGAACGTGGAACCCAGCTGAAACATGTGGATGACTCAACTGGAGTCATTCAACGACGGTTGTCAAACGGAATACGCGTGAATTACAAGGTAGTGTTCTCGTTTTGTTTTTGGCTGATGGCAAAATATATTCGAGAGCTCCTTGTTCTAGCTTACTTTCTGTTTAGCAGCATGATGCTTATCTGAGAAAAAAGTATTGCTCCAGGAAATTGTCTAGAAATTAGTACTTGGATATTTACGTTGCGAACATGTTGTGCCCAAGCGCAGCTTACCCAAAATGAAGCGAAAGGAGGCGTGATGAGGTTGGTTGTCGCTGGTGGAAGGGCACGAGAAACTCCAGAAGCGAGTGGAGCTGTTGCAGTTGGTGTTCGAACTCTGAGTGAAGGTGGTGCAGTAGGGGGCTTCTCCCGTGAACAGGTGAGTTCAAATCTAGAGCTCTACTGGAGGTATCGATTTTAGAATGCATTTTAAAAAAATGTTTCTTCATTTAAGCTTAGGAAAGGGAGCGTTCTTGTATCTGAAACATGATGCGTTTAAGGCTTTGCCAGCTGCTTATAGAAGCCGTCATGAGAGTCAAGATTATAGTCGATGAGTTCACAAAGTCCAATCGGTTAAACTGCACTTAAGGCTATATCTGCATCTCTTACAATAAGGGGTGACAAGCCGTCAACTGTACTTTGGGATCCCCTACTTCAAATCACGCTTGTACGTTTCGTGAGATTTTGTCGTACTAGCCTTGCTGAAGTACGAAGGATGTCTTGTAGAGTCAAAGTCGGGTTCAACTAATATGAAATCATGTTTGGAGCTATTGACGGACACGGATTGTCATCCAGTTATATCTTCCTTGTTTTACATTCGGGAATCGTCTTTGTAATCCGATTATCATGATTTTGATTATTGTCGACATTAGAACTCAAGCTTCATTTGGTACGCAGGTTGAACTTTTCTGTGTCGGGAACCTGATCAACTGCGTGCTAGAAGCTGATGAAGAGTTTATGTGCATGGATTTCCATTTCACTTTGCGTGATGGTGGAATGCGGGCTACTTTTCAACTCTTACATATGGTTCTGGAGGTAGTAGCGTTACTCTGCTTTCCATTGTACTCGTTTTAAGTGAATTGGTCCCTTATTACAGTGAACCTAGAAGCTTTACGAAGATCCATATCTCCTTTAGTGTGGGTTTGAGCTATGCGTTGAATGTTCAAGAGAATCGCCAGGGAACACGTGAAATGCTCAATTTATGATATCTCGTTTTTAGTGCCAAAGGAAATTCTGCATCCCGTTTGAATTTATTCAGTTCACCTGTGCTCGTTCATTTGGTTTGAGATCCCGATGTACAGGTTGAAAATGTTGTCAAATGCAAGAACCTCAGATTTGGTGTGTGGATTTTGTTGCAGCACAATGTCTGGCTGGAAGATGCTTTGGACAGGGCAAAGCAGCTGTATCTGTCCCATTACAGGTCAATGCCAAAGAGCTTGGAGCGAGCCACAGCTCATAGGCTCATGAGAGCGATGTTCAAAGGCGAAGAACGATTCATCGAGCCATCACCTCAAGCTATAGAAAGACTCTCTCTATCAGTTGTCAAGGAGGCAGTCATGAAGCAGCTTGTGACTGGAAACATGGAGGTGAATTAAAGTTCAATCTCTCGTCTCATTGTATGTAAGATTCTTCCTGTTTAGCAGAGGAAACTTTTCAAGTGCTCTAATCAATCTTATGAAGTCGTGTACGTGCAACTTGGATGCAGGTTTGTGTGGTAGGCGATTTCAGCGAAGAGGAGCTCGAGTCGTGTTTGTTAGACTATATTGGAACTGTAACTCCTGAAAGTAATGTTGAAGTGCGTAAGGAGTTTGAAGCCAAAGAAAAACCTGTCGTTATTGACCCATCACCTGCATTCGAAATGCGACATCAAAAGGTGAGACCGATAGTAGGTGGCTTGGGACGAGGAAATAGAGCGGCTGGAGGACGCCAAGTTATAGTAGACCTAGAGGGGCTTAGTTGTATGTTTTACCATCGTGATATCTTCGAGGAAAATTCGAGGTTTAGATTGAGGCCCTAATGATGGAAGCTGGATTATGAATCTATCGAGTGCTTGAATTTCCCGTCTACGTTTGATTTTCAGGTTTTTCTTAAGGACACAGACGAGCGAGCCTGTGCGTACATAGCAGGTGCGGCCCCGAATAGATGGGGTTTCACCGCCGACGGGCACGATCTGAATACTCTTATCGAACCTGTGCCTCCTTCTCTCTCAGGTCAAGTCTCGACTCCTGTTTCTACCCTCTTCATATTCAGCTTTTGTCAAGAAAGTATTCTTATTAAAAAGTAAGCCAGTTTGAATGAGGGGTTATTCTTCGTGAATATCAACCACAGGTCATTCATTCCCGCTGTTATTGATCAATAACAGGTGGAAGTGCACGGCAATTCGACGGCATGATCGTCATCTGATTGACAGGTCATGCCGTGCAATTGCGGGGATGACTCATGAAAACTAATCAACGCTCAGCCAGGGCCATGGATTCCTTGTATTCAGCTATGACAGGCACTTAGAATTGAGTACGCACAACAAAACAATTGAAGTTTCACAACTGATTGTGCAGAGGACCAAGCATGCAATCTGGCACCCCCTGGTGTGGAAGTAGTGAAGGATAACGATGGGGTTTTATGCTGGAAAAGAAAGCGACATCCTCTCTATGGCTCAGTAGCAATGACGCTCTTAGCGGAAATTATAAACGCCAGGTAACAAGAATGCGAGAACGTATAGATTAGCATTTCGTAGAGGCCTTCATTGTGAAGGGCGATTCCGGGAGAGTTATTTAATCGTCCCAGCAGTCGATCATCACGTTGTTCTCTTAAAGTCCGAATATGTATTCTTGTTTACATATGGAACTGTGGTCTGGGGATCCGCCAGATTCATCTCCGGATTCCATCCCCCATATTTAGATTTGCTGAAGACCTCAACTGTGAGAATTTCAAAGACCTATGCTGATCATGTTACTTGTATTCAACTTGGACCGTCTTTGCAGGTTATTCACGACAGTAAGAGACGCTTTAGGTTTGACGTATGATGTTTCATTCGAACTTAGCTTGTTCGATCGGTTGAAAGCGGGCTGGTTCGTCATATCGGTCACTTCTACACCAGCCAAAGTGAGTTGTTCATATATTTTTCCGTATTGGCAAAAGCAGGTGTCTCTCACTTACTGTCGTTTTCACAACTTCGTGTTAATCGATTGGATTGAACGTAGAGAAAAAGGAAATATAAAGACATAAAGATGTCGGAATTAATTGCAAAAAGAGCTGTCTGTTTGCAGATTCAACAAGCTGTTGAAGCTTCTTTGAACGTACTCAGAGGTCTGCACGGAAGTCGAGTCAATCAGCGGGAGCTTGATCGGGTATGGTCTCACCTTGTTCCTCTATTTGTGCTAAGGATTCTACGTAAAACTTGCTGCCCTCGCTACTGTCATTCGATTGAGCCGTGGAATGGATGACTTGTAAAAATCACACGCATGCCTATTCACGTTTATGTGCACACTACATGTCGTGATACAATGATTCAATTGTAGCTGCCTGTTCTAAGACGGATCTAACTTGCAGGCAAAGAGAACGCTGATGATGAGACATGAGTCGGACTCAAAAGATAACACTTACTGGCTGGGGTTATTGACTCATCTGCAAGCTCCGTCCGTAAGTAGAAAGGTGAGTTTTCTATTTTCACCTACAATAATCAAGACCCTTGAAGTCGTAGAGATTGTAAGCAGAGCTTGTCAGTATCTTCTGCCGAAGACGCAGTTTAGCTTTTGAAGTCAGTGGTTCGCATGATATTTGTTGGCACAGAAGTTGAATGATGAACCTGAAGTAGTTTACAACCATCAACACTCGTAGCTTGTTAACAGTTTCGCATTTTATTTACGATGGATGATGCCCTTTTTTAAACGCTTATTATCGTATCTAGGCCAAGCACTCTAAACCTCAACATTTTCTTCTGCTGGATGCAAATTAGGATGTTGGGTGCATACGGGATCTTCCTTACTTGTATGAAGTTGCAACTGCGGACGACATATATAATGCCTACAACCACTTATGTCTGGATGACGAATCGCTATTCACTTGCATTGGAGTGGCTGGAGCCGAGGCTGGGAAAGGAACACCTGTGGTCGAAATTGAAGAGGAACCAAGTGGTACTTTCACCTGTTTGCTATCTGGTTTTTCATGCTTCAAGTCGAAACATTGTATTTTAGCCTCCACACTTCTGAAGTTTTGTCAGAAGGATTTCAGGCTTTCGTGCGCATGGAGCCTGCTTTTTGGCGAAGTCCATGCAAAACCGAGTTGAGTTTGTTTTATCATACCGTCTGTTGATTTGTTTCATTTGCCTTTGCAGAAGTTGAAACTTTTGGAGGACTTCCTTCCCATGGGAGAGGCTTGTCCACAATGACCCGGCCTACCACCTAGGCCCCGTCCTTGTATCAAACTAATTGCTGGTATCCTATCAGACACAAAGTGCGATAGCATTGTGCCTAACACTCCAATATTGTGAGTACACGAATATTAGATCATCTTGCATTTCACGCTGTCGTTAATTTCTTGCTTAGTTGGGTTAAACGTGTGCAGTTATGTCTCTACGATGTTCTCTATAGATCATCTCCAGGTTGGCTAATTTTCCTTGCAGACTGTATGAAAGACTTGGAGTAGAAGTATAAAATTTTGCTATTTTCTTTTTTGGCTTGTGCAGCTTTGCTCTCATCAACATGGGCTCCTGTACAATTGAAGGGTAATGTAGTCTTCTTTCAGCATTGCAGTTCCAGCTAGTAACTTAAAGGAACTGAAAATGCCATGTATTTTTATTACCTAATTCGAAGGACTAAATGGATGAAAATTAAAACTTTTTGTCCATGATGGGATTGGTTGAGCGTCACATTGCCATTCTTCTACTTTCTAGCGTCTCTACCATCTTTCGTTGAGTCCATATCAAGTACCTGCCTGAGATGTCCCTGGGATATCATGTGCCTGATGAGTTCATGTTATTGAGAGGATCAACCGCAGTGCAGGAGTACTTGGATGTTTCTGATTTCCACAGAGCGATATGGACGGTGGTCTATCGCTCGTGTTCAACCTCGAGCTTGTTAAGTACCCATGCATACTTGAAAGACTGCATGTTCATCTCGGTGGCCTCGCTTTCCAAATTCTCATAACACTCTGATCGATCTTTCCAAGCTAGTACATGAGCTGCCGGTGTGTCCGTTGTGCTGGTTGTTTTTGAAGTGAGGATGGCTAACGGCCACTTATCGGCCGATAATCGATCTTGCCAGTATGTAGAAAGTCTGTACTATTCGTAAAGGGAACGATGACGGAGGAGATGTCTTTGTGGGAGGACACCCAGAAAATTAGTAATAAAGTAGTGAACACGACAATTATAAGTTCCAGTAATGACTGACTAATTTTGATTTTGAAGTCATGCTTAAAAAAAACTCGTCACAGATTGATGTTATGATAACAGTTCAATTAACAACAGTTTCAATCAAGAACAGCTCATCTCAATCATGTGTGGGTTACAAAGCAGTGTGAATGTCATGATGACCTCCGTGTTCTTCGTGGAGAACATACATTTAGACGCAAAAAATATAATCACGTTACTCTCATAACAAATTGGTTTGAAATAAATTGCCGAACTTTGAGCATGAAAACAGAAATTCTATTTATAGGGAAAAAAACGCCTAACATTACCATGGGCGGAAGCTCTCATTTTCCAATCATGTCCAGGATCATTGTAAATCATCAGGACTTTAAAAAGATACAAATACTAAAAAAGTAAAAATGTGAGTTGAACAGTATATATATCAGAAGATTGCGAAGACTTATTTAAATAATATTTCTTTGTTGTTTCTGGCATGAACTAAGTAATTACTTGTGATAAAAATTCAGACACTTTAAGATAATACTTTTTGATTATGGTTAGAAACTCTTAGCATATAAAAAGGAAATATTGATCTTATTTAAAAATCATCAAAATCGTAAATAATATTTACAGAAGACAGTAAGATATAAACCTTGAAATAGAAAGATTCACCTTCGTAAATGAAAAATGTATCAATTTGTTTCAATTACGTTTGAATAAAAAATCTCATTTGACAGATATTATATGTTGAATTGAATAGAACGTAAAAAATTTCTATTGCTTAAGATTCCAAAAATCAAACCAAAAATATAATGTTTCTTTATAATATTAATTTAAAGAAATTCTCTCAAAATCACTTGATGGAAACACAAATAGCTTATTGAGAAATATCATTTTACCTGATGTTACATCACATATGTTAAAAAAAATAATTTTTTGTAGCTATATGTTGTGTACTATGGTGTGTGGGAGTGATCTATCCCTATAAGGGTATAGTTTGAGAAAGCATTGCTTGGAAGTTCCAACTTGATTGCAAGTTTTGGCAACACAATACTGTAGAGGCAGTGGATTGCGTTGTAACACTCATGTATCGCCTTTACTTTTTCAGACTAACAAGTGTAGCATAGCTGGTTGCTGTAAATGCCAAAGATGACAGGAAGCTCTGAAAAACCCTTATATAGCCAAATCCTCTTGAGCTCTCTTGTTTAAAAAATTGGACCCAACCCATGGAACAATGAAGCCAGTCTATGTGTTAGATTTATGTTGTTAGAGCTAAGTCCAAAAACATAGCATTTGAGTTGTTTGTCAATAAAATTTACCCTAGGGGGATGCTGAGAATAAAACACAATATAAGTATAGCATTACTTCAAAACATGTGTCACTCTCATGCTGTAAATTGCAAGGCATTGGGACCTTCTTGAGACTTCTGGAAACGGTTAATGTCAATTGACATGCCGGTAAGTCATTTCATTTCTTTAGAAACACCTCCGAGTTCTTCCATTGTCGGATTGGTGTGAGTCTCTAAGTTTATCTCGCCAATATGTCGACATTTTAGCGCTCTAGTAGCTTCATGGTAATGCAAAAGAATTTTGCAACGATCCGTGGTCTCCCCACAACACCGTTCTTGCTAGTTAGAACTCCTGCCTCACTACCTGTGTTCCAAACACCACTCACCATGTTAAAATTTTCTGGTGTATAATAGAACATGGGTGGCCTGTTGCGTTAGTGGAAACCTATTGCATAAAACGATAACTGTTGGATCTAATAAGTTATTTGTGTTACTCAATGATACCATCAAGTAATTTGTCATTTAATTTGAAAATCATTTGATAAACGTATGTTATTTTTATCATATTATTGTAATCATAAATAAAATTATAATTACCTGAAGCAAGTTTTTGAAATTTATGACTAATTTTATCACAAATTATTAAATGTAATTACTATAAAAATGTACCTAGCCAAATTACTTGATGTGATTCCATACATACCATTTTATTTAATGGATACCATCAGCTTCAGAATATCATTCATGTTCTAATATTGACCGACGTCTTGAATCCACTAATGATTTCTAATATAGAGATTAGTGATTAAGTGCGAGCAGCGAGGGAGTGCTGGACACAAAGGCCCCATCGTCATATGTGTCAAGCACTATCTTGCTGCTCGCACTTGGCGGATGGAGATCGCGTGGTGCTTCGGGAGTCACAGTGGAAAGTAAGAGGTGATCACGAATGATAGAAGAAGAAAGTAGGAGGAAAGAGTAGGGGAAGGGGATGACATAAAGAAGAGCACTCATACTTGCGGAAGTGTTTATAAGTCGAGACAATATTGGGCTGCTATTGCTTTTGTTGTTTCTGCTTGCAAATCCAGTCCTATATATTTGTTGTTAACTTTCTCTTATACTTCTTTAGGTAGTGCAAATGCTCTATCTAAATTGAGTTCGTGAGCCTCACGAGTCTAGACTTTGGCCTTGGACAGTCCTAGAGGAAGAAATGAGATGGAATCGGATTTTTGCGTTAGCAATCTTCCAATCTTGATGATCGTCGTGAAAAGAGTTGTTTATTTGATGAGATTTCATTTCAACCTAATTTGCTTATTGGGACACTTTAAGTTTTGTTTTATGCGATGGTATACCAATGATGATACAGGATGTTTTAGTATCAACAGACGGTGGATGCAATAACACTCTATAGCAACGATCGCGACTCTCAACGTTACACGTCTAGTGGAGCTCTTTAGCAGCGATGGCGCTTCTCGTTGTTGTATATAGCTCTTTAGCAGAGATGTCACTTCTCGACGTTGTATATAGAGTGTCTCGAAGTTGAATATAGTGCTCAAAATGTGATCAACAATTCGGTTCTAGTTTTAGCTCAAAACTACTTCACTAATACTTCATAGATTGAATGTTTTCTTGACGGACTCAACTCTTTATAATCATTTGAGAGAAGACGAAGCTAGTAGCGATTTGCAATCAAAGAGTATTACTAAAGTTCACATCATATGTGTACAAGAAAACATTTTAGATCTTTGCGACCGTGTGCCGCAAGAAATCCCATCGGGTAAAACAAAATTTGATGTGTCCCATCAAACAATTTAGTTTCCAATGGGGTCCTATCAAGTAAATACCTCTCGTGAAAGAGTAGCGAGTCAAGTATCAAGGTCATACATTAGTGACGGGAGTTCAAGATTATTTTACCACACCACAGCTTCCAGCTATATAATTACAATAACTTTGTTCAAAACATGGTTTATCTTGTGCTGTGATGTTAGTGTTATAAAATGATGAATGCTGGATACCAGCAAATAATTTTCTCAAATGAGATTGTAAATATTCTCGCAATTTCTAGATAAATGCAAAGAAATGAGATTGAAAGCTTCCCAGGTTTTGTTTGTTTGTCTTCTATATTTTTCTCTTACTACAGAAAAAATTCTGCTTCCTATTGTAAAACAAACAGAGAGACTAGAGAAATCAATTTAGAAATTTGCTCAAAACTAGCATACCGGGTGAATTTAACAATTCCCAAAATAAATTACATTTACATAAAATTTGAAAAATGAATACTATACAATAAGTCTAATATTTTTGCTTCAATCCTGAAAAACTTATTATCCAGTAGAATTTTCGATGGAAAATTCGTGTATTCTTCTTACGGATGGTAAAGAACTTACATCAATAGTTGAATGCTTTTTAACTATTCGTGATTCCTATATCTTACGTGTTAATGACTTATGCTAAATGTTTCAGAATATGTATAAATTTTTTGTTAGTTCACATGATTTCCAGGAACCAGAATCCTTTACTTCATCTTATAATACATGAAACCAAACTCGCATGCACAAGACTGGCCACCTACAAGTAAAGCGAAATATTCGCTTCATGTCATTATCGCATGCCGGATTTCGACAATGTCTGTAAGGTTGCCTCGATACATTTATTCAAGGGAATATGCATGTCCGTCAGAAAGAGCCTCTTGTGGCTGTAGATGTGGAATGCCATCAGCCTGGCATTGCTTCCAATTTCACCTCCGAGAATGCTGCGTCAACATCTTCGGAAATGATCGAGGATTTTCTGCCTGTGGCCGATATCAGTGTCTATGATGCAGCTTCTCTTTCTCCCTGTAGTTCTCTGCATACCTAGAAGGTACGAAGCAAGAAATGAGGCAATGGTCCATCTGTTGCATCGGAAAGAGAGACTTCGATGTCTGAAGGCTGCTCCTGACGAGCATTCCATCCAAGATACTGCCTATAAACCAGAAAGGTTCTATCGGGCACGTCCTCTAGGCTTGACATGACCACGATTCTAAGCGTCTGATGACCGAGGGACTAATCGAACCGGATTCCGGGACCGGGGTCTTCTAATCGAACCCCAGACATGATTATCACTATGCAATGTCTCGTTACGGTCGCGATCAATCAGTGAATGTCACAGCGGATCACAACCTGATCAGATGTATATCACAAGATTTACTGTCGGCGTGATCTCATTCATTTTCGTCGTCTCAGTACGATGTCAAAATAATCTTGACAGACGGACAAGCCGTTCAGGATCGAAGGATTAAGATTCGCATCAGTTTTATTGGTGCGAATCTTATCAATCTTATCAAGGTTGTAATTTCACAGGTGATGCGAATATGTTTGAGAGGCAGGAAACAAAGCAGTGCCAGGAACATGCACAGCTTTTCAATGTGAGAAGTTCAAAACTTCACAAGAATCAACTCCGACCATTTTGAAAGATTTATGCCCTGCTCATTCACTTCATCAAAGTACTCCGATCCGTGACGTGCTACACGAAATTGGCAGGTCTTGAGAAGTGAATCGATGAGCATATTGCAGAAGGAAACGCAGAGAAAGAATGAGCACTAACCAGTAACTTCCGATGACCGGCACGAGAAGTGTAAGGGCGCTGACCCAGTTCTCATGAATTCGCTTATGGGTTTTGTACCCGGCGCCTTTCCACAAGCCCCTCATCACTTCCCAAGAATCGGGCCCGAGAGAATAAGTCACCTCCTTGAGTTTGTATTTCCCACCCATAACGACTGCGAATTGCAACTCGTCTCAGCGAGATTCAGTGTTTGGCACTGAACTCTAAACTCCGGCAGATCGTCTTGAAAAAGCAGCGGAGGACGCTGGAATCTCCGATCGATAGAACTCAAATCTACCGGTCACTTATTTCAAGACCAGGAAATCTGCAATCGGCTCAAACCTTCTTCCAATCCACGCCGAAATTCTCTCTGGTCCGAGAAAATTTCGGCGTCTTCTCCGATCACAACTCAGAACGCCTCCGCGATTGCGGAATCCAGCTGACGACAATTCGAAGAAAGATGCCAAAAAGATAGATTTTATTTACAGTCACATGATTGTTAATAACCGGATAATTCGTCAGCTTCTTCCGAATTTGTTCGGCACCACTTCTCCACCCAATCCTCTCGAGTCACCTCCGATTTCTGAATGAGCTCCTTCGCCATTTCGCAGCACCAGAATGCATCACCATTCCTCTCACACGACAAATCGAACGAGTTTGGCTGCCGACTTCTTGTCTCATCGATTTGAATTTTGAATGGCGGCCGGCCACACGCGCCACCCGTTGCGATGAACCGGCTGAACAGGCAGATGGAGCGTAGGCGCGCGCGATGTCTCCGGAGCGGACGTTGTTGATAATCTGCGTCAGATTCGGCGCCTCCAAATTCTAAGATTCTCTCCCCTCCCTCCCTAAGCGACCAGTCACCCGGTCAATCTGGTCATGACTCGTTTCTGACTGATCTGGCCGCACGGAGTTCCGCAGTTATGACCATGTTTCCAGAAGGCCATCGCCGTCATCAACCTGTCACCACTCATCTCACAAGCCTTGACCCGGAGGACAGTAGTGTTTTACTAGACATTCATAATAAGAAAAATTAAATAGATGAAAATATAATGTACGAAAAATATCCGTGACATTTAAAAAACGTGGTTTTCATATTGCAGTCATATATTAAACAAACACGTGTAAATATATTTATTGAATTTTGTTGGAAGGAGGGACTACTAGCTACTTGAAGCAAGCATACATGGCCCTACTATAAAATGTGAAAGCACCTCATTGTAATGCAGAAATCAAAATTTTTCTTGGATCACTCCCAGTATACCTTTCAGCCTAATAGTGTATCTACTTCAGATCCTAGCCCTATTCCTTGTACTTGCTTCCGCAGTTTCCTGTTATACTGTACATCAAAAGTTCCAGATTCGTGATCGTGTGAAGTACAGCAGCAGTACCCAGGTCGTGGCACTTCTGTCAGGACTTCCAAAAAGCGTGGATAAATAGGGTCGATTAGATTCATAGCCTCTTCATAAATTCATAGGTCGTGGGATGTCCGATGCTTCTTCCAATTTGGATGTTTATCTAGACTGCGTCCGCAGCCCAACGATCGTAGCCCAACGAGCGTTACGGATCGGTCGATGGAGAGGACAATTGCACGAATCCAGTTTCGTGGCATTTTTTCAGACAAAGGCCCGAAAGCAAAAGCAGACCATCCAGCACGTGCAAACAGCACACATCGTTTCGCTGAGAGAATCAGCCTCTAAAGAAATCGATGGCTCGAACTGGAAAGCTCAGTGAAAGCTGGAGCCCATCTGCGTGATCCCAGCGATATAAACACTCACCACAGAGCAAACATGAGGTCGACAGAACAGGATCTCGGTCTCGGTCTCAGACCTTTCCAATAGGCTGGAGAACCTCAGTTCATGACAATGCGATTTTCGTCAAGTATCCTCAGCTCGGATGCTGAAACCTCACTTGAATTTGTTAGATTCTTCTGGAAACCGAAACCTAGCTTGCTCCTTTTTTATCTGAGGACGAGGGCCATAGAAACTGCTGTACCAAACTCCGGCAACCTCGTTACTTGCAATGCCTCCAACCTCCGCCATGTGCTCTCCTCTCCTTTCGTTCTACGTGTGGAAGCAGAGGACAGACCTACAGCCTGAGCATCGCCAGCGTTACCTCGCTGTCAACCCGGAACTTCATCCTGGAGGTAGGCACTCAGAGAAAAAGCAAACATCTATGATTTTATGAGTTGTCCATGGTCACCAGCAAACTAGTGCCGATGAGACCAGACTCAAAATACTGTCATTACTCATGCCTCCACACGCCATGCCTCTACGTTGCATCTGAGGTTTGTTATATCCATATAAATATATTGTGAATCGAAATGATTATGATGATAAGGAAAGGAAAATCGGCATGTTTGCATTAAGCATCTTGTTGTAACTCTGTTGGGGACAACCTGACCGCAGCGGAGAGTGATGGACATCACGTGGAGAGGCATACTCAGTGCTCCTCTGCGAACTCCTGGGCTGCTGGACTGCCTACCGAAAGAAGCCGCCATGCTGCCAAACACTCCTGAGCGACATGGAGCAAGCCAGATTCTACTGCTCGATAAGGCTTGATGACCCGGCTGCGGGGGAGGCGCAGCAACAAGGTCGCCGAGCTGCTGAACACGCAAATCAGATCAGAACAGATCAGATCAAAACAGAACAGGTCCAATGGCGTGATCGATCAAGTGGGCCCTGAACAACGTGACCTTGCACCCTGCAAGCTACAAGCACTCCCTATGTGGCCGCCTACGTTTACAATCTCAAGCACGAGCTGTGACCATCTCTTCCGTCGTGCTAAGATACGACACCTTCAACCCTCCGAGTGCGAGGTCCAGCTGAATGGCGTCGTGGAAGTCGTTTAGCAGAATGCCTGGATGTGAATAAAAGCGAGATCCACCAATGGCACTTGCATTGGCATGACATCTGAATGGGTGCTCGCTCGGGTCTGGCAAAGGAGTGTTCAGCTCTGGCGATATCAGCTCCATACGGGAATGGGAGTCATGTTTGCCGAAGGTCTGAACAAAGTGTCACCCCTGCAAAAGGAGACAGACCATGGGCCGCGGTTTAGCCAAAAAACTAATCAATTGGAAGGAACACTTCATCTGTACGGCTTGGCGATGTCTTCCCATCCTTTTTCTTATATTCCATGGTCCCCCATACTCCCACCAAAGAGGTTTAGATTTGTAAATGATTTGCATAGTGCTCCATTGTTTGCAGGTTTGATGACTGCAGCCTCGAGGAGGGTTTTTCTGCTATATTGGACAGAACAGAGCAGCACATGCTGCTGCTGTAGTCCGCATGTAGAGGACAGTAGAGTACTGTTTTGACAGATCAGGAAGCTGAAGCAGTTCCGTCGTGGATGAAAATAGTTTGTTTCATACCCGATTGGAATCCAGTACTCTTGATGAAACAAAGCGCATAAACTCGCATGCCAGGTCTGCAGTGCTGCATATCTCCGCACGCGCCCAGGGGTTCATTTCAATCTCAGACGACAACTTTTTACCGATTGCTTCTAGCTGCTGATTTGTATTCGGTCTGGCAACAACTTCGAAGCTCGATATCCGGCAAGTGCTATACCTCATGATGCTTACCAAATATATTTTCTTCAGTCGTGGGAGAATTAAATAGACCTGATCTGAAGGGAGTTCAGATTTCCAGATTAGAAGTTTCGATACAAGGTGTGCTTCTCGAGCTTCTCCTGTCATATCCAGTGCATAAGAAACGTGAAGTTTCAAGTTAAACATCCCTGCAGTTGCAGCTAGGACTTCCACCCACGGCACCATTTCATCTGCTAGTGCATGTCTGGGGGCATCACCTGTGAACCAACGACCGAAGATAATTCCATAGTTCAGTATCGAAAAACATAATGACAGGGTCTTACTCAAGGACATGAATATAGTAGTGGAATAATTAGAGAAGGAAACTTCGTTCGTAACCTTCAAGACATATCCAACTCAAAATCTCCATTTAAGGTTAAATACAGCCAATATTTCATGTCTACAATACATAAATAAATAAATATAAAACAAATTTTGCAGATGGGGTGGGTATTGTCATTTTAAGTACATATGGAAATAGTTAACATGTAAAAAATGTTGAACAAAGTAGATCCGGATCTAATTCGAATGGTGTTGTCTAGAGGAAAAGTACGGCATTGAGGCTTGATACACGTGCCTTAACAGTTGGAACTGGAGAATGTAGATTTACATGACGGTTTCCAGCAGCTTGCTTGCTTGCTTGGGCCGCCGCCGTTGTTGGTCAATGGCTCTAGTCGTGCTCGTTTGGTGCAGCGGTCTAAAGTGAAATTGAGTTCGATTCTTTCCAAATGATACGGACCTTGCCGTCAGGTGCCGAGTCTCGATGCAATCGCAAGTCCTTTCAAATATTCTAGCCATTTCATTCTCACTGACCTGGCTTGATCTGTTACGTGGAGACGACTCAGACTGGAGGAGCAGAGTATACCTTCAGATGGACAGCACATGATTTTATCGATGCGGCCGATATTTCTCGACGTAGCTGTTTGGCGGCGTCTTGCTTTTCAACAATGGCAAGCTAAGCAGCCTCAACCGGGCCATGAACAAGCAGTACCCTTGTGTTTTCAGTGCAAAAATTACTCCAGATGCTCCAGCTGGGAAGGCAGGTGACGCAGCTCGACGATGGGGGTACTCCAGATTGTGAACCAAGGCATTCATTTGGACACAATACAAGAGATCGAAGCTCAAGGCCTTCTGAGCGGAAGTTGAAGTGTGTACACCCCAATCAGTGCAGAGGAGCCAGAATCAAGTCTGCACTGGGCAGAGAAGAAAAGAAGTTGATGATGATGATAAGCTCATGTCCTCCACGCTCGACCATGCGCATTCTGTCGGTCACTTGAAGTCCACTGACATCTTCTTCCAGAGGAGAGAATGCTGATCTCAGCGCCATATGAGCTGTAAACCATTTGTCATCGAAGATTTTGTGGAGATATTGATGAAAGCAAGATACAGTCATCGATGGTGTTCGTATTCTCGACCATTTTAAAATTCATAAGAAGCGTGCGCCTTCTAGATATGCAGAACTTGAAGAAAAGCATAGATTTTGTTTCTTCTCCGGGATGCAGGCTGCATGAGCATATTTTGTTCAGTACTTGCTTGAGCGTAAAAAAATGTTCGAAAGTACTAGGAACCTGAAGTGAATATGTATATTACTTTTTCTACAAGTATCTTACAAGTTTTTTTCTATAGAAAGCCACCAAAGAATGGGAAGTCTTCATCAATCATACGCAGGGCTAACCCCAATAACACCACTATAGGAAGACACATCCATATCTAGACAGGCCATTCTGTCTATTATAGCAAAATTTTCCAACTTGCATAAAAAAGGTAAAAAATAAATTAAAAATAAATCTTCTGAAGACAAATAAACCTGTGGATCTTAATAGGTGGCATGTTGTTTTTCTCAAACCCTTTCCAATTCTAGAGCTCCGGCTGAAATTAATTTCAGGCTTGGAGGTTAGAACTGCGATTTATGATATTCCAGAGAGCAACTGCGATTTATGCATCAGAGCTGTGGTGCCCTCCATAGCTGCAAGCATGGCGAGAGAAAGAATGCACTCTTGGAAGATCTTCTGACACATGTTTCTTGTTATAAGTACTGAAGGAAGAAGGTTTGCTGGCGTACTAGCGGGCTCATGGCAAAACGAGAATGGGATCTTCAAGTTTATGTGTGCTGGAGGGAAAGATATTTACATTGCTGCTGTCCAGCATGGAGAATCGACATATATTCTGTTAGCCACATGCTTTGTACAACTATAAAATACCTATCGTGAGGCAGCGAATGAAACGATCCTTGGAAGGACCGAGAGTTTATGTCCGATGAGCCTATGATGTGATGATATGAGTCTCGGGCCATTCAATGCTGCAAAAGCAAGAGTTTTGGTGACTGTCCGAAAGGGAGGGAGGTCGAAAGACATGGCAGTTTCCAGTCGCCAGCTTTTTTTCCCCAACCACCTACCCCAAAAGCAGAATCTGAGAACCAAGACTAGAGATGCGAAGCTGAATCTGGCTGTGAAAGAGAATGAAAGAATTGTATCGAATCAAATAACCGATAAAGCAAATATATTCTTCTCAAAGAGTTGTCATTTTGAAATCATACGTTGATACATTTGCAACTCTCGCTTTAGCAGGTTTTCTCGTAAGACAGGCTTCTAACACGACTGCTAAAAGTGATTGGTCGGTTTCAGATTGCATGTTATTGATGCTATATTCGACATAAATGTGGCATATAATAACAATTGTAAGTGTGGTGGTGCTTGTCTCTACACTTTGACAAATCTTCATAAGGATATGGCCAGATTTTGCTGAATCCGGTGAAGTTTTCAACTGTCGTGTGCTTGGAAACTCAAACTTAGTTGATTACTTGACAACAGTCTGAGTTGGGGCCGTTGCTGCAAAATCTATAGGAAGGGTGGATTTCGTTGAGGTGATTTCAAGTTGCGAGTGCTAGCTAGGCCCCGCGGAGCATGACAAGCAAAAAGTGACCCGAAATGTGCAGCGCGACTCAATGCGTCCACAAATCATATGATGAAGCACTCATTACTCCTGCTACCGTGAATTACGAGGGAACTACGGAGCTACGCACAGGGGTGGAAATTCAATTTTTTATTCTGTGCTTTTGGATCGTGGAGACGACCAGAAAGGATTTGCCAAAGGCGCTCGGAGAACGAGCAGATCGCGGAGTAGAGTCCCAACATGTGATATGAGGAGAAACGGCGAGGGAGAGTTGTAGCTCAAAACACTCAGTGCGTGATGAGGAATTGGGCAAGAACATGCTTCATGTAATGATTTCAACATTGAATCAAAAAGATTATACTGAAGTGTTATAGAGTTTTCCGAACCTCACCAGACAACTTCACGTATTCGGCTGAACAAAATGTTGGCCACGAAATCTAGTGGCTGGTATGATGATATGATATACATCATATATATGGCTGTATATAAGATAGTGATAAACACTTAAAGTGAGTCATAATCAAAAGAATAACAAACAATTTGGATCTAAGGATAAATGTAGATCCAGTGATAAAATCCTATGGAGTAACACGGTGCTTTGTAAATTTGTTGCAAAAGTTGCTACATCATATTTCCGTGTGAAGACCAAAGACATTAATCATCTTTTAGCCAATATAGCTCAAGATTTTGATCTCCATTTGATTTGTTGATTGCTATTTATTTGTTGGACTATGGATTATGATGCTAGAGATATATTTTATGAATTTCACCAAGAAATCTTGTTGATGTATGAACTTTAAACAGTGCTTGTTTATATCACATTTGTGATATTAAATAGTTTTTTTTTGTATTTTTACTATCAAACATACTAGTTCTTATGAAAATTAGATTCATACAATTCAAAGTGCTGCAGCATTTAGGCGATACAGATTCATTAAATCCAACAAGATGAGGACTTGACAAAATGGGTTGGAAATCAGAAGACAGAATGATCAATACTCTAGAATAGAGCATATTGGATTCATTAAAATTCAAATGTTCAAATTCAAATGAAATTTAATGTATATTGACTCAAGTCAAATTTAAATATGATATGAAAAAAATTTTGTTCTTTCTTGAAATATCAGATTCAAAAACTATTGGCTAAAAATTTTATAAAAGATTGCTCAAAGTGTGAATATGTGATAAAACAATGTTAAGAGTTCGTAAGCACAACAACCTATACATGTAAGAGGAAATTATAATTTGTGGTCAAGTCAATTTTACTTAATCTCAAATTGAGATGTCTCATGCATGTCAATCTAGATTATGACACATGACTAATAGTTATTTGGCACTATTAGACAATAGAATTGTATTATCTAGCATAGATGAAGTTCAGTTAGAATTTTGTTAACATTGTGTTTTGGACAAGTATCATAGACAAACTTTTGATGTTGCAACTCATAGTTTTGACTAGCCATTTGAATATATGAAATTGACTTGTGTGGATGATCTTAGAAGGATTTAATCTCTGGAAAATTTTATTATATATCTTTTGTTAATGATTATCCAAGATTTGTGAGGATTATTTTTTCACACAAAAACATAAAATCTTGATAAGTACTAAAGGTGTAAAGTAAGATTGGAAAAAATGTGAAATATTTATTATACATAATAATGAAAGTATATTTTTGAGGAGTTTCAAAGTTATTGCAAAAAGCAAAAAATAACTCGTCATCTGTCCACGATCAACTCTGTAACAACGCTGTCAAAAAGTGTTGGAGATTATGCATGATATGTTGAAATCAATCTAATTTACCATATGATATTTGGATTAAAATTGTCAATATTGTAATGTATTTGGTAAATTTATTCCTTCTAAATGTAATCAATTTCTTCACACTAATTGAATTGATGCACATGAGATGAGATGCTTATTATAATGATAATTATAATCGTTTGAAATTTTTTGTATTATGGCTTATTTAATCATATCAAGTTGGATATAATATTCAACTTGATATTTTTTTTAAAAAAAATATCAAGTTGGATATTATATCCAAAAAATGTTATATGTTAGATATGTTAGTGTTGTAAAAAATCTTAAAACACGCTACACAATAGCCAATGAAGTTATTGTCAAGAAAAATAATTTTTTCAAGTAATCAAAATAATTGAAAGCGTGAAAGATTTTTCGCGCTTGTTGTACCGACAAGAATAAATCTCTACTCACAAATGTTGTTAAAGAAAATATTGATCATTATGCCATTAAAAATGTGACACACAAAAAAATTTCAGTGCAGATAGAGCAAATTATTGAAGAGTATAAATTGAAAGAGCAAGTTATTGTTTATGAGACTCAAATATCTTCACACCGAACAATAAAATTTAGCCAAAATTTTCTTATATAAAATCATCAATTCAAATTAATATGGATTTTATAAAAGGTATGTATTCAATCATTTTTGAAGTACTTGATATTGAGTATGATGATGAAATTTTGTTCATCTCAAAAAGAAAGATTTTTTTCCGAAGGAGAAGTTCAAACCTCTATTAATAAGCTTGATTAATTTACTAATATGACATGTAAGATTCAATCATTGATCATTAGATCTTAGAGCTAGAAAGATTCCAAAAAATTAAATTTTGATTGATTGCATATAGATGTAGAATCTAAAGTACAATCAAGCAAATAATAAAAGAAATATCTTCAAAATCAAGTTTGTGGTTAAAATTTTCACATTAAAAAAGTGTAAACTACAATAAAATTTTAGCATGTGTAGGAAAAAATGCTAAAATTCAACTTGTATGTGTATTTATTGCACTATTAAATTTTTGTATGTATCAAATGAACAAAATTTTAGCAGTTATATATGAATTTAAGTAAAAAATCTACATGAAACAGCTAGTAGACTTTGAGTAGGAAGTTCTAGAGAGATTAGTAGTTAGATTACTGAAATTATTATATGCATTGAAGCAAGTTCTCATGTAATGAAATCCAAGGTTTGCTATATTATGAAACTATTTGAATTTTCTCGTATTGTGTATAATCCATGTGTATACATAAAGAAGTTAAATAATGAAATCTATAAATGTTCTAGTACTTTATGTGGATGACAATGTCATTTTGGCCAAATATCTTTTGGATGTCGAAAGATGAAAAAGCTAGTTGAAAAATGCATTTAGAATGAAAAATTTGAATAATATCAAGAGTTCATAAGAAATGTATATATATTAAGATTTGGAGAAGAAAATACTACATATGTATCAAAGCAAGCACATTTAACGTGTGCTTGATAATTATAACTTGTTATCAAAAATTTTATGACAAAGTTGTGGACAACTTCATATATTTGATGATATGCACAAAATTTGATATTTCTCTAGGTATGTTCATGGTGAACAGTTACAAGTTGAATCCAAAGAAGTGACATTGAGAAGTAGTGAAATGAATTTTTAGATATTTGAATAATACGGAGTAAAATGATATACTATTTGATGATTTATTAGACAATGCAAAATCATTGTTAAGTTACATATATGCTGAATATGAACAAGAAAAAAGTCTACAACAAGATTTGTGTTTACACTGGATGGTGAATGCATTCTTTGAAAATCTATTCTGCAGAAATGCTTGATTAAATCCACGACAAAAACGGAAGATATAGAGATGATGTATAGAAGATGCATAGATGATGATGATGCATAGAAGATGATGCATATATGATGCATGATGCATATATTATCCCATGATGCATAGAAGATGTTAGTAGAACTAGCAAAGTAAACTATTTTGTTCAATTTTTTTATTGAAATATTAATTGATTTTTTTTTTCGATTTTCATTGTAATAATCAAAATGTGTTATATCTTGCTTCAAATCAAATGATAAATATTAAAATAAAATACGTTGATATCAAATATCACTACATAAAAAATGTAATTTTTGATAAAAAATTTGAATCAATCAAAATTGTATAACACAAGTAAAATTTATTATAATTTTTGTATGATTATTTCATATTAAGATAAGATGATATTAGATTATTTCTCTATTTAAAATTATATTTTGAAATTATATTTTTGAATAAAATGATAGATATAAAGATGTAATGTTTCAATGGAAATGAATATCAATTTTTGAAATTAAAACAGAAATTTCAAAAAATTATAAAGGTTGGCCACCTTGATTAAAAAAAAATGTCATAGTATATTCAAATGTTTGATAGAGAAGAAATATTAGTGGAAAGTAATATCATTGATTCCTGAACAGATTTTTGCTACATGAAGTCGTACCTAGGAACTAAGTAAGTAACTAAGTACATTTACAAACGGTAACAATATTAGTGTATATTATTCAGACAATATTCTAGATTATTTAAGATGTAACTCAATGGTGCATAGGGCAAAATCAATATTATACCTAATAAATGAATATGAGCAGCGAAAGATTCCAACGGTGTAGATTAAATCTGTTGCATATTTGTCTGTTGTTGTGACAGTGTACTGCACTGTGAACTTGCTAAAAGGACGAAACTCGGATTATAGCAATGTAGGGAAATGGAAATTAAATAATTTTAATCAAGTATCAAATTCCTGTGAACGAAAATTGACGGTGGTTTGGCGGTGGGAAGAAGAAGGAGAGAAAGCCATCGTAATGTACTTCCAGGTCTACAAACATCGTGCCTACTGACGGAATATCGCATCGCATCTCTACAGGTGCGGGTAAACTCCAAGATCCAAACCTACACGCGCTCGAATCGTGGTCCGTGGACCAGAGGATATACAGTTCCTCTCGCCCTGGACCGGTCATCTGTCATTCCTGCCTAACGCTTCTGGTCCTCCTCCTCCTCCTTGTGGGAGCACAGAATTGAGCGACAATTGTAATCTGCTCTCGCATTCCTTTTCCCGAATATTTATCTATGTAATAAAAATAATAATAATGAAGTGCTCAGATCAAAGGGTGCTGCTATGTGGGATTCTTCTTCCATGCCTTTCCCCGCACTAAATACGCGCAGCAGCATTTTGCATTTATCGGGCTTTAGGAAAGGGACTCACCAACGGAATCGATTTTCACTTTCTCGCTGCACCGCCGCACGTACAGGGCAGATGCTCGAGCTGGACTATATCGGGCATGCCAGCTCGGACGGCTGACAGGTCACGTGATACAGTTCACCCTCAACCTGGCAGGTGCCTAAGCCACGCCAGGCAGGCCACGCGAGAGGCCAGAGCGAAGGGCGAAGATCGAAGGTTCTCTATATTCCGCCCGAGCTCGCGTCGAACTCTCTCAGCCTTCCTCGTGCCCGCGCTCACTCGCTCGTCGCTTGTCTCAGCGTCCGACCTCGTTCGGTCCATTGTACGAGCAACGGCGGAACCTCGAGCGCGCACGAGGATTCGATTGTGCCATAAGAAACCTACCCATTGTCGCCTCGTCGCCCCACTGCTCTCGAGCCCGGCTTCGGTTTCGCCGGCTGTGCGCGTCTGTCAGTGTATTGTACCTCCTGCAGGGGAATAATCAATTGTGTCCTGCATTGCGTTTCTTAGTCGCCCGCGTCGATCTAGGCGACACCATGTCTTTGGGAGATTTAGCAACGCAGGCCGGCGGAGGCATTGCTCGCGCCAACGTGTTGGAGTCCGTCGATCAGTATGTTTCGCTTCCTTGTGTTGGTTTCTCCTGGATTCTTGATCTGGTGGGAGTTCGTTTATGGCTGGTTTGGGATTTGTCAGTCGCCAGTCGTCCCTAGTGGCATTGGTTTCACTCTGTCGATTTCACTTTTCTCTCGATGCTGTCGGGGAGGGCGTTACGGATGATGGTACTCAACATTTATTGACTCGTCAAGTTCGTGCGAACGATCACTTTTCAGGATTGTGCTTAGCAGTACGGTAGAAGGAGTTTAGAGTTGGACAATTGCATTGTTGGTCTCGGATAAAGACGCAGAGTGGAAGATTTGGTCATTTCTCCTTCGCAGTCTAGAGCAGTGGGTACATCGACAAGGGATAATCGTCAGCGCAATGTTGGGCTGAAGAAATGCCCATGTGTTGTCACAAGTAACAACAGAAGATGTGAGGAAACTCACGCAGGGGGTTGCATAGTATGATCTACATGGGTACGCCCCGGCAAAATAGGATTTAACTGTGTCGCCTTCTTTAGAGCGATGGGTCGATATGAAACTATCGGCCATCAGAATACTGAATATTATGTCTTTAAATCGATGCCAAGTGCGACATTGTTATTGTCGGCGGATATTGAGGCCACTTCAGAAGCGCGAACTGTAACCATGCTTGACTTGAACAACTGTTTGTCGTGAAAGTGGATCCCATCACAGGCTTTGTTGACATTATCTCGTGAAGTTTCAAATGTCCCTGTCGAAATATCAGCAGGCTGAATTATGGGGCCTTCCTTTACTGAGATTGCCAAATTTGCAGAAAGCGTGGAATGTCTCATATGTGTTTTCTGGTTTCTATGTTGCAGATATGAGAAGTATCACACATCCCATGGTGGAGATGAAGAGAAGAGGAAGGCAAATTACACAGACATGGTAACATCAGCATGTCGATTTAGATATCCTGCCTGAAATCTTGTCTGTATAAATCTGTACCTCTTCAAACTGGTTGTAGAATTGAGGCAACGAACTGTTCAAATTTGACAGGTTCTTGTTGTCTAATCCTCTACTGGTCACAATCTTGGTTCCTTAAGATACTCACAAATTGAAACTTCTTCTCACTTTTCCTACTCAGGTCAATAAGTACTATGACCTGGCAACCAGCTTCTATGAGTACGGCTGGGGGGATTGCTTCCACTTTGCCCACAGGTATTTGCAATCATGGAGCAGCCTAAGGCACAGGAATGTAGCTTGTTACAGCAGATTTGTCTACAGGACTTTGTTACCAGGGTCGATGGATCTCGAATTATGTAGTTAATTTCCTACAGAATGTCTTCTGATCTGAAAGCGATGAAATTTCAGCTGATTCAAACTCTCATGCTTATGTTCGCAGGTTGAATGGAGAATCTTTGAAAGAGAGCATCAAACGGCACGAACATTTTCTAGCCTTACACCTTGGTTTAAAGCCTGGCATGAAGGTTTGTCTAAAGGCGAACGTAGGCTACAGTGTTGAGAGGACAGGCGTTTTTCAGAATTTTCAATTTCCGAAGCAAATTGTAGCTTTGGAAGGTGGTTTTTTCTGGAAATTCATTGTCTTTTGGGCCAGCGGTGAGTGTTTCAGATGTTTGTAAATGTATGGATCCTAACGTAACTATCGCGACCACAGTACCACCCATCACTTTCTTTATTCTACTGCTGTATATTGCTTTGTACTAAATTCTGGGACGTAATCTTGCCAGGTTTTGGACGTGGGCTGTGGCATCGGAGGTCCTCTTCGAGAGATTGCTCACTTCAGGTATTTTTTTCCATTTCAATCTTTACTTCTTATTCTGATTTGATCTTCTTGTTTGCCCATTCTCAATGGTGTGTGTTCATGGTCAAAATTTTGCATCGGCGATTTGAATACATATGGTTCAGAGTCAAAGAATTTGTTATAATTCGAATAAGGTATTGGTGTTTTGATACCAACCAGGCGAATGATGTGTTTCTGGTTGACACATGATCTCCATGCAAACCTGGTTTCTTGAAGCTGGGCCTTCAATGTGAGAGTCACTATGAGTTAGCCCACCCCCCCTCTCTCTTTCTTTTTGTCTGTTGCACCGTCCAGCCTGGGGTGTGGGTTATACGGTGTGATGGGCTTGAGATACACTAACAAGTACAGATAATTATCCTGCCCGCTTGACAATCCATTTCCTTGTCAGTGGTGCGCACGTAACAGGTCTGAACAACAACGCCTACCAGATTACTAGAGGTCAAGTAAGTCCTCAAGAACGACACCTCGTTGTTTTTAAAGAATCGATGAAGCATGTTATATTGTAGTGTTATTTTTGTTGCAAATTGTGACATATTGTAGAAATCTAATAAAACCGAGAGATCCTGAATAACCCTGGTAGTGACAAGTGCTTTTGTTTTACAGTCACCTGTCCGTTAACGTGGGTGACCCGTTTCACCTGCAGATTCTCAATCAAAAGGCTGGTTTGGACAAGACATGTGACTTCGTAAAGGCAGACTTCATGAGCATTCCTGCCGCAGACAATACCTACGATGCTGTTTATGCCATTGAAGCTACTTGTCACGCACCTGATGCGGTTAGTGGTTGCCTGTCTTTCTACTTGCAGAAGTCATTAACTTAACATTCTTTTCCGGCAATGCCCCGCAACGGGGCTTCTCATACATAAGCTGTAAGTGCCGATGAAAGAAGAAGTGCAGAGACTGACATATCTGAGGAGATTTTTAGAGGTCGCCAGGAAGTTTTAGAATGACATGATAAGCTTTCCTCTCTGACCGTCTGGGTGTAATTTCTTTCACTTTGATGTCTTTTGATTACAGGTTGGTTGTTACTCTGAGATACTTCGCGTTCTCAAACCTGGACAGTACTTCGCCGCATATGAGTGGGCCCTGACGGATTCTTACAACCCTCAAAATGAGGATCACAAGGAATGCAAGGTAACGTGAGTCACAAAGTGATGCATGGTCATATGGATCACAAGGGTAGGTATGCCCTGTTGTTTGTATGTTTGGCCAACCTGAGTTCAAATTAGAGTCCACAGACTTCTTTCTGATTACCCGCAGGATGTCTTTAATCTGTCTGGGTACTTGTGAAACCTATTCGAAAATTCTCTTGGTATGAGAAATCTACGTCCCATTAAGTGCTGTGTGCCTGAGTTGTTGTTCACCGAAGGTCTTGTTGATCAATTGTAGAATTTACTCGTGTAGGCCAAAATCGAAATCGGAAATGGGCTACCTGATGTTCGTACTGAGGCTCAAATTGTGGAAGCCCTCAAGGCAGCTGGATTTGAGGTAACTAATTAATTTTATTGATTTAGGCGCCACTATGTTCGTCTTGGCCAGAAATGGGTCGCAATATTTTGAAATTCTATCAGCAGCTAAAGAGAGGCATTTCTTTTAAGTAAAAGCAAGGAGGCTTTATGTCGCTAGAGAATATTACCGTTCTGAATATATTACAATGCCGTACATTAAACGCCGTATTTTTGTCTATTGGTATCAACATATGATATGCTTGATAGTGTAGTATTTCAAAGGAGATTTGTGCTTCTGTTGCTTCGAGCAGGTAGTCAGAGCCGAAGATCTTGTGAAGACCTCACCGGTGCCATGGTATCAACCGCTGGACACCTCACATTGGTCACTATCTAGCTTCCGACTTACCAAAGTGGGCCGATTTTTTACCCGCAATCTGGTAAATTGGGGCTCTGAAACCACTCCGAAGCTTGTTCTATACTCTGTGCTGGGTGTTTAACCCAACCTTTTGTGATCAAGGCTTAGAGTAATTAGCTTGAACCGGACTCTTATCCATGATGCCTTTCGTAACGTAACCCATGAATCGCATATGCTTTTCCATCAGAGGATGACCGTTCAAGTTACTCAGATCAGGGTTGGTTTTCCTTCTATTTAATGATGCCTCAATAATCATGGATAGTATGCCGAACATTATGTTGAACAACTTCACCGAGTAGTTTTCCAAGACTTGGAGCTAATTTTTGTGATTGAATTTGTTGATTTATATATTACGTTTCAATATGACTTCAGGTGAGAACACTTGAGGCCGTGAAATTGGCTCCCGCTGGCAGCGTGCGAGTCAGCAACTTTCTTGAAACGGCTGCTGATGGTCTCGTCGACGGTGGAAGGTAATATGATTATGCAGCATATGAGTTTATTCATTGCTTATGTTTGGATGTTTTTGAAGACCGCTGGAGCCTGATATCTACGAGAGAAGTTTGGGAAGAAGCTCATTTTCATCAATTTGTCTGCAACGTTTGATCGCAGGAAAGAGATCTTCTCACCGCTATTGTTCCTGTTAGCGCGGAAGCCCCTTCAGTAACTGTCTGTAAATTTTCATGTTTTATCACGTGGTGGTAGTCCAAATAGAGGAGGATTTACTCATGCCTGTCGAGCGTATGAAATTCTCTTAGTGCTGCGTCTGAAATTATCCTGGAAGAAGGGGCTTCATTGTTTTGGCCGGCTTTTTGTGGTGTGCCTCCAACCTGCCTGTATGTTTCCTATCAACCATCCAACTAGGCCAAGGGTCTTCTAGAACGCATTCGTTCTTTACATTCAATGAACTTTCTTCTTGAGGTTAACAGGAGCCAGTCGGGTTCTTCAAGGTGACAACCACAGCCTCGTGTAGTATATCGCTAACCGACTAGGTTAAATTAGGAGACTAGGCTTCTTCTACTTTTCGGCTTCCCTCGGGTTGGCGTGTATCCTAGGATGGGGTCAGTCGCCCTCTTGCCTCTATTTTGCATATTGCATTTGGGAGGTCAGCTTTGAGTTCTGAAGTGCTTGTCGATGAAAAAGAGAAGTGTTATTTACTTGCGAGTTTCTGAAGTGTTTGTTTCCTTGAATTTGCTCTGTGCCGTTCTCGAGTTTGAGTGTCACTTGCTAGAGAGCTGAGCACAATATAATACCGTTAGTGAGGAAGTGAAGTGCAACTACGAGAAATCGTTTCTCACGACTAGTTATTGAGATGGACAGATACTGTTAGAAGAATATAAAAATTCCAAAACGCATACTCCAGCAATTTCTCAGATGAACCACGCCAGCAGTTCTCTTCGTTCTTCCAGGTATCCAGTTGAAGGTACCATCAACAAACTGGACATTGTAAATTTGAAACCAAAGATACAATCTTAGGAAAAAAGTTCACGAAGGCCAACTGGTGGCGCTAATTAGAGTAGTCTAAACACTAAGAGTGATGGTCTTAGCAGCCAATATATTCCAAAAGCTAAAGACGGCTTGCTGAATCCTTTGTGTTTACAAAGAAATAAGAAACCATGACTTGTAACCGGGAATCTTATCGATTTGTGACGTACGACTGATACATGACAACTTTTTCTGATCCAAATTTAGCATCTTGACCGAATGTGGAGTCGTCCCTCGAGGGCAGTGCATGGAAAAGTATGTTCGAGTGTCGTACACGAACTGGATTCCTAAATCAGTTTCGGACATGAGATGAGACTTGAATGAACGTGGTTTGTCCAGGTCATTTGTTGCCATGCACGTCAGGGTTATTTTCCTCTGTCGACCGTGTATATCTGAACTCAGCCACATCAGCCATTCTGGAGAAGCTTACCAGACATTCTAGAGGAATAATATATGCCTGTGCCATATGTGCTTATGGCTTATCGTGTGGGAGCATCGCGGGTTCGCTTCTTGAGTGCACTCTAGAACCTGGCTCCCTCCTGCGTGCCTCTTACTAGAGGCACACTGCCTTCATATCCAGCCGCCGTTAGAATAGCACGGGAACCAAGTACCAGAACTCGCATAGCTGGTGGCACGACCAGGCTCATGAAGTGGATAACTAACTGATTCGAAAGAAGTCATATGTATACACTGACTTTGTTGGAGGAAACGTGCGGTTCTAACTACACGAGGGCAAGTGGGATCTGAGTATGAATCCAGCCAAGTCCACTAGGTGTAGCTTGTGGAGTCATGTGGAGGTTTGGATAGTCCTGTAATATTTGTCTTCGTCACTGGTGTGATACCTTTGTGATCTGTTAGTGCCCAAATTTGCCCGCATGTGTCACGAGATCAAACTTTTCGTTTGTCTTCGTTCTGGGAAAAGAAAATGCAATGCATGGCAATGCTATGAATGTGTGGTGGCATGATTTTCATGTTATGAGTCTAGTCTAGACTTTGCTCTATATACAGAGTTAAACCTCCCAATAGTGTCATCTGAAATACTCTTATCAAAATTCCAAAACTATTAGTTTGTAACTATTAAATCTCTCAATTAAGAACAGGAAGTCACTATTGCCAATAGTGGCATGATTCTATCCAATAGTGTCCGTTTCAAGTGTAATTTCCGAAGTAAAATCATTACCATGATCACAATGCATAGCTCAAGAAAGAAGAGTGTCCCATACCTTTACTTAAAGGTCTGTGTCAACAAGTTACTCTTTCTGGGCTTTAGTAAAACAATTGGCTACATATATTATCATCAACTCTTACACTCAGATTTTTATGTATTGATTCAAATTCAAAGCTATAACTAACTTTGATAGTAAATGATCGAGAACAATACACAATTGCAAATGAAGTAGACCTTGAAACCAAACAACACATGTACAAAATGTACTAGGAAGGATGTAATGTACGATAAGAAGTCTATGCACTTTCCTTTTATAAATGACACCTCCTAATAGTGACATTCAACCTTAACACCAATCTGTTACTATTGGAAGGTTATACTCAAGGTTACAACACTCCCAATAGTGACATTCAATCTTAACATCAATGTATGTTCCTATTGGAAGGTTATACTCAAGCTTATGCCCTTTCTTCTTGTGAGTGACACCTTCCAATAATGAAGTAAAACCCTGGCATCAATTCATGTGACTATTGAGAGGCTTAACTCTGAACTTTTAAACATTGTATAGGATAAAAATCAGATTAAGAATATATATAGTCTCACGTAGATTAACTAACATATTATTTGTACAAGAATCATCAGAATCACAAACGAAAATCACACACCAATGTACGTCATGGATGTAGCCTCATCTCCAGATGAGACTACATCGATGACCGAGATAAAAGCTTCACTAAAGTGAGAATGTTATATTACATCTCCATAGCTCAGCTCTCCATTATTTCTCCCCGCAGTTCTACATGTGAGACTAAACTGTAACGTGCTCATCCTAGGATTAAGTATCTCAAATCCTAACTAGAGGTCAAGGCTAACTATAGTTAGACGAACTAAAGTTAACAAGACGCGGGTTAATCTTACAAACTCCCTCTTGACTCAAATCTTGGAGTATCTTGTTTCTATAACTTATACATAATTTCAACGAGAAGTTCTATAAAATAAAAGTAAATCATAGCTTTTCCTTTGTGAACAAGGGCTAACTAGTACTAAGCCGTAGCTATCAACATGCTAGAAAGAGACTACGTACATAGAAACTATCATGTAATCTAACTCACTCTGAAAAATCTTCAAAGTTGCAAGATGTCTTGAAAACTTATTAAAGGAATCACTTTGGTAAAGCCATCAATCGGGTTAAGCTCTTGATCAATCTTGATGAACTTAAGCACGTTCTCAGACACAGCTACCTCATAAAATGATACTTGATGTTAATGTGCTTCACCCTACTATCCATCACCTGATTCTCAGCAAGATGAAGCACAATGAAGATTGACATCTGACTATCACAATGAAGATTGACACGTTGCTGCAGCAATCCCGTGTTAGTGAGAAGATTGTTCAACAAAATTATTTCCTTCGTTGACTGTGATGTTGCAACATATTCAGCTTCTATGGATGAGAAAAAGATGCATTTTTGAAATGTTGATCTCCAACTAGTGCAACCATATGTAAGAATGAAAACATATTCAGTCATTGATTTTTCTTGTCCAAGTCTTCCTCATGATCAACATCGATATATTACAAAAGTGACTTAGCGTTAATTGTTATGACATCAAACAATAAGCCATGTCGTGTAGAGACCTTAAGATATCTAAGAATACATTTCAGTGCTTTTCAATGCACATTGTATGGATTAGACATGTTATCTGTACATTTTATTTACAACAAATGTTATATCAGGTCGTGTGCATACAATCAAATACATGAGACTACTCATTGCACTTTCATAAGAAATAGAAGACATCAAGATTTTTTCAACCACATCTGCAGAACATTGCGCTGCTGAAAGTAAAATATGAATAGCCAATGAAATATTCACAGGTTTAGATTCCACCATGTTGTACTTGCCAAACACCTTCTCTGCATACTTCTGTTGAGATAATCAAAGCTTGATTGCCTTCTAATTCCTTAATATTTGTATGCCAAGAACCTTCTTGACTTGACCTAGATCCATCATGCTGCAAGTTGAGCTCAACTCAGACTTCAATTTATCAACATCAAATTTCCAAGTAAGATCAAATTTTTACACAAACTAGGGATGTGCCGTACATTGATCAAGCTACGGACTACTCCATCAAGCATTTGGATCACAAATTGAATGCCAACATTTTTGTAGGGCTGATCATAGATCATAAAAACTGTACCACTTGACGAAATGTAAGAATTAAAGAACTCCTTAACGTGACAAATGTGGTATGAGCAAGCTGGATCCAATATAAATACAAAATTTCTAACATGGATGGCAATAAAAATTGCATAACCGGAATCCTCAGTTACAGCCATGTTTGCTGAAGGTTCACCGGTTGCCTTAGTATGACAATCTTTGCAAATGTTACCAGATTTGCTACATTTCTAGCATTTGAGGTTCTAACCATCTCTAGAATTGAACCTAGACCTAGAATTTGTATTGATATTTTCATTGCATTTCTTTCTAGTATGTGTTCTACCAGAGAGACTATCAAGACATTAAACGATGAAGTGGATTGATCGGAAGAGGAATGCATAGACACGTACAAATTTTGTTGCATGTTGTTGGTCAATAAGGTAGTAACAACTTTATTGAAGTAATGATTTTCTTGTCACATTGAAAAACATCCGTGACAAGGATGATATGAGGTCGGCAAAAAACTTAAGAACTAAATTGCTTTACATTCATCGTTCAAATCTTCTCCAAGGTTTTCAAGATCCACAACCAAATCATTAAAGACATCTACATGGTCCTTGATCTTAGCACTTTCCGCCATCTTGAAGTTGGTAAGCTACAAACCTGTGTACAAACTATTTGAAAGCTATTCCGTATGAGAATTCTCACCTAATGCCGCAAACAAATCTTCCAACACTTGACCACAAAAATGGTCAAAAAAAGAAAATTTTCCATAATTGAAATTAAAAACCACCATTTCGTAGTTCACAAGGTACTCCACTAGAATGTGAAAGTGGTTTATAAAAATCACCTCTGAATAAAAAGTTATTCATTCTAGAGCAAATATTTGTGATACTCGTCAATGTTATGCATGTGGGACGACAAGTCACATTGTCAAGTTCTAACAAACTCAACCAAGACCTGAGAAACAATGTGAGGTCTAAGTACAAAATTTACATTCCGGATTCCTTGAACAACATTTTTATGAAATATAGAAATCTACTTGTTAGATTATCATTGAAGAGTTGTGTAGATCAAAAGATTGAGATACTTAGAGTTAAATAAACTTAGAAAGCTACATAGTGTTTAGCTTCAAACAAATTAGAAGAACACAAAGCTCAAATGTGATAGATGTTGAGCAAATGATATATTCAACTAACTGTTTCACATTATGAAGCTTCAATGGTATCTGTGAAAAAAAATGGAAGCATGCGATTATGCATTGATTACTGTGTATTAAATTTGGGATTGATGAACAATATTTTTTGCCACTTTTTTGAAAAATTTGTTATTTTTTTTTAATATAATATTTTGATATACATGAAAACCTTCAGTAATCATGAACATCATTTACAAAATATACTTTAAGTTTTGAGAGAGAATGAATTATATGACTAAGCTTCAAAATGTGAGTTTGGCAAGTCATAAGTAGATTACTTGGAATACACGGTTATAGTAAAAGAAATCTAAGTGATGAATGAGAAGATAAAAGCTATTAAGAATTACATAACATCTAAGAATCAAACTCAACTTAAGAATATTTTAGTACACACAAGTTTTTATCGTAGATTTGTGAAACTTTTTGCCCATATAGCTCAAGCTTTGACATACATGCTAGACAAAGTACAATAATAGATATGAAAAACAATTCAAAAATTAGCTCTTTATACCTTGAAAAATATTTTGTTACACGTGTCTATATTCAAGTGAAATGATTCTAATCAATCTATCAAGTTGATCATTGATGCGTGACATACTCTAACCAAAATGTGAGGATGAAT